TTTTTGGCTAAACGTTACTTGGCTGTGCGGAAGGGTATCGGGTCCGAATGTCGGATACTTCAACCAATGCTGCGAGTCGCTAGGCGAGTGAATACTGATATCCAGTTTCAAGTCACCCTGGGGCTCCCATGCGCTGAGGGTCAAGAATATGTCGTGCATTGCCGTAAGGATAATGCATTTGTCCGTTGTAGTGCCGGGCAAACGATCTAGTTTATGGTTCACGGGCTCCGCCTCCGCACATAGAACAATCATACTCGTCAAGTTCCAGAGAGAGCCAGATGTATTTGACCAGAGGTCGGCTGCGGCGAGTCATAGGACCAAAGCCGGGAACGCACCACAGTGTTCGGTTGATGCGCTCGAAGTTGTGGCGCTCAACAACAGTCTGCCATTGCCTTGATACTGAGGCTAACCGAGCCAAGCTGCAGCCATCACGTAACAAGAACTCCAAGATTCGGAGCTGGATCTCCCCGGTGAGAGACGCCCAGGGTGGATTATTGACTGTCTTTAAAGCCATTATTACTTGTTTCTGAACCACGAAGGTCAATCGAGTAGGCTGTGGCATTGTTGCCGGTGTGGTGTAGAAACATGCGAGGTTTGAGGGTGTGGCCAACAAACCCGTTCCAAGTATAGACTGATGAGCTTCTGGCGTGGGGAGGAGCAGTAGCAGATGGATTCTTAAATCAAGGAGAGTAACTCTGAAGAGGACTGCACTCTTTTATGTTCGGGGTGTCTGCCATCTCCGATAAGTCAAATTCTGAGATAGTTGGATGGTAAAGGACAAAGTGCCTTAGACTTTCTCGGTGGTGGTGTCAAGTCTAAATACTTAATCCTTTGGCGCGACCTAAACCTTCAGTCCTTTCACTGTCGAGTGAGATTATTATTGAGTTGTATTATTCGAAGCCGATGCTGTTGATTCACGGGCTACGCCTAGATCTGCTTATCCGCTACCTATTACCTGGTGAGGTCGTCTTGGTCACTTATCCAGAATGCCACGTTGATACGCCTGGCAACCGTTCTGGCACATCGCCTATGCTTATTTGAGAGCGATCAATAGGCCTATCTAGACATCCTGCGTGCTTTGTATGGCAATAAATTTGTGCTCACCGACGACAGAAGCTGTAACTAGGCTCAACTGTCATCCACCACCACTGAGAAATAACGCTGTCTCGGACAGGCTATGGTGACCTCCGATGACGGTGCGCGGAAGAATTTGCATAACAACAAAGATTCGAGATGTATAGAGGAAAGTCCTGGTAGTATACAAACAAGACTCTCACTTTGACGATATGTTTTCAATGATTAATACATTGATACAGCATGATTATTACATTACCACAAAATGCTTATGACTTTGATAAGAAATGGAAAGACGGGCAAGAAACGAGTTGGCCCACTGTCCCTTCGTCAATAACTGCTGGGTAGCTGCCCGGTCTAGCGCGAGGCTATCGGTACTATGTCCAATCCATGCGAGGCTGAAGGGGAGCACATGATTACCCATCCGTAACTCGGGGAACTGGAGGCCCAGCTCGACGTCACATGCGGCAGAGCGCCCACCAAGGGGGCCAGCCCAGCCCGCCAGCCTGGTCCGTGCAGCACCCCACCCACCCGCGGTCTCGCTTATCGATAACTCACCCACACCCAGCTGGCTCCCACACAAACCCTAGATATTTTTTTTTGTGAGCAGCGCCTATCGAAATTCCGACACTGCCATTTGCTGCTCTGTGTGTGTCTCGCCCGTCCCGCCCACTCCACCGCTCGACTTTTCGTGATATTCGCGATCCTCCTGCCGGCCCTTTCCCCCCAACACCACCATCCGACACCGACCTTTCGATCGACTAACCACCGCAGTCAATCACCAACAACCGTCAAAATGGCTGTCCCGGGCACTCAGATGTACGTCTACGAATCCTGTCGCATTCTTCCATCGACGCCGCCGCCGCCATGAAACCTCGACATGGCATGGCCGATTCGTTGGGGAAGGCTCCTGGTCAGATCAAGCTGCTAACTGCCCTCTTTCCAGCTCCAAGCGCAGAAAGTTCGTCGCCGACGGTGTCTTCTACGCCGAGCTGAACGAGTTCTTCCAGCGCGAGCTCGCTGAGGAGGGCTACTCCGGCGTCGAGGTCCGCGTCACCCCCACCGTCACCGACATCATCATCCGCGCCACCCACACCCAGGAGGTCCTCGGTGAGCAGGGTCGCCGCATCCGCGAGCTCACCTCGCTCATCCAGAAGCGCTTCAAGTTCCCCGAGAACAGCGTCTCCCTCTACGCCGCCAAGGTCCAGAACCGTGGTCTGTCCGCCGTCGCTCAGTGCGAGTCCCTCCGCTACAAGCTCCTCAACGGTCTGGCCGTCCGCCGTGCCTGCTATGGTGTCCTCCGCTTCATCATGGAGTCCGGCGCCAAGGGTTGCGAGGTCGTCGTCTCCGGAAAGCTCCGTGCCGCCCGTGCCAAGTCCATGAAGTTCACCGACGGCTTCATGATCCACTCCGGTCAGCCCGCCAAGGACTTCATCGACCACGCCACCCGCCACGTCCTGCTCCGCCAGGGTGTCTTGGGTATCAAGGTCAAGATCATGCGCGGCTCCGACCCCGAGGGCAAGGCCGGCCCCCAGAAGTCTCTCCCTGACGCCGTCACCATCATCGAGCCCAAGGAGGAGCAGAGCGTCATCCAGCCCATGAGCCAGGACTACGGTGCCAAGGCCGCTCAGGTCCAGGCCGCGGCCGAGGCCCAGCGTGCCGCTGAGCAGGAGGGTGCTGAGGAGGCCGCCCCTGCTGAGGAGCAATAGAGATCTGAGGCAATCGGTGTTGGGTTCCCTCGGTCCACCAGACAAAGGTGACGGAGATATGGTTGATGATAGCATGTGAGGAACGGTCCATCAGGCGTTAATCTTTGCATTGCTCGGATGGTACGGCAAAATTTCGGCGGTCTTCATAGGAGGCTGCAATACATAACGTCACGAACCACGACTCTCTGACTCTACGTGCAGCCCTGTGATTTTGGTCTTGGTTACAAGAAGTGCTCTATTATACCATTCAATATTTGACCATTTTCATGCTGAGTTTTAACATTATTCCAAGATCGGTCCCATCGTAGCTATGATTGCTCCCAAGGAGGACGTACAGGTCGCCGCGTAGAGGGCGAACCTTCAGGTAGGCTCACGACTGCCTGGAAATCTCGAGACCATTCGCCTTCGGTCCTATCTCATCTTCTCAATTGGTTCTGACACCTCTACTGCTCATTTGAGCACCTCATTACCTTGGTAAACTCTTGGCTTGAGTCAAGCCCAACTCAACATACTCTGTGTTGCGTATCAGTTGAGACCAGGGGGATGGAAATGTATATGAACAACTTAGATTAGTAATTGATCTAGGCTAGGGTTTCTACCTCGACGGACCACTTTCAAGACGCAACCACTTGAACCAGCGTAAAGATTGGCAACTCAGATAACACTCGATTCAGTGAGCCAGCCAGGATGGGCGCCAACATGTGTACTCAGCGTAAGGGGCCAGAATCTCCTGGAGAGGACGAATGCTGTGGTAGTACAAATCTGCTGACGGCATTTCCAGGCGAAGCCTTGCAACCTGTATCATGCATAGTGCTCAATTTGGGGGCATGTCCACGCCGCACCCAGAACTTCGAGGTTCACTGGCCAGTATCTGCGCTGAACAAGCCTGGGCGTCCCGCTCGGGTGGAAAATTCACCACGAGGCGCCTAAATTCGATATCAATGGCTGACCTCAGCCGAAAAGCAAGGCTTGTACCTGTGTTAATTTAAGGGTGTTGCACACGAGTACCCTCTACCACAAAACCGTTAGACCGACGTCCTTGTGGGATTCTGTTCCCCGCACCTGGTGACGAGGCTTCTACTTGTGTTGGTATTTGAAGACCAGTCATTGCATCGGCGCTAACATGCAAAGTATAGATCTTGACCTTAGCCCCTTTCCGAGTTCAATGTCCCGCTCAACATTGAAGGGCTGTTGAAGATTTCCGCAATTTTGTCCACACCTTGCAGCGGAGATTGAGTGGCATGCCAGCGTGCGCAGGGACACCATTATTACATGAATCCGAGCAAGTAACTGCTAAGGATTCCCGCATTTCTCTTCTTGAAGACGACAGAGCGCGAGGCTCTAGGTAGAAAGGAAGCTCCACTGGACGCAAGCCTTGCGCGGAGCCTGGCCATGAAATGCACCCAAGGTGAACAGCAAAGGAAAGTCGTTCGATGGCCCTGGGCTACTCATGGTTGACCCTAGATAGAATAAACCCATGGGGGTCTTACGACAACGGGGGCCAGATCAAAAGTACCAAAGCAAGCCCGCTGAGCAGCTGGTCGTGCAAATAGCCCCCAGACGAGAGATTGCAGCCCAGTCGTCGCCTGGCACAGCACCACAGCTGGACATACCGACTGACCCCAAAAGTAATGGAATGGCCATTGAAAAAAAATCCTTGTAGGCGACAATGGACAGGCTAGGCTGCGTTTTGATATTTCGAGGCAATAACTTGTTCACTGATTTTGAACCTCGAATGCAATATACTCACCGCATAGCACCTCAAGAGCAGTAGAATCGGTGGCTTCGCTGGAAACCCAATGGCAGTCAATATTGGTCCCTTGACCACTACCTTTACACCACCACGGAGCTGTGTGCTGGCAGCCAGCACGGGTGCTCAGATTAATACTGCCTGGTTTCAACAACTCCCTTTAACGACCGGCGATTGTTTTCCTCCTTTCTACGGATCCTCTCTTTTTTCATACTATTCCCCAGGGGTCTGTCCAAGTGGGTATACTGCAGCTTGCCAAAGCTTAACGACGTCTGGCACTGTTACGGAAACGGTCCAGACATGTTGCCCTACATACGGGCCTCGAGGGAGGTACAAAGCCCTTACCCATAAAAGACTTCCATCCTATCTGACATTACCTTCTTAGCATGTCCTATTCTTGTGGTCAAGTTTATGACAGGTCGTGGATGCTTACCCTTGCCTGCACGTCGGCAATACCTAACACAAGCACATGGATTGAAACGTCCGCGCTTGATATCTTCGAAGGCTCCACGGTATCGGGAGTAGAAATTATACATACGGATGGGGCCATCAATGCATTTGGAGTAAATATTCGGTTCCAGTCCACAGATTCCTCCTCGACGCCGCCGCCGCCGACGACGACGACAACGGCGACGATGACGACGACGAAAGCAACACCGAGCCCAACTGCCTTTAATCCAACAGTAGTCAAGTCGCCAAGCACGCTTACAACGCCAACACAGACCGATACCAACATTGCGGCCAGCAATACGCGCAATCAAAGTCTCAATTTAGGGGCTTTTGTCGGCATCGGAATCGCATGTGGTTTGGTACTCCTCGCCGTGGTCGTAGCAGCAGTGCTCTTCATCTCCAAGTGGAGAAAGAAAAGAGAGGACAAGGAAGCTGGCGCTAGGCCTGCAGCTACAAGTACGAACATAATACTCTATCATCAGGCCTTTGGCGGCGAACTTGACGGCTGGGGCCGGCCTCACGAGTTACAAGAAGCTCGCCAGGCCCATGAGTTGGATGCAGCATTGTGGAAGACAAGAAGAAACATTTATAAATCAACTGAGCGGTCATAACATTGCATTAATGCCGGTCCAAGGCGAGTTTGGTTGCGCCGAGTTGCACGACAGGAAATGTCTTCATTCGGGTAAGCGAAATGTTTACCCATAGTTGTTTGATCAAAGAGACGTTTTAATACACCATGGACAAACAGCTCAGGATACCACGATTGGCATATCTGCAGGGAATCATACACGGCGACGGTGCGTTCCATCGTGATGTCCTTAGGCACGACCAGGAGGGCATGGAAAGTTTAATGTAGTGCGTGCCCCTTCGAAGAGAGTTGGACGCCCAACTACTATCACAAGGCGGAGATCGCAGGCAGTCACCAGCGGGGATCGAGTGGCAAATATAGTAAATGAACGTCATATGTACATCCAGTGTGAAGAATCTATTGGGGCTTCGTGGCAGGGCGCTTATGACCCCACCAAAAAGGCTTGCGTTAGAGACAGGCAAAGGAGTAGGGATAGTGGCACAAACCGCAGAGTAACTAAGATGAGATTATATACTCGATGTATGATATTGGACAAGTTTGTCAAGTCAACGAAATCAATGTTTTAGCAATGTTCCCTTAAGGGCTCTTGCATTGCTACTCCATACTCGCTGCTGACTGCCCGAAGCATGAGTAATGTACCCGCAACATTCGAGATATCCGCTGTCTCTCATAACCTCAGAACGGCATCGCAAGTACATCAATGGGACATCAGAAATACTATTCTAACTCCATATCAAGCTCCAAAATCATCCCAATGCCTTTTCCACCTGGAATTTCAGTGAGTGGATGAAAAGCTGGGGGCGAATTAGCATCCTACAGCTATGGTTGGAATCTGGAACATCTGTCGAGAAAAAGAGGGGGTGTCTATAGTGATAAACACATTAGGGCTGTCGCCTTAGCTGCCCAGTTCGCATTTGTCTTCTTGGGGTGGACTTTGGCAACTATGATGTTGCAGCGCGGTTGCCTTGTTGCGGGGTTGCATAAATATTGGCGAGTGGTTTTGAAGAAATCTTCTTGTCGTTTCTCAGTCCCTTCTCAAGCGTCTACAGATCCCTAAACCACCTGTGTACTTTCAGCGACCTTGTGATGGAGCCCTTAACGGCTCTGGCCCTGGCAGGGAACATTGGACAATTCGCCGAGTTTGCGCTTAAGCTTATCAAAGGCACTGCACAGATACATAGCTCAGCGTGTGGTACTTCGGACAAAAACAGCCACCTGGAGGGCATCAGCGAGAGGTTAATGGAATTCAGCTCTCGTATGAAATACGTACATGCAAAGCATGCAGCCAACAATGACAGTTCATTCAGCTTGTCATACTATTCGCCTGATCTCGAAGACCTCGTGGCAAAATGCACTGAGGACTGCAAGCAACTGTTACAAATAAGTCGAAAACTTCAGGTGACAAGTGCCTCGAGGAACCGAAAATGGGACAGTTTCAAGAAAGCAATGTACGATGTTTGGCATGAGAAAGACATTGCACAGCTTCAGGATCAGATAAGCAAACACCGGCAAGAGATTGTGATGATGCTTTCTGCCATTTCAATGTAAGTTCCTATATTCGGCTGTATATTGTTCTGCTTCGCTGACACCTACAGTGAGAACACCGAGCAGACATCATTACAGCTGCAGCAATTGATATCGGAAACAAACATTCTTCGGGCTGAAAGACTGAATCAATTTGACCTCCTCGCAACTTTGTTGCAAAATGTATACGAGCAGATCAAACTCATCAAGACCCGAGTTATCAAGCCCGATGATGGAGGAATTATCAGAGGATACAGCATTGATGAGGTCGAGGTGCTAACAGCCGATGTCTCAAGACTAACAAGTCTTCAGAGAAAATATGCCCGTGAGGAGTTCGTTCTTTCTGGCCTGAACTTTGAGCAACGCCCTATGCGACACAACAGCATCCCTCGGGCACACATGAAGACCTTCAAATGGGTGTTTACTCCTGTAACAACCCAGGATTCCACTCAGCCATTGCTAATTCAATGGCTGGAGAGTGGGGAAGGCGTATACTGGATTTCCGGGAAACCTGGATGCGGAAAATCCACGCTTCTTAAATATATTTGTCAGAATGACAAAACAACGGAACACTTATCTACCTGGGCAGGAGATGCCCGTATTGTGGTAGCAAGCCATTTCTTCTGGAGCTCTGGATCCTCGATGCAAAGATCTCGTGAGGGTCTATTAAGATCCTTACTATACGACATTCTCAGCCAGCTCCCAGAGCTGATTCCGATCATTTGTGCACGGAGGTGGGCACGTTTTGGAGAGTCAGATAGAAAAAGACAATGGACACTTGAAGAGCTGAAAGACACCCTGGAGGGGATGAAGAGTCAGAAAGAAATACCTGTTAAGTTCTGCTTCTTTATTGACGGACTTGACGAGTATGAAGGTGATTCTTTCGATATTTGTCGAGCTTTGATTGACATGTGCGCCTCATCGTGCATCAAACTATGTATTTCAAGTCGGCCATGGAATGTTTTTGAGACTTTGTTAGGGCAGGACTCCACGAAAAAACTGTACGTTCATGAATTGACTCGGAACGACATATCTAATTACGTGGAATCTGAATTCTCCGGGCATCCACACTGGAACTTATTCTCAATGGAACGCAGCGAAGTTCCTCTGTTGATACAAAAAATCACAGAACGGGCTGAAGGAGTGTTCCTTTGGGTTTTCCTGGTTGTGCGTCAACTTCGCGACGGTCTTATGAACGGTGACAGCCTTGAAGACCTTACAATGCGACTGGACATCATTCTTACGGATCTAGAACGCTTTTTCAAACAAATATTGGAAACCGTTGAGCCGTTTTACCACCAAAAGCAATCCCGAACGCTCCAGTTAGCCATCGTGGCTGAAGAACCGCTTCGTTTGGAACTTTATAGCTTCCAAGACCTAGAACATCGACATGAAGACTACGCTCTGGGGAACTCCATGCGAGTGTTTGATGGGGACGAATTCGAAAGATTCCATGGACCCATGGCAAAGCGCCTGAACAGCCGATGCAAGGGCTTATTAGAGGTTCGTGATCGAAAGGTTGAATTTCTGCATCGGACTGTTAGAGATTTTCTTCGTTCGGCAGAAATGGCAGACTTCCTCAGGAACAGGTCGACCGGATCTTTTAAGCCAGCCTTGTCCATTCTGAGAGCGCATATTGCTTGGATGAAGAGCACACGATTCAATAACGGTTCTACGAGCTCAGAGTCGGGAGAAGAGTCTTTTCTGTTCCGGCTTAGCCAGATTCTTGATTACGCTCAAGTGGCAGAAAACCAAGATAGCAGTTGCAGGAGGCCAGTGGCTGAACTCCTGGATGAACTGGAGTTGGTATTACAGACGATGGTGCTCACAGGCCAGATCATAATGCCAGACGAGTCGATGATAAGTGGTCAAGACATGCTGACTCCGGCGGAAGGTATCGTGTCCCTCTTCCGGAAAGCAGTCATTGAGAAAAACTTGCGGCATTTTATTTCCTGGCAGCTTGGCCGAGACGCAGCGTACTTCACAGTCCTTGCTGAAGCACCTCTTCTGCTGGCAGCCGAGTGTTACGCCGCTGAATCATTGGTTACAACGATCTGTTTTACTACAACAAGGCCAGACGGTTCCCCTGGGACAGCATCCTTAATTCAGCAGTTCCTTGAAAGTGGATTTGATCCCAACAAACAACTCATAGTAAAACCCATGAACGGTCTTACTAGCCCTTGGACAGAGTTCATGTCTCTAATTGCACCATGGCATCAGAACTCGGACTTAGCACACGCATTACCAAAGCAAGTGCAATCCTGCTATTTACATGCCCTAAAGTTGGGTGTATTCACCCATTTTCTTCGCCACGGGGCTAATCCCAATAGCCGTGTGCCAAATTGGTACGCGTCCGAGCGGCAACAGGAGCGAGATGTATACTATAGTCCAACTATAGGGACCATTTGGGTGTTCCTCGGCTTCACTGTAACAGATGTATGGAGGCATAGTGAGGTATTCTTGCGCGATCTGAAATCCGTGATAGCCGCCGGGGCACATTTTGATGACCTTGGACTGGGAGGCACTTTTGAGATCCCGGAGCAGAAGAAAGAAATGCAGTGGGATTCAACTATGAACAGCGAATCAATCTTTGATCTTGAACAATTCAAGAGCAATAGCGCGAAGTGGAACGTCGATCGAGCTAATCAGGATCGAACTCGACAGGAAAAGAAAGGCTCTCAGCTCAAGGCAACGCGATGGCAAATCATAGTCGCTCATCTTTGTAGGAAAGGGGTACCTGAACGGCAATTGTTGCGGACCAAAATCATCATCGAGGTCGCAAAGGCGGATTCAAGAAAGGTTCTTCCTTGGGCCATGCTCGTCGATGCTGCCAAAGACAGTTTGGCCCGCCATTTGGTACAAGCCATATCGAAGGCAATTCAAGACGGCTAAATTACATATGGGGGAACGTTTTAAGGCTTAGCCAAAATAGCAAGAGTTGTGTTTGTAACAAATAATCGCTTACAACCATGCGATTTGGATTGATTTGGGACGGCATAACAATATAGAACGCGCAGGTCAGTACCATCGCGGTGATGGGAATGGTCTGCAAGTTTCCAAAGTAAAGTCTGCAGGGGAGTGTTGGCAAATCTTTTGCGGTGGACCGTTGATTGTGATAGATATGCCGGTTGGTAATTCCCTGTGTGATCATACCGACAGCATGGACAAGTGAATCTTCTCGCCGATCTCATCGAGGGTATCTCCAACTGTGATAATTGTCGCTCAGAATCGTTGTTATAATGCTTGAAACCAGGTGGATCCACACAGTTTTCCAACTCGCCAACAATTCCAACTCCGCCGAACTTGCTCTTATGATAAATGATCTTTTGACCTTGGCATACCTTGCAGTTTGCACTACGCTGGTGAGATATCTTGGCAGAATCTTCTCTGAGATGGTCGCTGTCGAGTTGGAACATAATTCCTTCTGTACCGAACAAGGGGGCCCATAATTATTTATCTGTCTGGAGAGGCACTTGTGCTTTGCCCGAAACCTGCATAAAGCCCACATAGGGCAACCTGCCAATATTTAGGGGAAGTGGCTTTAATCGAATTCTTGGGATACGCAAGTAGCAATTATCCACAGCGGAGGGTGATAATAAGACCAGATGGAAAAATAAATACTTGATTGAAGTTCATGAGTGGTGGTTTGGAGGTACGGATGTCATGGCTACTTTGAAAGTGTACGTTCTGAAAATGACGACGTGAGAAAGACATGACGAGATGGTGGCATAGGCTTGATTGGCAGGTCCCGACAGTAGTTGTTCAAAGAGTACTTGTTCTGGCCTCGTTCCACCTCCATATTGACAGACCATGGCTAGTGTGTCTATAAATCCAGTTACCACCAACATGTACAACACCATGGCGTATAACGCAACGAAAAAACAGCTATAGACCAGCTCAAGGTAACGTTTTTTCCCCTTTGAACTACAGAAGTGGAGACTAAGTAGATCCCGTCAAGTATAATTCTCCATCTCATCTATAGCAGTTCCAGGTTATTTTGCGTATACTAGCTCTGGAAATATTACCGAGAGCTTAGGTCCATGGCCGGATCTGGTAGTTAGCAAGGCTTTATTCTTATACAGTCTGGAGCGAGAAGGTGACCAGTCGATTTGTGCTGTCATTATGGCGCCACGGAAATGTCGAATATCCTCCAATGCTTTGGAAGTTATCTACAAACACCAGCCTACAATACCGCAGGATGAGGGGTTATGTATTTAGTCCGATGTTGGCTCACACAAGACCATTGCCTTTCTGCGAGCACTTGTAAAGCTTGAATATGACAGGCACCCAAGGAGTGCAATTAAACAAACATTTATAAAACTAGCCACAATCTGATCGGCTGCTAATGCAGTCCAAATGGATTCAAGCCTGCTATACCCAGTTTCTGGCTCCGCTTCTCAGCCTGGATTCCCAGTACAAGCACGATTGGGTCGTCAAGAGGTAAACTCCTCTTGTCAAACGTTCCTTTCATGAGCACACTTTGTTGATCATGTGATCACATGGCCCACGGACAGCCATAGACCCAGCAACGCATAGACAGCGAGACCTGGTAAGGCCGGGTGACGACCTATGGTGCGCGATCCTCCCGACGACTTTTTGGCCTTGGCCGCGCCGACTTCTCCCGGGTGTTCCACCCCGTTCGACCTGAGGCAATCAGCCAACGCGGTCGCCTCAGTCCCGTTTTGACCCTTGTCCGTGATGGCAGGAGGCAGCTCACACCAGACGACGCAGTTGTCAACGACACTGACAGGGTTGGGGCTGCAGCACGTCTGCATTGCCCGATACGTGGCGTTTCCGCCGTTGAGAATATAGCCTGTAGTGATATCGGTAGGCCTGTCCTGGCTTTCCCAGTTCGAAAGCGTGAGGCCGTTGCACGTGTCGTTCGTCATGGACGCCATTGTCGCAGGGTCGTCGTTCTTATAGAATGTAAGTGTGGAATAATGTGGAGAGAGGGATATGATGATAACAAGAACTATAGAAGAGCCGACGTTGCGTACGGGCAGACAAGGCCTTTCTTATGCCTGTTCCGAATGTTCTGTTAGAAAGCACCGGCACAGCCACCTTACGCATTTTGAGGTCGTGCCAAAATGTCAGCGCTGGAAGAGGATCCCACCCCTGTTCTGGCTCAATTCCGGTGCGTTCGTATTGGTTGAGTGCCCAGCTTTGCCATATCCGCGCATTGGAAGGCACATCATGTTACGAGCGGTTTGAGGAGAGTCTGTACTGATTGGCCAGTTATCAAATCATTCGAAGATTGCCAAGTACATGTGCACTTCCTATTTAGTTATGACGTAACTTAAATAGTAGCTGTGCATGCAACCATAGACCCAGTGCATTCTGCCAATTTCAAATCATTGGATATTGGATCGGAATCATAGAGTTACTCGTGGACACTAGTCGTAGGTGGTGCACAGACCGCATGACGGGTTTTGGTACGGCAGGCACTGGACTGGATTAACTACACCGTTGGGCCCTCACTTCGCAACACAGTTCAAGGAGTCCATTGCGTAATCCATCTGTCCGTCTTGTGTCCTTACAGTTCCTTACTATATCAAGCCTATTCAGTATTAGGATGCTGGGATTACGCAGCTGGAGTCGCTCATCGAGACTACTAGAATAATGTATACTTTACCAACACTATAGCTCTGAACTACGAACGAGGCTAGGGATGATTTGCAAATCTGGTGCATTGCAGTATTTTACGTGTTAAATCACGAAGAGACGTCCTTCTTTGCACGTAACATCATTTTGACTTGCAATTTATGGCACGAGAAGAGCCCAGCTCTAATCTGAGCCTCTTCGAGTTGTGTCTGCCAGCAATGTGTCAGATGCCACGAAGCCATCTGGCAGCTTACTATTGCTACACAGCGGGTTTCATGGAGCGAGCGTACTCCCAAGTTCAGGCTTTTTAGGTATCAGCTTTGTCAAGACTACCCGATTCAGTCTGGCTTTGATTACGAACGCCAAAAGCTAACAAGTCTTGATCAGAAAAGTTCGCATTCGGTTTGGAATGCTTTCTATCAGATGCTTCCTGCCAGTGCAGCTTGCAGAATTTTGTACAAGCCTTCCGACGCATGCTATACCCATCTTCAAGATGATATCGTACAAAACGTAAACCTTGGCATGCCGCGCCGCAAAAATCTGCAGGAATGGCTCGTCGGCCCCCATAGCAGTGCGCTCACATGCCAGATCCCACTCCTAAACGCCATATGCGAGAAGATAAAATCCCGATCCATGCCCTTGAAATACCCCGCCTCTATACTCCTTTCTTTCATGTGACCCACACCGTGACATCCGTTCGCTCGTGAACCTGAGGATCGATGTCCCCGTTGCCCTGACTTCGTATGGGGCCCGCCATCGTAGAAGATAAAAATATACAGTTGCGTGCTTGGCCATCGAGGTGTTATGCCAACCTCGTCGCTTTAGCCCGAGTCGGATGACTTCCCTTAGCGCTCTCCAGACTTGGGCTGTAGTTCGATCGAGTTTCCACGGGATTTCCGGACGTGGCCGTTTCCATTCCTTCTGTGGGCGTCGTCGTCACTTTCTTCAGCCAGGTCGGCCAAGCCAAACCCGGCAGCCTCCTCATCGTATGCCCGCATGAGACCTTCCCTGTCGCCCATGCTACCTCTGGGATCCGTGCTGCGCCGGGCGGACATGCTCAGCCGTGTCTGGATGCTCGAGATCATGTCCGTACCGCCAGTGTCCTGACCTCCTCGGCGACCAAGCATCTTGTCGCCGTTGGGATCCGCACGCGAGAGGTTCAACAAGTAAACGCCAGTGAAGGTGACGAGGAAGCCACAGAGCAGTGAGAGGGTGTTCACGGGGTCGGTCGTGTTAAAGCCCGAGAACAGGATGAAGGAGGCGCACAATGTGGCTGTGGTGAAGGTAACGTAGTAGAGTGGGTTGACACTGCCGACGATTAGTCCAAGCCTGGCTTCAGTGGTAGGGAGTAAACTTGCATTTGCGTGGGAAATGTGGCCAGTGCCTTGTTGAAGTAGTTCATCTGGATCAGAATACAGACGGTGGTGAGGATCATGAAGACGTATGTCGATGGATGCGAGAACTGGTTGTTACCGCCCAGGGTGAGCTTGACAGCAATGCCAAATGCCTTGACCGACATGACCGACACGGAGCCGACGGTCGAGCAGATGGACAGGTAGATTAGGGGGTTTCTCTTGCCGTGTACTGGGGCAATCTTGTAGATCATGACGGAAGCAAAAACAACCACGACGATGCAGTAGAGGAGGTATCCTGTCGTCCCGGTCAGCACACCTTACACGAGACGTTGTTCTCGGCTTCATGCACCCACCTGGCTGGATCGCGAAGTGTAAGATCTGATCGATAGTCTCAATCTCCTCATCTGGCGGCGCATGGAGCACGATGATGATGGCGCCAATCAGGCAGATGGCGCAGCCTAGCTTGCCCAAGGTGCCCAGCTCCTCCTTCAGGAAATATGATCCGAGTACGGCTCCGATCAAGACGCTGAGGGCACCGAGCGGCGTGACGAGGATGGCCGGAGCGAAAGCGTATGCGGCAAAATTACAGATCTCCCCTAGGACCACTGGCGGCAAGCAATGTTAGCTCCGGTACCCACGCCAGCGCGTTATGTATCTTGGAAGGGATGCTCACAGCTCAGAATTCCGGCCCACCAGACGGGGTTCTTCAAGTAAACGAAACCGTCGCCCTCGAAGCCATGCCTCTCGCCGGCCATGATCAAACCCTGCACATCCAAGTCAGTCTGCTGTTCTGATTGCGCACGCTTGGGGTCTGGCGCCGCGCGAGTGTGTTGTCGGGATCGGGTTTGGGTTGGCGGTAGTCTATGGTCGTACCTTTTTCGTGATCACGAAACTCGTGCCTGTGGACCACAAAGGCAATGTCAGTCAAAAGATGTGGGAGAGGACAGGGTAGCACCTCAGCGGTGCACCCCCGGATGGAAAACGGCGGGCGTTGAATGGGATGCATACCTATAGCCAAACTAGACGACATGGCCAAGGCCAAGCCGATATACCTGCAGAGACAGTCATGTTAGCCCATGCTTTCAATCCCTCTCGGTTGGCTGCCACGTAATCCTCAGCTTTGAACGGCACGGTTAACGTACTTCTCATCGATCGTCATGTTGCGTAGGATGCGCCGAGGCGACTTGAGCGGCGAGCACCGACGTAGTCTGGTCTGCGGGCTGCAGCAAGCAATCGGATGTACGGTGGTGGGCAGCTCGCGCCTGGCGAGGAAAGGTTGCCAAACGGGATGGCGAGCAGGTCGTCGGTCGGTATCTCTCGCTCTCGCTCTCAGTTGTTGTTCAATAGCGAGCGGGCAGGCGGACGGTCTCGCTGCGCCGAGTGAGTGCGCCAGAAGTCGATGAAGTTCTGCTCTGTCGCAGTGCCGTGGGAAACAGAACGGTCGAGGAAAATGAAGGAGCGGCAGCCTTTGTCGTCGGGCGCGCTAAATGAGTGAATGGGCCCAGTGTGATGAATGGGCGGATGCGATCGGGCGATCTGGCGACGAAGGCGGCCGTGGTGCGGTGGTGGTGCAGCAGTCGGCGGCAATGATGAACGAGGTGCTGGGAGGGCAGCGGCACAGGACGGCGGTCCGCAGGTCGGGGTTCGCGATCGAGGCAATTCGGAAGGATGGTGCGATGTGTCCCCTGGCGGCGGCAGTAACTAGTAGCCAAGTAGCAGCAGCAGCAGCAGATGATGATTTGTTTCGAAGGACAGGCTGGACTGTACGGTGGTACTTGGACGGAGATGGCGCAGGCTGGTTCTTCCTGGGTACGGCTGGGTGCTGGGTGCTGGCGCTGGTGGTAACTAATGGTACTTGGGGCGATGGTGCGGGAAAGTCAGACGGGATGGTTCTAACTTAGGGCGGCGTTACCAGGAGCCCGGCGTAACGTGCGTTCAGGTTGTGGGTTGGCTCTGGGTCTCTGGGTCTCTGGGTCTCTGGGCCTCTGGGCCTCTGGGCCTCTGAGTTATCCTCTCCAAGCTACTCTAACTCGTTGTGTTCAAGTGCATTCCTTCTGCTCTGGCTGCGCTGCTCTGTCACTTAGTCGCAAGGTTTCAGACTCGGTCGATAGTCTGACCCCTGGCAGCCCTGGCAGCCCTGGCTTCCCAGCTCTCGTGCTGCATCGTGGCCCAGACGTCTCTCGTGCCAAGCCACCTCGGAACCCGCCCTGCAAAGCAAATCGGGGGGTGAGCGTCTCGTCGCTGCATGCTGACTGCCAAAAGCGTCAACTCGGCCCAGTCGCACGTCGGGGATAAAATCGTCGTATCCTCTGCAACCCTGTGACGGCGGCAGGGGTGCCAAGCGTCATGTGAGGGGGGGCTCGACGTCGAGCTTGAAACAAATGAACTACACACATGCACGCTCCGCACGTTCGGTACCTGATGGACAGCGACTCGGGGTTTGGAAGATGCAATGCTCGGGTGCGCAGTTCGTAAGAGTATCCACACACGATATGGATGACTATAACGACCACGTATCTACCTACAAGAAGGAATCCCTCCGCCCGCCGCCACCACCTAAATGGGCCCTTGGGCTGGAGTGCATCCGACTCGGTACACTGAAAACTCAACCAAACGACACCCGAGATCAACGCGTCGGCGTCGTTCAACGTGTGGACAGCACTGCAGTCTTGATGAGTCTAGGGTCGAGGCCAATGCACAGCCTCCCTTGGTGAATCGTAGCGCGCCGCGGTCCCTGTTACCTGCGTCACGCATGTCTTGGTAACAAGACCACGGGTCAAACCCAGAGTCCGCGGACCCGGGCCCGAATCATCCCATTTTCCTTCCCAGCATGTCCCCAAGCGCAGCTGTCACCCACCGTCTGGCATGGATGGGCCTATTGTAAGTAGAAGAATCCTTCTTGCAACTCCAAGGGAAAAAACAATACAAAAAATTGGAATGCCACCTGCACGCGAGGGTTTGATTAACAGTGGTACACAGGTAGGACTGTACTGTAAGGTAGTCACCCAAGTAACATCGCTCTGATATTGGATCTTGTTACCGTCAAACTACTGTATGAAGCGGTCGCTGGCCAATTGCCGACCCCACCAATGGACAATGCCCACTGGCGGGATAGCAGCCAGTGGGCACGGCACACCTGGGGCGCTATTCAACGACGGCCGGCATCCCTTCATCTCTCCAAGGCTGGAGTTGCCGTACCTGGAGCCAAAAGTGAGCGCAACGCTTCCAAGCAAGCAACCAGGTTTGCCAAGCCTACAGGTCGCCAATGACTATCGGGGGTCTCCCTGCTTCCCGCACATCTTGCGTTTCCTGTTCCTGACGAACCTGATAAGCGGGGCCGACTTCAAATTTTCAGTACCTTCTCCCGTTACCTGCATTTTGACTCGTGCATCCAAGTCGGCGCCGTGTTCTGAACACGGGGGAGTTGGCAGCAACGGCCTATCCCACCTTGCCACCAGCGAGGCGGTGCAAGCCTCGCTCGTAACTGGGGATCCATCGCAGCTGACGCGGAAACAATCGCCCAAGTTGCCTTTCGGCATAGCTCCATCGTTCCAAAATTGGGGATGACGAATGTGTGGGCTGTTCCAATCAGGGGGCCGCTGGTGACCATAGCGTTCCTTCTGCCGGACTGACGGTTGATTCAAATGTTCCGGATCCACTTGCGAAGGACCGACTCCTCGCGAGGAGACGACGAGCTTACCACGTGTCTTATACCCTGGAGTTCCAAGACTAATAATTAACTCTCCAGAATATACTATTTTTAAGTTCAATGGTGGCAGGATGCAACACCGTACAATGCTATACAGCAGCCATAATTCGGCCAGACGATTCAATACGAGAGGCAGAGACTGAGGTCAGATCTGGAAATCGTAATTACGGACATGCTCAATCTCGGGTCTTTGCCTTGACTGGTTCAGAAAGTCTTCTATGAGGCTGTATAGTCAATGGTCCTTGTGGTAGATACAGGCTACTCGGTGAGGGAAATTCGAATCAGAAACCCCCATGTCTCCTATATCGCAAGAGACCAGGATAGCCTGGCCACTCGTAAAAAGTAATACTGGCGTTGTAGCAAAACTGTCGATGGACTGCAACAATAATGGGTTGGGGGATGTCATACCAAGTTACTATACTGATCCTTCGTCACCTAGGTGGTCCACTTTTCGGTGTTGCAATACAGTACTTGCCCTTCGCATCACCATGCGACGAAACTCATCCGTCACGTTTCAAATTCGCATGGTGCATTGTTGCTAACCTTAGTCCGCTGCGCAACCTACAGAGACCTATATAGGTACAATATGACGATTTGTGTCAGTGACTTGAATTGTGAATTAATGAACGAAGCTTTTACAATGAGCTACCTGTCCCTTCCATATAGCAGCGCAATGCATTCCCAAGTACCTTTGGATTAGGCAGCAGCTGCATGTGCAGGGCTTTGGACTGGGAGTCCATCTCACCTCCATAACGGATTCTTGGAACTGCATCTGGTTGAATGATGACTCACTCACTAAGTGACTCAACCCTCGCGGCACAATCGCCTCCTTCCAGGCTCCTTCTTCAACCTCGTTTGACAAAAGCCTGACAACAATACATGGAAGCATCTTAGCTCAGCTGGGAGAGTACCAGGCTCATATGAAACATGTGATTCCTGGGGGTCGCTGGATCGAAACTAGCAGGTGCTATCATGTCATAAACATCTTTTTTGGCCCGATAGATTTCTTTGCTGTTGACCTTCCGAGCCTGAAACGAAGCGTGCAGCTGCTGAATTGTCAGCCTACGAAATATGCTACTTTCCCAGGCTGCTAGAACATGTGGCTGCCGAATCCGTGAAGGGCGTTTGAAATTCTAAATACGGCGAAATTGAAATTAGCTGCATGATCAACCAGAGCAGGCTGACTGCCTGTAAGGCTACGGACAGTCGTGGTGTTTCATTATTGTTTGCCCCACTTCGATTGCACCCCTCTCAGTGTCTTTGGAGGATTTCAGCTGCTGTAACCCTTTTTTTAATCCAAGCATCTTGTACTCACCGTCGATTCACATGGAGAAAGATGATCCTGTCACTGGCCATATTTGCAAAACATGCGATGAAGTAGACACTCAATGCACCATTTGCCACAATTCCGATCCTCGTGACAACCCTAAGCTCTGCGAACATTGCCAGGGCTGGGATGATCTCACTCACATCACATTCTGCGCCGGAGATGTGTTACCCGACGTAGACCCTTCGGTCTTCGAACCACCAGAGTTTACGCAGAATAGTTCTCCATATCCAGCTTCTGGAGACCTGAGTCAGCTCAGTTTCCGGGCCTTCAAAACGTTGGAGCAAGCCAGGAACTGCCTCATCTGCAGAATTATAGTGTCTGGCCTCCGACAGTGTGACTCAACCCGCGAACCTACCAGCGTTGCGCTATGGAGACTTTGGCCCGAGAATTGGCACTCGCCAGAGCCGAGCAAGCGGCAGCACAAAGATGTCGACTGCTCTTGGACTGGCAAATGTCTTCTGACATTCTGCGTCGTGTATCCTGGGGATGGTGAAGACTCCAAGCCTGCTATGAAACCTTGCCTCGTCGAATTGATCCTGTCTTACTCCTCCTGGGGCCACGGTCTCGAGAACGTCCAGTTCTGGGACAGGCGTTTTCTGGACCCAGAAAACATCAAATTCTGGCTATCGCACTGCCAGAAACACCATGGCCAGATGTGTGATAAGACGATGTTCTCCACAAAACTCCCCTCTGGTTTTAGAGTGATCGATGTTGTTGATGAGTGCGTTATGGAACCCCGGGGGGAAATCGATGATTATGTCGCTCTAAGCTATGAATGGCGTGCCGCCACGTCCGACCCAAGAAGGGATCTCATGCTCTCGAGGAAGAACTGGACAGCGCTTGCGACGTCAGGTGCTCTGACTCAGGGCCGGCTACCAGAGGTGATCTACGACGCTATGCAATTTTGTCGAGACCTTGGGCAGCGATATTTATGGGTTGATCGGATGTGCATTTTCCAGGATGAGGATGACGAGGATGGTTCGAGGCAGGTGCAAATAGAGGGAATGGATGCCATCTACTGGCTGGCTACTGTCACCGTCGTTGCCTCTGCAGATGGTGTTGGTGTTGGCTTGCCTGGTGTTTCCAGTCGACCAAGGCCCTTTAGCGTCAGCAATGCAGGCTGGGGGCTATCAATGGACGGTCCTCACTGCATAGGATACCAAAAGCCATTGGTTTCCGACGCTATTAACCCCAGCTCTTGGAACACCCGCGGCTGGACATTTCAGGAACGGTGGATTTCCAGACGACACATATTTTTCGGACGCTGTCACACTTATCTGAGCTGTTTCTATTGTATTGAGTGCGAGACTTCTCTTCGCAGGCAGGACATCATAAAGGCACGCGAAGCAAATGGTGAATTCGGTGCTTTCTTTGCTCGCGGTGTTCGGATTGCAAAGGGAAGTGAGGAGCAGGCACGCTGGGACCCTCTTGGACAGTACCTGGAAGCTGTCAACGAATATACAGGGCGCTCCCTTGGACAGGCATCCGATGTATTAAACGCGTTCACTGGGGTGAACAAGTTTCTCATCACGAAGCTTCAGACGAGGTCTTTATTTGGCCTACCCGCGAAGTATCTCTTTCGAAGTCTTCTCTGGACTCGTAGGGGGCCGCCGCCAGCCAATCTGCAGGGCCATATACCGACAGGCGTCCCGAGTTGGTCTTGGGCTGCTGGGCTTGGGCCCGTCGAGTACGGCTGGTGGACACAAAACTTCTACACCAAAGTCGGAAACCTGGTCCGCTTCTGGTACTCTGACGGTCAGACTGTCTCGGAAGTGGTCGAAGCCACAAGCTGGTTTGATATGTTCAAAGACAATGTGAGAGATGATTTGAGTCATGAGTTCCTGATCGAGAGATTTAGAACGAATCTTGACCTTAACGGCGGAACGTACGCACCTGCTTCAGCGATGTGGCACCACTGCTCTCATAGCCCTTGGGAGTCCCTTCGCCACCACGAAGTCTCGGAAATTGCGATTGATATTGCCAAACGAGCACCGGGGTGCCTCGTATTCAACACGACAACGGCATATCTCGGACTTCGAATGAGCGTCACTGCAAGTTTAAGCACAGGAGGAATCATTTTCGACATCGTTGATCAAGACGGCAACGCGATCGGTAATGTCATGCCAGAATTTCGACCCGGCGACCACAAGCTATCGACCATCCACCATCCGAGCTCAAGATACCATATAATTGTCCTTGGCGCTTGCAACAGGGGCAAGGACTCCGGCCAGGATTGGGAGCCTGAAGTTGTCCATGAGAGCCAGGAAGCATATCGAGTGCGAAACGCATGCGGGCTTTACGTGATGGTTGTAGATAGGAATGGGCATTTTTCGTCTCGATTGGGCATTGGGGTGGTGGCCCCCGTAGGGTGGACAAGGGTAAAGCCTGTGTGGGAGACCATCTTCCTCGTGTGATGAGATGGGTGAGAGGATAATATGATCCCAGGAAATCGTGGGGACAACCTTCATCTCCCACGAGAGGAAGCCCATGAGAAATCGCCTTGGATAGGCCTTACGCGATACAGCATGGACGCTAACAAGCTACGTATTGCTGATGACTCCATTGTAAGCACTTGCACGAACCATTTTGAACATTACTAGTTTTTTTTTTCATTATTTGCACGAGTTTGTTCAAGTCTTCATCTCCAAAATTGTTCTCGTTCAGTATGACCCCGACCTAGCATGCCAATGCAGGAGCATATATAATCTCTCTCCTAAGTACGCCTGACGAAAGACCACTCTCTATCATCAATATCAACGTCATTCCCATTCCGGTAGACACGTCGTCCGCTTATGGGTGGTTCTATAGGTTGGTTCTCTCTGTCCAATACGTGAGGTGCTTTGCCAGAATCGATCGAGGACGTAAGAAACTTGTTGGGTGTTCGACGCGCAGTCAAGCGACGTTTCTCGGGCAATGGGGCCACCTTCCTCTTCTGGCCTTGGTTGCTGACCTTGTCACGTTCCGGATAATGCTTGAGGCGTAAGATATACTCGTCAGCATCGGCTCCCTCTTCACCAATGTGTATACTGTTGCTGCCTCTGTTGTAGTGCAGCGGAACAGTTATGGGATCACACTGCAACTTTGCCGGGGCTCGGGGCGGCTTTCTTGATCTCTCAATGGTCAGCCACATCTGATTGTCTTGACCAGTCAGGGACAATGTGAACCACCAGTACCCTATTGAGGGCCGGCCGAGATTAGCGATGTCGTAGCACTTGTGGTAATGCAGCTTGTCTTTATTTTCGTTGCTTTCATCCTCAAAGAATGGGTCACAAACGATCTTCAGTTCTTCCTTGGGTTTAACGTAGATCTCAAAGTTCTTTACCGTCCTCCGCTTGATATTAAAACGTGTCAGTACCGAGTATCTGAGAATGGGAGGTCGAGAGGAGAGCCTTGTTTTCTGATGAGACTGACCAAGCTGAAAAGAAAGGACGCCGTGTTGTCCCATGGATGTTCTGATTCAATCTCGTCTCGTGTCGCTTGCTGACGTATCTGCAGGCCGAAGCCTGCACCCCTTTCCATGAACTGTTGTAAAGTAAGGGGGGAAGCAACAGCAAATGCGGCGCCGCAAGCAATTTTTACGGAGCTGTAATCCAGGTTAACGTTTGTCTTTCAGGCACTACCGTAATGAAAGGAATCTTACTCGTATTGGTTGATGATGTTGTCCGTTATGATTGGGTCGGCAAGATTGTTGCGTTGACAAATAGCCTTGATCCTTGTCCGAAGACCGTCATGCCTCGCTGTACCACCTGCCAGAATGATTCTGGGTTTTCTGACGGACCTGGGTCCTTCCATGTTCGCAGAAGAGTTGTCTTTCGTCTGAGATGCCAGGAGTTCTGTGGCTGCTTCTATTCTGCTAGTTGCTAAAGCCAAGGGGAACTTCATGGCTTCATCAAAGCAGGCTGTGACAAGAGGCTCATCCAGGGTTACGTTGCGCATTGTGCCATCTTGGTCCTTCACACAGCAATCGAACCCTTGGCCAGGAAATTCTGGTCCACATCCGCCTTTTTCAACATTAAAAGTGTCGAGCAGCTTCTGTCTGATTGGAGCCGATATTTTCAGCCCGTACTCACTCCAGAGATAGTCTAGACTCATTTTGACCACGAGATATTCCCACAGCTCGCTCCCGCCACCGGCGCCTTGTGTTGTAATATCAGAATCAATTTATCAGTACTTGGCCATGGAAGAAGCCTTACCGTCTGGTTTCCCGATAAGATAGAAAGAGGGTGCTCTATCTCGTCCATGTACAATGTTCAACGTGCACGTGTTCTTCGAAACCTTCAGCTGGGCTAACATACCGAATAAAAGAAGTCAAACTAACCATATTGTGACCTCCGAAATCAAGCACCAAGACCACATCATGATGGACAGTGCCCTGATGTGTGACCAAGCGATCAAGCTTCTTTACGCATAGAAAGTGCGCTAGTGCTTCTGTTTCAGTGACGAAGAAGATGGCTGACCGATCATGTTTGAACACTTGGGCGATGATGTCGCGATAAAGATCCATGAAATCCACTGTCCACTGGGATGGAACGGACAAGCCGATAGTGGTAACGCGGAGCTTTTCTTCTTGACACACTTCCATGACGCGATTGTATACTTCGGCGAATAATCTCCTTAATCCTTCGAGTAGTCGATCACGGAGTCCGTTGTCATTCAGATGACTGCGAAGTGGTTCGGCCAGTTGGTATTGTTTGAAAAGGTCATCTGAGGCTTTAACCAATATGTAGAATGCGTATTTCAGGGAGATAGACTCTCGAGCTGCGTCGCTCTTCTCGCCCAAGTACACCTCGCCGCCATCGAATGGATAACCCATGGACGAGAAGTTGCCATTTGCATATCGACGGCCGGTGCTGGACCTACCATTACTTTCGATGTACCAGTCCCTTTTTGTTTCCGGGCACCAGAGATAGGCTCTGGTGCTCGTGCTGCCTAAGTCGATACCCAGTGTACTAGTTCAAATAAGTGGTGAATATACGGGAATTTAAGAAGTTGGTGAATGGTCTTACACATCAGATAGCTCATAGTTCGAATTAACCGCGCGGAATGGTGCCATTGCGCACTTGACCCTCGAGAGGGCTGCACCGAAGAGACCCGATGATGGTTTATGGAAATGGTACTGCATGAAGTGCGATTGAATGCCAGGTCCAAAACTTAAGTAAAAACTCTTTCTTTAAGAGATTGTAAGGAGTAATAACAAAAGAAATGATTGGGTCTAAGCGCACGTCGAGACCCTAGCTACCTGCAGCCTTGTATTGAACCTGACGAAATGAGTGGCGGCTAGATGGCTGCAGCTCATCCCTGTTTTTGTGACATGTAGGAAGTGCCGACCTCAGCTCACCAGCCCCCTGATACATACCCTTCTTCACGCTGTGGCCACAAATTTTCGGCGACGACTGTGAATGGTAGTACTTGAAATCAGGCATATCACCTCCGTTCCTTTCTGCTGCAGTGTTGGTCGCATTTTCTATGGGCCCCCTTCGCGTCTCCAGGGTGGTAAGGACCAGGACGCGTCGAGAGAACTTGAGCTTCTCGATAACGAACCCTCTGTCCATGCTTTGGCCCCCTTGGCGCATTTTCCCTTCAAGCAGATACGCTGCCGTGGGTCAGGAACAGCCAACACATCTTCTGGACTAGTGTCTTCCGGGTAGGCACAGCCTCGTGACAAAACCCACCAACCACTCATTTGACACGTACGAGCCTTAAGTGAAAGTTGGAAAGGAGTTGCGTAAAACTTCTCGACACCTGAGCCACCCATCAGTTACGACTTTTGGGCTATCCGCATTCCACAAGGCTCTGAAGATGGCCAACCCAACAAAGGACAGCGACATCATGACTGAAGAAGCTGCTTATGATATAGGGAGGGCGGAGCTCAAGGCCATCAAAGAGTCCTGGTGGTCAGCCAAGAACACCTTAATCGAGGCGCTCCTCCAGGCTGTCAATGATTACAAAACGTGTTCCAACGAATTGGCTCTTCGAAGAGATCGGAAATTGCAGCAGATATACTCCGAGTCCCCTTGGGCTGGCGATAACCTAGCCGAGCAATTTGTGATCCCTCATCCTGACAATGGGATATTTCCAGCAAAGGGCATTGTATTTTCATACAAGCCAGATAGTGGAAGAAGCCCCGGGGCAGCAAACACATCACTTCAATCAAGCCAAGTGAACGAGAATGACAGCGATGCCACTGTGAGTTGGTACCAAATAGTGGCCCCCATCTCCTCTTCTTCCAAGCACAACCTTACCAGAAATAGGGCCTAGAGATTGTGGTTGAATCGAAGGAGCTGGCCAAGCCTGACCGAGCTCCATCGCCAGCGTCAGGGCTACCCAGTGAAGAACGTGTCGTGCCCACCGACACGTCGGCTGGCCGTCGTTCGCGTCCCGGCCCGGCGAGGTTGTGCCCCCTGAAGACGAGACTACCGCCAATCAAGACAGCCGAGGTCAGTAAGAGTAGCTACTGGGTCTTCGAGTATCGCACGCGCCACACCTATGCGTATTACATCATGCGATGCCCATCCGACGAGTGCAGCAGTCCGGTCTTCACCAAGAACCCGCTTCGCAATAAACGGGCGGAGCAGCACATTAGGCAGTGTAACTATCCATTCAAGGGGGAGAGGGATCTAGTTCATCGTTATGCACGGCCAGGTGAGTCGCCTACTCAAATTCAGGTTCGGGTTGCTCTTCTAATCGTTCATTATACAGTTATTACCGGCCGAAAGGATCGCATAGTAACGCAGGCGTGGGCTTACAAACATAACAAAACCTTGCTAGCCAGTAACGAGGCATTCCTTGAGAGAGAGAATGTTGGTGTAGACTGAATATTATCAAGTCCCGCTCGGTCACTTCCATCGGCCCCATGATCAGCACCCGTCACTCATTGTATAGCGAGTTGATAGTTCAGTTGGTTCGCATTAAGGAGTCTCCCTCGAGCAATTTATTCTCATCTATGTGGCCTAAGCCATCCAATTCTGTGCAGAATTTGGTTCAAGATCCAAATCGTGTCAAAATTCTTTTGGGTTGGGGTCCCATCATATTGCTTTGACAAGTTGCCATAGCCTCAAGTCGGTGGCAGCGCCCCGTATATCTTTGTTGTCTTTCCCTTCGCACGCACCGCATTACTCATACATATGTTGTTGTGAATGCACAACGCCTCTTGTGGGAGGCCGTGGTTATCCCAAACTCCACACAACACTGGAGCCCTCGGGGTGACTCGTGTTGTGCCCATAAAACGCAACCAAAACAAGGGTATACGAATACCGGACTGTAAAAGGCCGTAGCACTTGAAAGTCGATCATGCGGTCTCCTAGATCAAATGAAACGAAGCAAAAACACTGCCGATGCTTCTGGGTAACCATCGGACATATATAACTTACCATGAGACCAGGGGATGTCGCCGTGCCTCGGTCGTTCCTGGTTGAATTAGTAGAATCTTCCTCATACGTAAGGGTCGGGTGCTTGTAATCCGTAGTTGCCCGTTGGACAGTCGGGACCCGAGGAAAATGATATTAGTTGAGGGGAACAAGTCGAGAAGTAGGGATTGGTTCGACAAGTGATGGATGGCATAGATCCAAGTCGCAAAGGGATAAGGGGAGGCCTGTGATGATTCAGGATCGTTGACGCTTGACATCTAAAAGGCATTAGCAAAAGTTGCAGCATTGGGGACCATGATGGCGTACCTTTCCGATCACCAGAGATTGCAAGTGCCTCTGATTCAGCACGTGTTCTCTTCCCAGGCGTCGTAGACACTTGCCCCGATGGCTGAGAAGTAACTGAAACGTCAATGCGTGCCTCTTCGTTTTCAGACTCCCACGTGATTTCCTCATCCACGGGCACCATCAACTTAGCAGCAGGTTCCGGGACAGGATCATGTGTACTGGCGGTGCCGCTGATATCATTGTCATTCTCGTCGTAGTCGATTTCGTCTTGGCCATCATCAGCCAAAGTAGCGGTTGCACTGGTGCTCTGCGAAGGAGGATCGTCATGTTCTTGAGCGTTGGAAGTGGTAGTGTCTTCCGCTTTCGTTTCCACGTTAGTCGAATCGCGATTAGCAGTGGAAGAATCGCCGTGGTATTCGTCGAAATCTTGTGGTTGACGGGAGTTAGCCTGAGAGAGTTCAAACTGTATGGGCATGTCAAAGAATTGCCCCCTGTCTTTGCCCTTCGGTACTTGTAAGAGCGTTGTCTTGGTCGACGCTCTGTTGGCCGGGAGGATGTCGATTTGCGTGGGGCAACTAGCACTGCGGGGACTGTATTCATCCTCGATTCGCTGAACGAAACAAGTATCGCAGTCGCAGTCGACTGACCCGTAGCAATCATAGGGAGGGGAGGAACTGAAGGAATGGGGTGCATTACCATGCTTTGAAGGCGAGAGATCGATGTTATCGTAATCAAGTACGTTATCTCCCGCATTTTCTTGATCGACGCCATTGACAGCATTGTCAGCAGCTTCTTGTCCAGTCTCTTCTGCAACACCAGGATCTGGCTCCTCGTGCGATCCTTGCTCTTCGTTCGGATCTGATTCCGGCTCGTCGTCACCATTGCCACCATGATCTTGGGAACCATGGTGCTCGCTGGCTTCGTCATCTTCCTCATAGAGTTCGTCCTCTTGCGTATAGTCTGGCGTCACGGCAAGCTCTTCGTGTTCACTGGCCTTGTCATCATCTACCGGTGTGGTGTCACGATAGACGGCGACGTCGGTCAAGCTCTTACCAGAACTAGCCTGGACTTGAAGCGCCAAGAGGCGCTGTAAACAACTTGGTCTTACCATGAGGTGCATGTAGAGCTCGGGGCTTTCAATCGCACCCTCCGTGGCATCGTTCTTCAGCAGAGAATCATAAAGAGTAATAATGTGCCCAAACGTGTAGGCGCCAAGGAATTGGTTTGTCATGCTCTATAGTTTTATGTTAGTCAAGCTCAAGACATGGAAAGTGAATAAGGGACATACCTCGCTGAATTCAAGGCCAAGACCATCGACGTGCATGACCAACTCGTCGAGAGGCGATACTTCCTCAGAGATGACATTCCGAATTCCAGACAAGAACTCGCCAAGGGGGAGTTCCAGGGCGGCTGTATCATTGAAGAAGTACTCACTAGGATCTTCATCAGGCGACGCAGCGAACAGTCGGTACTCTGATTCGCCATAGCGCACAATCATTTGGTGGCGACGGGCAATCGTGGCAGCATCTTCCGCATCGTCGTCCCAGCGTCCGGCTTTGTCTTGGTCTTTGTCTTGGTCTTGGTCCTGCAACGCAATCTCCTCGTTGGGGGCACTGATATGGGTGTCGCTTTGCGGTACGGACGAGATGTCAGACTCCTTTGGGCCGCCAGGGCCGTCACTGTTTTGTTCATTGGTGTGCTCAAGTGAGCTTTCACCTAGTTGATATGCATCTGCTGTGTCGTTATCGGTGCCCTCAGCCCCTTCGGGATCATTTGCAATCACAGATGTTCCCTCCTCCGGGGCATCGTGGTCAGGCTCATGTTGGCTGTGAGATTGAGAGCCATGGCGCTCTGATGAAGCATCTTCACCCTCCTGGTTCGGATCGTATTCTACCTCCGGCTCAGGATCTGGGAAGACTTCAGTGGTGGGATCACCATGTTGATAGGAGTCATCAACACCAGCTGCATCAGCATCCCCTTCTTGCTCTTCATTCTCCGCGCCGTCCAGCTGCTCAAATTGCACGACATCAGATTCATCTTGCTGCGGTGCTTCCTGCTGTGCCTGCAAGTCTTCTGGTTGCGGCGGTTGCTTCTGGTCTCCTTCGCTCGAAGGAATACCAAAATCATGTGATACGATGCCGTCGACATGTACTTTAGACTCGGTGTCATGTTCAACAAGTACAGGAGACACTGCATTATCGCCAATTTGGACATGATCTTCAGGTTGCTGGACTGGGATACTCGAAACGGACTCCTCAGTAACATAGTCATGTTCAAGCAAAGAGGCATCATTCCCTTGGAGTTGGTCTAGGCTGTCGTCAGCACTTAGATTGGTGCTCTTGACCATATCTGTAGCCGTATCCGCAGCGTCCACCGTGATACTGTCATCCATGGGCCATGACTGATCGTCAGCGCCGCCGATATCGATGTCATAGTCGTTGGCGGCAGTAGCTGTCTCGTTATAGGTGATGTCATCGGCATCGATCATGCCGTACGAGGCATCATCGCCTTCGGCCATTAACTCATCCCTATTGTCAGAATTGAAGTGTTGGAACTCGTCAGCCTGGTCGTAGTCGCCCAGCTCCAAGTCCTCATCGTGCTGTCCAGCAGCGAAGTCGAGATCTATATCGATGTCCTCTCCTGGGCCGTGATGGCCGAAATCGGTGCTGATTTCCATCTCTTCGCCCGGCATTTCGTGCGCAGATGAGCAGGCGAAGGGAGTGTTTCGCCTAGGCGGCCTGTAGTGCCCGGCTGACCTGATGGTGTGCTGCTGATCGGGACGTCCTTGACTTGGTGGCCCTTGTGGTGTTGGTTAGATGATTAAAGACTCTAGGCGCAGGGCACAGGTGCCGACGCCGTCGGAGGTTTTGCGGTTTATCCTAATCTCGATGGGTCTGCTTGAGATGTAACCTCTGGGTCACAGGACATTGGTGTCGACGGAGGAAGGGTAAATGGTGCTTGGGTACTATGGCACGGTCGGGGGTATCGACAGACGTCTCACAAAGACGACTCCCTTGCCGTACGAGGGTTCAGGTCTCGTGACGAAGCGGGCCTTGGCTGGTCTCTAACCACAGACACGGTCGTGAATGCCGGTGTCAAATAGGCTTCGGCGTCGGGAATGTGAAGCGCTTGAGCACCGGAATCTGCGACAAGTCCAGCACAGACTACAACGGGCAGCGGTTGATAAAGAGAATCGCTGGGCGGGTGAATGCAACTGCACACAAGTGCAGCGCAAACGGTTGTCAGGGATGATGGGGAGAAGCTGAAGCCGGACGTGGCAGGCGACAGCTTTGGGAAGCTTGGGAGTTGAGTTAGGTGCGAAGGTTCGGAGCTTCCAAACGGGACCCAACGACGGTTTCGGTCAGTTGAGCTGCACGCCACGAAGCAGAGGCAGGATCAAGCCGCGGGTGAGGTCCGGAGACACGGGAGGCAGAGGAAGTGAAAATTGTGTGGCGTGAGCACGATGGACCAGATCAAAAGACGAGAGCTGCCTGATGACTGATGATGATGATGGGGATGTAGGCTCAAGCTACGAGGTAGAAATGTCGCCGCTTTGAGCCAAGTCACAGTGCAGCCAGTACAAGGTGCTTTTTCTAGCGGGCGGCGCGACTGGCATTCCAGCGCGCGGGCGGACGCGGTAGGCTGCCAGACCAGAACCAATATGGATAAACGTCGGCCCAAGACAAGACCTGTGCTCTTGAACTGTCCTGGTGTGGATGTGGATGGGGTCCACGGTACTGTGTGGTAATGTGTCAGCTCCCTGTCAGTGTCAGTCACAGAGAGACACACACCCGACAAGGCTGAAAGGGGGGACCCAGGTGCTGTGGCTAGATCAGTGCAGCAGCCACAGCCACAGCCCACCAAGGGGGGGAGGGGGGCTTGAGTGGGTGGTTGCCCAGCGCTCCAGTGCCCCAGTGCCCAGTGCCCACCTGCAGGGGCCCAGACTGGACATTTGGTCTTTGGGGGGTTTGGGGGCTTATGGGTGAATTGGCTTGTTCTGGCTGGGGGGAAGCTACATACGTACATCCCAATTGCATCTGCGCCCATCGTGAACTTTCCCTCCCCTTGGAGACCGCCCATTCCCTCCCAGCTCTGCCGACCTGCTCAGTCCCGCCGATCCGCGCTGCCGACAACTGAGAACACAACAAGATGGTATGTATGCCGCAATGCCATGCCCTCCTGCACCCCCAGGCCCGACACCATTCCACCACGTTTGTGCTGTGCTGTGCTGTGCTGATGCGCTCCTCCGCCCCAGGTCGTCCTCGCAGCATCCATCTGCACCCGTGGCGGGAAGGCTGTCCTCTCCAGGCAGTTCCGCGAGATGCCCAGGTCGCGCATCGAAGCCCTGCTGGCCTCCTTCCCCAAGCTCGCCGACACGGGCACCCAGCACACCACCGTCGAGCAGGACAATGTCCGCTTCGTCTACCAGCCCCTGGACGAGCTCTACATGGTCCTCATCACCAACCGCCAGTCCAACATCCTGCAGGACATTGACTCGCTCCACCTCTTCGCCCAGGTCGTCACCAGCACCTGCAAGAGCCTCGACGAGCGCGAGATCCTGAGGAACGCCTACGAGCTGCTCAGCGCCTTCGACGAGCTCGTCACCCTCGGCTACCGGGAGAACCTCACCATCAGCCAGATCAAGACCTTCCTCGAGATGGAGTCGCACGAGGAGCGCATCCAGGAGATCATTGCCAGGGTATGTATTCCCCACTTCCACATCCACGATGCCTTCCGCCGTGCGCCCGGCTGACCCCCTCTGCAGAACAAGGAGTTGGAGGCCACAGAGGAGCGCAAGCGCAAAGCGAAGCAGCTCGAGATGCAGCGCAAGGAGTCGGCAAGGAGCGGCCGTGCCGGCGTGCCACGCACCCCCGTTTACCCGACATACACCCCTCCTTCCCGCCCTACGCCCACGGATACCTACGATAGCTACGAGGCCGAGAAGAACAAGACCTCGCTCAAGACCACCACCATGAAGGGCAAGGGCATGCAGCTCGGCAAGAAGTCCAAGACTACCGACATGTTTGAGCGTGTGCGCGGCGACATGGGCCAGGAGGTCGACGACTCACCTCTGGTGCCCGTCGCTGCCCCCACGCCTGCCGCCGAGCCTGCTGCTCCTCGCGCCTCCACAGGCCTGGACCGTGATGCCATCCACGTCACCGTCAACGAGGCCATATCCGCCAAGCTGTCCAAGGAAGGCTCCGTCAACTCGCTGTCCGTCACGGGAGACTTGACGCTCCGCATTTCAGATCTCAGCTTTACCAAGGTCAAGCTGGCCCTGTCCGCCACCCCCTCTCACGGGGTGCAGTTCCGTACACACCCCAACGTCGACAAGGCTGCCTTCAACAGCTCCAAGACTATCCAGATGAGCAACGCCGCGCGAGGCTTCCCCGTGAACAACGCAGTCGGTGTGCTCAGGTGGAGAGCCTCGCCAAAGGTCGACGACCCGAGTGCTGTGCCGATCCAGTTCACCGTGTGGGTCAACAAGGGTTCGGACGGCACCTACGGTCTCACCGTCGAGTACGAGCTCACCGGCGGCGAGGAACTCAGGGATGTCAGTGTGAACATTCCCTACGCGACAAGCGAGCCCTCTGTTTCCAGCTTCGATGCCACATGCGACGTGTCAGGCGATAGCCTGGAGTGGTCGATCGGCACCGTCACCGCCGATGAACCGAGCGGATCTTTTGAGTTCGAGGCCCAAGCAGACAGTGAGGAAGAGTTCTTCCCCATGCAAGTGCGCTTCTCCAAGACGTCGCCCTTCATCGACGTTGATGTAAGTATAATGTCCAGAATCTGTTCACTCTCGCGAGCGGGCACGGCTAACAGCAAACCCAGGTCTTGTCGGTTGCGTTGGTGGAAGAGAACGAGGAGGTCACCTTCTCAAAGGATATCAAGTCGGTGGCGGACTCGTATGTTGTTGAGTAGACTATTGGTAGATTTGAAGTTACGTAGAGCGCAATTGCATGGAGAAACGGTTAATGAAAAGGCCGCGGTTCACATAGAACTGCCAAAATTGCAACTATCACGGCGTCACTCAGGTGGCCATGCACGGTCTCAGTGTCCCGAATACTGTGCACGGAATCAAGGTGATGTGGCAACCCCAGCGATGGCCTTTGTTTCGACCATTGTACGTGCCAAGGACATACAGCCATGATGTGAAGCATGCTCTTCTAGTTGGCATAATTCTTACCAGACGAGATTGCGTGGCGCGGCCAGGATTTGCGATGAATGGATACACTGTGTGTATGCGCTGTACGGAGCTGCACTTTAGCAAGTCGCGTCAGGCGCGTTCCACTGTAGACCTGCACATTTGTTGCTGAATGAGACGGAACCTCTAAACAGCCAGCCATAGGGCACCCCCGACGAACTCTCCGGCGGCGCTTGCAAGATGAGAAACCCATCGAGCAGAATTGTATGCCGTAACCGAAGATGGCACACGATAGCTCACTGGAGCTTTTGAGCGAGGCCAAACTCGACCCCAGGCCGCATGCAGGCCTACTAACCTACAACCCCAGCATCGAGCTCTTCGCAAGGGCTGCAGGGTCCAGAACTTTGGAGATCTGGCGGTCCAATGGTCAGACCGTCGCGAAGAACAGTCAGAAGGGCGAGAGAGAGACTGTTGAAGCGCTGCAATGGAAGGCCGACGGTACGTATCGACACACCCCGCCGCCAACCCGCCGCGTGCGAGGGGCCACCCCATGCTAACGCTCAACAGGCGAGTTCCTCGCTGTGGGATGGAGCGATGGCATCGTACGGCTGATGGGCCTGGAGAGCAGCAAGGCCGTTCACCAGATACCTGTGTGCGACGCCGCGAAGGCCAAGATCACCTGCATCGGCTGGGCGCGAAACCATGCCGCCAAACGCCCGGCCTCGTCGCGCAAGCCCGGCACGACGGCTCTGAACGACCTCTCTCTAGACGGACTCACGTTAGACGAGAAGAGGAAGAAGACGACGACGCTTGATCTGCCACGCGAGCTTGCCTTCCTTGAGGTGGAGACCGCGCTGCCGAAGCTGAGTCCGCTGCCGGCCTCTGGAGGCTCGGGGTATGCTGCATGCTCACAGATTCTTCGACTTGAGGGCTGACCCCATTGTAGCGATGATATGTATGTCTTCACCACGAGAGCGTCTCTCGAGTTTCTGTTCCGGCCCTTTTCGCCAGAGACCAGCGACTTGGTGGATGTAATGCTGGTGGGCACGGATGACGGACAGATACACCTCAGCATCTACGACTCCTTTGTCATCGGCAACTTCAAGTACAACCTGCCCAATGACTTGGGTAACGCCGATCCTTTAAAACTGATGCATCATGCCTCCCACCCCGATCTATCCACACATTCCCTCCTATTCCGCCCTTCGTCGAAAGGCGAAACCAGAGAGTTATACCTTGTCCCCATGGACCTGACTTTCATCCACTCTTCCCCCGAAAACCTGTCTCTCCTCGCATCAAAGACTACTACTCTGCAGAAGCTTCTGAGATATGTAAGACAGGTGCAGATGCACATGGTGTACGAATGGCAGTCTACGCGCGAGTTGCCGGGCAAATTTCTCAACAGCATCAACGAGTCTCTACGCGAAACTGGGACATACGGAGAAATGGACATTGGCCAAGCGATATACCATTCAGTCGTAACTGGCCACACGTTCCCCGAGGTCAAAGAGTGGCTCGTCGATCAACTAGCAGAACGTGTAAGTCAATTTGAATCCCGCTGCAATAAGTTTCATCACTGACAATGCTCAAAGGGACACAAGCGGTGGGATAAGGCGGTTGTTTCAGGCCTGGAAAACCTCCGCAGTCTTGTTCATGAGAACTTTCTCCCATCGCTGGAGCGCATAGCGATCATCTTGAGCCGCCTTCTTGGTATAGCCCGCTTTCATGAATCCAAGGACGAAATCGGCTTCACCAGCACCCAGATCACCAAGGTTATGGATATCGTGTCTTGCTTAATGCTCGTCGGAAACAAGATCCTACTACTGGTCATGGAGGAGCTGGACCTATTCCATGCTTTCTCGGGCTGGCTTCGCCATGAGATTGATCGGTTGGCGTCCTCTTCCTCTTCGGACGAGCTCACCGAGAAGGAAGCCACCATGGAGCACGGTAAAATATTGACCTACATCCAGCAATACATGCACGCCAGCCCATTACAGGCTTACCTGAGCAAAGTTTCGAAGGACGAGTCGAGTCGGGACTCTCAATTGGTCGGTGATGTTACTTCTTTGCTAGATGTCCTTGATAAACAAATCAAGAAGCAAGAAGACGGGAAGTCCCAGTCGACCGTGGTCCACCAGATAGAGTTCTTGGGGGATTTCCTGCTAGAGAACTCCAATGTCGTGTTCAATGGCATTGCAGAAGCCGAGAAGCGCAGTGTGAGGTTCGGTCAAGCTACTAAGATCGAGCTGGAAAACAGCATAACGAAGGTTGACGTTCGGATGTGTGCTGCCAATCACGGTGTAAGACTCTCAGTAGCACCCCGGTGGACCTGTGACCTAACATCTCCGCAGGACACCACAAATGGCTTGACATATACAGCGTTAACGGAAGAAAACTTCAAGAATATCGGTAAGGTCACATGGATCCTTGAGTATTTCTTCTACTAATGGCATTGCAGTCCACCTGTTCCGAACGGACACACACATTATCAATGGGATTAGCAGTACAGTCAAGACGCAGCATACGTGCCTCTCCTTAGGTGATGCCCAAGTTCTCGATCTCAGATTTCTCAACGAAGACTCCCTACTCGTATTACTATCGCTTGAAGGTAAGCTTGAAATGGGATTTCACAGATTGGCGCTGACGCTAACGTTTTATATAGACGACCTCCGGATTATCAGGGTCCCACATCCTTCGGATAAGCTGGGATACCATGACTATAGTCCTGGAAATCTAGCATCTCCGCATGTCCTCAGCACAGGGGAAGTCACTAGCGTCTTCCCAAACGTCCTTATCCCGCGCGAGGGCAACTTTGCGCCAGTGCAAATGGAGGTCAAGCAGGCAAGCTCAGACCGTGGGGATTTCCCGGCCCGAGTTTGTCTTCTTGGGAACGATCTCCAGACGTACAAGGTCTTCTCTCTGCCTGCTGAATTTCTTTGAGTCAGGGGTTTTCTCCTCCGGGCGTCTTAGCTACCAAAGTACGATGGTCACTGATTCAGGGGAAGGCCTGCAAAGAGGAGAAGCCAGCTCACTTTAGCTGTGTATAGATTTGCTCATGCTCTTGGAGAGTGATACATGACTGTTGCTGTCAAATTTAGGTCTACTCAGTCCGAGCCAACAATACCAAATTCAAATTGTGGGCCACAGTATACCTTGACTTTCCGTTGAACGCACGAACCATGAATAATGCTCGCATCTTGCTCGTGTGCAAATGTGCCGTCCAAGAAGCAGCAGAAAAATTGTATACATCCCCGTCGTCATCGACAGCTAATCTCTACTACGTGAAAATCGGTTCGAAGTTGGAAACAATCAATTAATAGAGTCTATTCAAGTACTGTCGCTGTGAACACATGTAGGCGTAGTGCGGGCACCGTATCAAACTCAGTTGCTATTACCGTAAGAACACACTGTTTTGCTAGTATATTTGAGCACCTTATTGATGCCCTGTGGTGGATCGGCACCACTCATTACTATACTCAGTAATGCTAAGCCCCTTTGTCGACCTCCATTTGACTTTGCAACGAGCCCTTTTTTTTTAAAAAAAAAAGGTTCATGCGAGCTCAATCTTCATTTTACTTGCTATACTTGTAGTCATGGTTCGTGTAGTAACCGTCCGAGTCCCAGCCTTTATCATCATCTCTGGCTTCAGGTGGGCAGGGGTCGCTGATATCGACCTGGATCTGGTAAGTCTGCGGTTGGTCTCCGCCGCCGCTGCTCCCACTATTGCCTTTATCTCCGCCGTTGTTGCCACCACTCCCACCGCTGCTTCCACTTCCACTCCCACTTCCATTTCCGCTTCCACTGCCACTTTTCTGGCCTCCACCGCCGCCGCCGGAGGTACCGCCTCCCATACCGCCCCAGCTAACACTTGTACTCATGGTTGTTGTTGTTGTTGTTGTTGTCTTTGTGTGGTTCAGTGTCGGAAATGTATATGTTGTCTGGGATAGAGTTAGAGTGGAGGGCCGTAGATTTCCCACTGCCTTCTTATGGAAATTAGGCATAAGTGAATCACGCCGCGACTGATCTGTGCTAATGTCCCTGGAATCGAATATTTGCACACTGCCCGTGTGAATCAAGGCTCAAGTCACTGTATCAAAGAGACTATCCATTTTTAATTATGAAGCATATATATTCACACGACCAGAAACGGAGAGAGCTTCATCAATAAAATCAAGCAATGGTCAATGTATGATCAAACCGGCGCTTGATGTCTTCGCCAGGTCGATATGCGCTACTACAGGTTTGCTTGCTTGCTCATTGTTTGCTTAATCGTGTGATAAAACAGCCCCACAAGCCGGAGGACGAAGTATACAATTGCTTTGGAGCTTATCATTTCGGGTGCTCAACTACCGGGCACCATATGAACAACCTCATCCTTGAACAGTCGGCAATCAGCCCAAGGTCTAATATAACTTCGAAACTGGCAAGACTTGTTAGGCCCACCAGCAGTAGGCCACAAAACACATGGCGGCAAGAAAAATGCAGTGGATTCATAGGAGTCAGTACCATTATTAACCCCTCGGAACTGTGCCTCAACCGAGATAATTTCTTCGTTGTTTAAAAGACCATAACGGAGATTGACGACACTCACGGTAGAAGCTACCTAACAAGCTAAACTCAAGCAAAGCTACAGTGCTTCGACAAAATGCAAAAAGTATACATTATCTTACGTCCGACTTGGTATTGATCATCTATGCTGTAGACAATAATCGTACTGTGTCGTAATTACACGCTAAGAAATGATGTGATATCATTACAAGCTCATGCAGTTGTGAAGAGAATCCTTGCCCTTCTTTTGAAATGAAATTGCGCGCTTTCCTGCCCCTTTAGACACCCCCCACGCGTCTTGCGTTTGTGCCCAACCTGCCCGGACCCAACTCTGGAAAAGCGACAACATAGATGCACTTCATGCCAAGCTAATGTGACCTCTCTTGCTCATATAACGGCGGTTGTACCATAGGCCGAAAGCCTCAAATAGCTGCACGACTGCCAGCGCATACTCAAAGATAACCACCGTCAACCAGGAGTTGAGGATCCATTTTTGGACGCGCAAATCTCTTCCAAGGCAGCCCAAGTGGTCACACTCCAGGGTGTAGTCGCGAGACATGAGCATGAAAGCCAGGAGGAGAGAAGCTAGGATGATATCGATTACGGCTAGGGAGATCTTGCCCACGAGGGGCGCCATCAGGCCATCGCCGTTCTCATCGGAGTCGCCGTATGACAGAATGGTCTTGCCACGGACCGTGACCTTGATGGGGAAGGGCAGCCTGTCGGCAAACCGCTGGAGGTACGGGTGGACGGCGGCAGCCGAGACGGCAATGATGTTCCAAGTAACCGTGATCCATGCGGCGACTGTGGCCGCATAGACACCACTGAAGTCCCGGAATGGACCAATGTACGATCCGGCGTTGACAAGGGCAAAGATGCCGAAGAAGACGAGCACGATCCGGATGGTCGCTGCGAGGAGCAGTCGGGGTGCCAATTCTGATGCCATGGTGGTGGATCTACAGCGCTAGCCGAGGTGCTTTACGATGGTGTTGTCAATCGAGAGGTTTGTGAGCTCAACGTAAATTCAGCAATTCTAGTAATCATACGGTTCAAAAACAATTTGATGGCTGCAATTAAGAGAAGAGAAGTCCTGTCTCCGCAATGTCTTGAATGGCAGGCAACAGTGTGCTACACATGACGTTGTTAGCGGAGCACAATCCCTGTCAACGCAGAACCAGCACAGCTTCGATTTGATTAGCTGAGGGGCTTGAGGAGTTTATGCTCCAAACTCCGCCGTCAGCAGGTTTTAGTATTTCCTCCTAAACGTAAACGTATAGTACGGGCGGGGAATCAATCTTGATTATACTTTTGTGTGCCACCTCTATACTCATAAGAAATCTGTTGAATGTTGTACTTTACCATCGCATCAAGTAATCGGTCATAAATGAGCCCAAGCCTGAAGTCTCCGTCTTGGCAAGGTTTGGCCATAAATTGCATAAGATGTCTGTAGCGGTTTCCATTATCTATGTGCCACTCGTAAAGCTTATTATCAAGGTGCTCATTACCAGTGGCTCGTCTACCCACCCGCCATGATGATCACGCAATCACTCTTTCCTGCCCTTTTTAGACCACTCCCTCAGAACATTCTTCTGAATCTTTCCAGTGCTTGTCTTGGGGAGCTCATCCACAACTTCAACCTCTCGCGGCACCATGAACTTGCTGATCGAGCTGTTGTTTTTGGCCCAGTTGATCATGTCTTGCGGCTCTAGCCTTTTCCCTTCCTTGACAGTCAGGTATGCCTTTGGGCGTTCTCCCCAGTGCGAGTCAGGCACCGCGACGACTCCAGCCTCCAGGACATCGGGGTGCTGCACCAGCATGCTCTCGAGGGCGACAGACGAGATATTCTCGCCTCCTGAGATGATGATGTCTTTAGCCCGGTCCTGTATTTGAGCACTTCCGTCCGGATGCCACACTGCCAAGTCTCCGGAATGCAGTACACCACCAAGGAAAAGTTTGCGCGTGGCCTCCGCGTCCTTGTAATAGCCCTTGGCACAGATGTTGCCGATAAATACGATTTCTCCAATTTCCTTGCCATCCTTGGTCACGTCAATCAGTACACCATCAGGTTGATCTGGCTTGATTATCCTTATCGGCAGACTTGTGACGAATCCGTGTCCTTGGCGCGCCATTTTCCCATATTTCTCGTTCAGCGGGAGAGCGTCCCATTCAGGCATCGGATACCCTTTGGTGATCGGCCCATAAGTCTCTGTCAGACCATAGACATGTACTGGGTGCAGATTGAGATCCGTCATTTGCTGGAACAGGTGCGCAGTCGGTGGGCTTGCTGCTACAGTCACCCTTACGGGTTCTGGGAGCTTCTCGGCCTCCTTTGAGGCACACAGGAGGGTATTCACTGTAGGAGCCGCATTGAAGTGCGTGATCTTCTCTTCCTTGAGCAGCTTCCAAATCAGAGGGTAGTCAATCTTTCTGAGACAGTAATGCGTTCCTCGCACCGCGGTTATAGACCAGCTACACCTCTTTAGTAAGATGCCTGTAAGGTTTGATTGGGGCCAGAAACTTACGGGAATGTCCAGCCCATTGCATGGAACCTACGATTGATTGAGCGACACCGTTGCCATATCGGGGACTGTAGATCAACTTACATTGGTAGCGTCCAGAGATACCTACATCTCCCATTATTATAGTTTAGGCCAGATTCGATGATATTTGCTAAGCTTGCAAGATACGCTCCCCTATGGGTGTAGATGACGCCTTTCGGGCGAGATGTTGTACCGGAGGTGAAGGGAATAGCTAGCATATCATCCTCGTTTGAGCACTGCGAGTGCAATCCGGCCCATCCCTTACTTCCTTGGGAGGTGTCGTACTGAAGGCCTTCTAGAATTGCTTCATCAAACGGGCCACACAGCTGGCCTTCGGTGGCATCAGTATCCTACGAAAGTTAGCTCTCGCATGTAACTGGCTCACAATCCATGATACGCACAGTGTCTATGATGAAGGTGACATTGGGGTGTGACTTTTTAAAGTCTTCTAGTAGAGGCTCGTATTCCTGATCTACGATAATGGAATCAACCTCTGCAAAGTCGAAGATGTAGGTGATGTCATCCGGTTTTAAACTGACGATCCATTCTCGGTGAGCGAAAGCAGGCATCCGGTCAACACGAGGGATATCTTACCGGTAGTTGACTGGGACAACCACGCCACGAGCCGCAATGATACCAAAGATTGATTCCAGGAATGCTGGTGTGTTAGTGGCCAGAATTCCAACCCTTTTGAAGCCGCGCTTTAGAAGGAAGTACGCAAGTCCCCGTGCGCGGTCTGCGAACTCAATGTAAGATCTCCTCAGGATCTTGTTGTTCGCCGTTACGTGGTAGATGGCTGGAGCATCAGGTTCAATGGCCGCAGCCCGTTCCAGAAAGAAAGTAGGGGACAACTGATGAATATGGTGGCTGTGAACATACTCAGCCGGCGGCGTTGTGGCCGCTGAAGTGAGATGCCCCAGTAAGGTCTTGAGTCGCGAGGTGGCTCCGGACATGGCGGGGGATGACGTTGTCCGTAAGTTGTAACCGATTAGCTGCTCACTACTCCAAGTCCACAGCTCAGCAGTAATACAAGTCGCTAGCACCTTGGAAAGAGGTCGGCGAAGTCAATGTCTTGGTAAAACGATGCAAGATGAGAGGGAGTTTACCGAAGTTAGCCGGGAGCTGAAAACAATGCGGTGCGGCTCACGCCAGTGAGATACCTGGTAGCCGTCGGTGTGGTGCCGACAGATGGATCCCTGAAGCCGTGGGTTCGGAACAAGGGAGACAAAATGCGGGGGAGCACTGAACCCCTGTCAATTGCCCCCCAGATCCCGCGCTCTGGGGGAGGAGGGCGCTAAGTCACCAGTGTCTCTGTTAGCCAGGTTAGCCTGTTCTGGTCAAGTCTACTGCTTTAGTCGCTGTCTGATTTGCTACACAACCTATGCCCACGGAGACTACATAGGATGGTATACTGTCTTGATGCTTCGAGACTTGGTAACCCCGTTTCCTAGTGTAGTTACCCAGCCATGCAGTAGTCTGGTCTTTTCTGCTAATTACATCCTTCGCATGAGCCAAAGGTTAATTTTCATCCTTGTATAACTGTTTGCTTTATGAGGTCGTCCAGCTTGTATTTCTCAGCGACTGTATAAAAGTAACGACACACCCTTTATATGAAATGACCAAGTGGACGATAGGGATAAACGGTCTATGAAGGATGCACTTCCATACTTTCTGTAGCAATCACCAAGCCATTTTACCTGTCATTTACTTCATCTCTATCACGGCTTGCGAAAAATAACACGCACAGTCGGGTGTCGAGTTTGTGCAAAGTTACGAGTGGAACCAGCGCTATCTACGATTTTCCATTTGCTGCGCATTCTGCTCGTGTATTTTAAGTTCGTGTGTGGCATACCAGGCTCTGGTGTTTCGGAGACAGCTGCACGCCGTGGTCAAAAGGACGTAAACCCACCACTCTCATCATGCTGGGCGCCTCAGAAGTAACAGACAAAATCGTTCAACAGTCTGTCATTCTAGGGACTCCTCTCAAACCGAGAAGATACATCCGCTCAACCCAGAGCGCTTCTTTGCCTTCAAACATATACAGAAACCCTCAAGTACCTTACTATATCTTCAACAATTACCATTCAAGCCTCAGTCCTTGCTGTGATCAGAATGGAGGCTCGGTTGGTACAACAACGAACAAATTGCCTTGCAGCTATGCCACCGGATAACTCAGTTTTCGCAAGGTTTAGGCTGCTGAGTTTGACAAAAATGCCGCCCGAAATAAGTATCATTATCATCATTGAGATTGGCGAACCGCGAAGCATCTGCAACTTTAGACTGGCTTGCCGAGAGTTCAACAAATACTTCGAGGGTTGCTGGCACACATCGCTTCGAACCATGGCGTCGCGGCTGTTTGCTGTCAACCTGAAGGACGCGCTTGCCATTGTTCGTTGCCCCCGGTCAACGGATTATAGTTCTCGCCAGGAGTTTCAGGAGAGCATGATATTGTTCTTCGACAAATATCAAACCCAAGAACTGTGCCAGTTACGGCTGGCTAATAAGGATTCTATACCCTGGAGAGATGATTTTCGAGAGGTTGCCGTCAAAGAGTACACCTGCTTGTGGCAGCTGGCCCAGACGGTAGGCTTCTGGATCCACAACTGGACGAGAACGCTCGCGCAGTCTCCAGCTCACGACTTACCACTCGATCACTTCCATCCAACCACCGATGGGCGTCAATTTTGCTCCGAGAACGAATTTCGGAGAATTCAAAGAGGGTTCTTACGATTTCAACTATATTGCAAAGCATTCTATCAGCACCCTACGTCGCCGTTGTTTCCCAGCGATAGGCAGAGGATAAATCTCATGTTCGGATCTAACACCTTCCTAAGGTCGGGCCATTGCGCTCACGGGGACCCAAGACAGCAGGATAAAGAAGCTCTGACAAAGAATCTGGAGTCATCCCGAAGCCCTTGGGAAGTTGAGGAGGTTATGTGCGCCTTCAACTTTGTCTACTTATACCACCAGAGGAGACTAAGCCGCATTAGAGCCTCGTATCTGCAAGACCTCAGACGTCATGCCCGAGACGTCGGCGAGGCATGGCCCACTATTTATGCGGCGTACACAGCAACCTACAGACACAACCTGTCTCTGCATTGGTTAAACGATGAAACAGTTGATTCCAAAGTCCTTGCGGCCATGACGTCGATGGGACTCGACTGGTTGACCCACGTACACCATCTTGAAGATTCAAATTTGCTTCAGAATCTACGTCGTCTGCTGCCCCAGATCAAAGCTACAGATTACCGCAGTCGCCTGTGCCACATCATATGGGATTTTCTGAAGCTGAATACGCCTTGGCTACGATACAATACCAGCATGGTTCGGCAAGTCGCAGCTGAGAAAGACGAATTAGCAGATGTCGATGGAGTGTGGTTTCGATACAACGACCGCTTGTACAATAATGGCTACCTATGCTGGCTCCGTCACATAATGGTCCCGAATGAAGAGGATGCTGTGAACGAGGCACACATGCACGAGGAGGAGTGGGGGATTGAACTAGAGGATGGGCAAAGCCCACAACATATCCCCGGCTTGGAACGGGATCATGTTCAACGGGTCACGATGATGCCCCTTGTGTCAAGAATCAGGGCCGAGGCATGGGTTTTCTGGGACAGCAAGACAGTGGACGAGCGGCTTAGACTTGAATTCCCTGGCTATCTATCCGACACGAAATTCGATTTCTACGGGACTAACCAGCCTGAGGGATTCTTCCCGCTGCCGAATGCCCAAGAGCTGGGACTGACACGTTCTCTCTTGCTAAGGTCGAGTTTAACGGCCATGCCTATCACGTTGGCTGCATACATGGAGTTGAGAAGGAAGTATGGGTCTCAGGCAGGAGAATGGGCTCAGAGCCTCACGATGCATCAGAGCAGCTGGGACTTTTCATAGGCATGTACATGACCAATATCATGCACTGGCCTCTAGGCGCCTCAGTATACATAGCGCATTAATATAGTAAAGCATTCCAGCGCAAACATGCCCGCGAATGTGTACAACAACTCATGTGTTCAGTTTTAAGGCACTTGTTCAATCCAATGCCCTAGGTGTAATTATGGCAGGCTATATTTTAACGTTACAGGTAAGTAATAGTGCAATTTGGAGTTGCTGAGGACGCGGGGCTGATCATACTCTGCCGCGAAAGTCAGGATATCATTGGTTCGCTAATACTAAGGTCATGTGAATATGCAGAACCGCCGCATTATGCCCTGCCAGGCTCTCCCACAGGTCTGGCATCATTCATCATCACCAGCTGCTTGACGGTCGCGATACTACTCTACGAGCATAGTGTGGCGCCATGATACTTGCGATACCGTATCCGAATGCGCACGCACCCGGCGATTCAACTGACATTGTCGACCAGTCGGCATTATGAACAGCGATCGGAAGCCCAAAGTGTTCAGGCTGCGGCAACTACCCCGCGATGCTACGGAGTCCCAAACGCTGGTCTTTCTCAGCAAAGGTCTAGGCGGTATACGAGTCGATGACATACACATATATTCATTGGCGACGAGCCTGAGTCCCTGGCGACCAACTAAAACGGCCACACTCATGTTTGACTCACCTCCTCCTCTAACCGAGCAACATAAAGAAGAAGACGAATGGCAAATCACAGTGATGGGACTTGAAAAGCCTCTGATATTAGATACTCATTTTCGTGGGCTAACACCGCTTCGCGACCCAACTTCGGAGCACAGTTTCGAGTAAGTCACCCGATTCTTGATATTGAACACAACTGACGCCGTTGCGCAAAGCTGCATCTCACTCTCGGGGCTCTCAAGTCACCCATTCGGGTCATGGCAGCCCAAAAAGAGCGACAAAACACTCATGTGGATCAGAGACGAATTACCCTTTGATCTGCCTCAGCTCAGGCCAGTCGTTTATGGTTACGAGACGCCATTGCCTAGAAGCAGATCATTCCAGAGTATCGATGATCTCGCGTCGCAACTCATTAGCCATTTGGAATCCAGTGGATGGACTTCGTTGAGCGCAAAGCCACTCGTGTTCCTGGCTCATAGCCTTGGAGGACTCGTCCTCAAGCGCGCCATTGTGGCACTTGCCAACAGGGGCGATGGCGATATGGCCATCCGTATTACTGGAGGTATCTTCTTCGGGGTGCCGAACTTCGGTATGGAGCAGTCATCGTTTCGATCAATGGCCAAGGGGAATCCCAACGAGCCATTGGTAGATGATTTATCCCACGATTCGCCGTGGCTGCAACGCCTCGAATCACAATTCAATGGCATTTCCTTCCTACAGAAGATGAGAATGTTCTGGGGCTATGAAACGTGCACATCGCCCACCTTAGTAGTGAGTATACTCCTCCTAGGGACGAAATGCCTGGAGCTGATTTTGGATAGCTAAATGATGATGGTAAATTTGTGGCGGGCGCTGATGTGATTCTTGTTACGCCCCAATCCGCCACACGGGGTTTACTAGAATCAGATGAAAGCCTGACATTTCCACTCAATGAAAACCATTCCAATATCGTCAAGTTTTCTCGAAATCATGAAGATTACAATGTTGTTGTGGGAAAGATTGCTCAGATCTGCAACATCCCACCTGACCGCGTTGCTTCTAGCGAGGCGAATGAAAGCCATCCAAATAGTTCGACCTCTAGCCGGATGAGATTACCCAAGCTTCCACTGGGTCGAGATTCCACACTCAGTAGTTCAGCTCAGCCAAGCGATAGAAAACTATTAGATGGTAGGCTCGAACTCAAGATAAACAACCAGTCCCCAACTAACAATAGCCGATTTCAGTCTTACTTCGTTCACTAAAAGCGCCGGCGCGAGACAGTCGCATGAATGAGATTGAACCACATTTCCGCAATACGTTCGACTGGATATTTGACAAGCCAGAAAGTGGCTTTGTCCACTGGTTGGAGGTTGGAGAAGGAGCATTTTGGATCAATGGCAGCCCTGGATCAGGTAAATACGCTTGATTTCTCTCTCAATCCTAAGACAGGTCCCCTGAGAATCTGGTGTCGCAAAACTCAGCTTTATCGGAGAGAAACCGCATTGAAAGTCTCTGACCGTCATGCAGGGAAGTCTACTCTCATGAAGTACATATTCAACGATCATCGAACCCGCGAACTTCTCCACGATTTCAGAAACCCAGGCGATGAAGTGTTTGCAGGATTCTTCTTCCATCATCGCGGCTCACCAGAGCAGAAGTCCTTCGATGGATTACTCAGAAGTATTCTTAGCCAGGTTCTGGAACAAATCCCAAAGGTCAGCCAGATCCTTGGTTGCCTTATCAAACAAGATGATTCCGGAGAGCTTGTGTTCCCGGATTGGTCCACTCTTATGTTGGAAGAAGCCTTCAACATGATTTTGAACCAACAGCGATTCAGGTTGAGAATTTTACTCTTCATGGATGCGTTAGACGAATATCATGGGCGGCCTGAATTCATCGGCAACTTCGTCGAAAGTCTCGTGAACAGAGATAACACATCCTTAACACATCTGAAGTTATGCTTCTCTAGCCGCCCTTGGACTGCATTCACGACCCGTTTCACGGACTACGTGAGCCTCACGATTCAAGACTTCACCAAGGGTGATATCCGCCGTTATTGTCTCGGGGCGATGGACGCTAAACTTTCCATTGATATATCTATCCGTATGGAAGACTTGATATCGCACGTCGTCAACCGGTCTAAGGGTGTATTTCTGTGGGTCAAATTGGTAGCAAGCGACCTTGCTAGCGCCGCCAACTCAGGATGCAGTGAGGAGGACTTGGAACGACTCCTACAATCTCTACCCGATGAGCTAAGCGACTACTACGCAGAAATCGTCCGAAGGACGCCGATCACATCTCGTTGGACTCTTTACGCCATGCTAGAAATCACAGCTCGATCCATATATCCCTTGAGCGGGCCTGAACTCATAGGTGCAGTCGAGTGTTCCCGATGTTCGACTTATGCAGAGGCAGTTTCGGAATCGGAGAGATTGCAGGTACTGAGAGGGCCATTATGCAAGGAGTATGCAGCAACTCAAATAAGAAATCACGCACAAGGTCTCGTGCAGATTCGGGGAGGCCACGCTGAGCTTTTGCATCAGACTGTCAAGGAATTCGTTGGCCGACCCAACTTCAGCGCTCTCGTCCTCGAAACCGAGGCCAAGGCCACCTTTGAAAACGGACATTCTTTCTTGTTCAAGTGGCTTTTGTCGCAACGCGATCACGTTGAGGAACGAGGGACTCGGGGTCCGACCGGGACTTTCGAGATTGAGACCTCGATCATGTATTATGCCAGAATGTCAGAGAAGACTACCGGCAGGAGCATGAGAGTATTTCTGAACAGTATCCCACCAGAAAGGTATACAGATATCGCCAGCAAGTGGTCAACAAGCGTGAAGAGCCCTCTTGGCTATGCCTCGTTAGCAGGCCTTCGTCTGTACTTCCGAGAATCGATCAAGCTGGACCCAGGATTCTTGCTCAACTGCGACAGACGCAACCAAGAATCCTTGATTTCGCTAGCTCTCTGGCTCTTCTGGCGAAAAAAGAACCATGGCAAAATACCAATCTCCCGATCTACCGAAGGCGCTGAGCTTGTCCGACTAATCCTAGAAAACGGCTACAGAATCGACAGCGAAAGAGAAGCATTTTCTGAGCTGGTCACTTATGTGGCCACGACTCCACCGAGAAACATACGGAACAAGTCCATAGACATCATCATTCGCTTTCTAGAACTTGGGCAGGATCCCAATGCGCCGATGACCATCTGGACATCTTTCCGCGAGAGAACTGCAGACGGAAGCGGGCCGCTGATCTGCAAGCCGCTGCACATCAGCCCGCCCGAAGTCGTGCCGTCTCTGATAGTTCACGGTGCGGATCCCAACGCCGAGGACTCGGAAGGCATGACGCCGTTGGACAGGCTGTACTACAACGTGTCGGTCGAGACGCAAATGGAGATCTTCCTTCGCGGGAGCCACAGGAGGACTGTAGCGGAGTCGTACCAGGTCGCTTGCATGCTGCTGGAGGCGGGTGGACAACGGACAGGAAAGGTAACGGACCGGGCCTGGCGCAGGCTCATGGATCTCTTCTCCAGAAACGGATATGATGTCGAGTCACTTGAACGTCTTGCTGGTAGTAGAGCCCGTTGGAAGAGATGGCCACTACCGTGGGGTTCGTGATGAAGCTTGATTGCCCTCATCGTTTATAAGACATAAACATCAAAATGGAGGCTATAAATTTTATGAAATACGCATTGCTATTTAACCAATGACAAGGGGGTTACAAAGCATAGGTGATCACTCCCTGTCCTGTAACTTGACATGGCTACGCCACAGCTCGTTTGAAGAGCCCAACGTATTCAGCCACACCTTTCTGCCCAGCCAGCCAGCCAGCCAGCACATCTTCGGGGTTGTCGGTTCTTACTCAGGTACCTTACCAGGTGCGCTTTCAGTTAGTCCCGGCCTGCCCGCCCCCGGTTGGCCACCCCACTCCACTTCCATTGGGAGCCGCGAGCTTTGCGACTGGGCACCGCAGACTAAGACGCAAGCTCGGTGTGTGTGTTGCTCCACGTCAACCACGTCAACCGAATGAATGTCTACCTCATGCCCATATCGTCAGTGCCCAATCTGCCTCCCCATTTGCACCACAGGAGCAATTCGCCAACCTTGTCGACGACACCTACGCCCTGCCTACGAGCGACAGACCGTATCTTCATTGAGCATCACTAGCACCCGCCCACAACCCTGCTGTCGCTGCCGCCGACCAGACAGCTTGGGCTAGCTGTTCGCCTGGCGATAGCTTCACAAGCCCCCATCCCATCCCGTCCCGTCCCCCGCTCCATCGCCCATTGGTTTGCAACCCCGACCCCGACCCCTGCGTTGTCACCATCGGACGAACCCGAACCGACACAGCTGCGCCGCGTCGTTGACATGCTAGACAACCGCCGAGATGGATCAAGAACCGATGACACTAGAAGATTGGCTGGACGACCTCAGCGTCCGCTTCATCATAAACCTCCCCGAGGAGGACCTCTCCTCCACCGCTCGTATATGCTTCCAAATTGAGGAGGCCCACTGGTTCTATGAGGACTTCATCCGCGTCATCGACCCTTCCCTCCCGCACATGGCCTTGAAGGACTTCTGTCTGCGCATGTTCCAGCATTGCCCCATCCTCGCTCCCTACGGACCAGAACAGCATCTCCATGCCTACCAAGAGTTTATGCAGTACAAGACCCGCATACCCGTCCGCGGCGCCATCCTGCTCAACCACGAGATGGACAGCACTGTTCTGGTCCGTGGCTGGAAGTCCAATGCGAGCTGGAGTTTTCCGCGCGGCAAGATCAACAAGGACGAGGATGATCTCGACTGCGCCATCCGGGAGGTCTACGAGGAGACAGGCTTTGAGATCCGCGAGGCTGGGCTCGTCCCCGACGACAGAAATGTTAAATACATCGAGGTCACTATGCGCGACCAACATGTCCGCCTCTACATCTTCCGGGACGTGCCCATGGACACTGTCTTCGAGGCAAGGACGAGGAACGAGATTGGCAAAATCCAGTGGTACAACCTGCAGGATCTTCCGGCGTTTCGTAAGAAGAAGGGCGCAAAGCAGGAGCCCAACGGAGCCAGCGTGGCTACGAATGCTAGTAAATTCTACATGGTGGCACCCTTCCTCGTTCCCCTCAAGAAATGGGTCATGAGCCAGAAACAGCACGACGCCAAGAGGGCTGCACGACATGGCGAACACATGCCGCCTGCCGTGGTCGAGGATGATGTGTTCGTCGACGATGGCAATGTGCAGCAATTCCAATCATCCGCCTACCCCCAGGTGAACCAGCCCCAACCCGGATCGTACGCATACGCCGAGCAGCAACTCCGGGATTTCCTCAACGGTGAGCCACAGCAACCACAGCATCATCTAGCATCGGCAGCTCAGGCAGCTCCAGTGCCTCTAAGCGACAACCAGCAGGGGGAAGCTCTGCTGTCGATGCTCCAGGCTAAAGAGCCGATGGGGAGCCACGCCCCTGCACCTACTGCCGGATCTGCGCAGCACCAGTATCCCCACACGCCAATGAATCATGCATTCACTCAGGTGCAGCCTCATAGCCCGCACTACCATCATGCTTCCCAGCGCCTGCCTCACGGTGCTTTCGAGAACCCTCCCCAATTCCCTATCGAGGCCCAATCAGCTTCCGGCTACCAATCACAGCAATACCAACAGCACCAAGTCAGGCCACAAGTCCATATGAGCACTGATGCACATGGGCGCTCTAACTTCGTCGTATCTCCCCGCCAGCATCACAACCAGCCCCAACTTCTTCACCCCCAGCCTCAGCCTCCGCAAGTACAGCAGGCGCTGCTCATGCGTGGCATGCTAGGTACACCCGGACTGCATGATCAGCAAGCCCGTCCGGGCCAAGCTCAGAACCCTCAGAACTTGAACCAATATCAGCAGCCCAACACTGCCCCCATGCAGAGCCACCCAGCAGGGCCTAGAATGCAAGCTCATCCCTCGGCGCATTCCATGGGTTTGCTAAACATGTTCAAGGAGAACACTGCTCAACCCCATGTCGCCCAGGACGCAAATCAGCCAAGACAGGTCCCTCCGACCGACAAACACCGGTCCGGTCTCCTTGGCATGTTCAAGCAGGGAGAGCCATTCAAGGCTGGGAACATGGGAAACCAAAATATTTCGCCCTCCCAAACCCAGTCTGCCGCCTCGGTACCAAAGCCTGTTCAGAATGTCTCGACAGCTGATACACTGCGGACCGCAGCAGAGGAGAATGGCCGTCCGCTAGTAATGAACCCAGAGCTGAACTTGCCCTTCGGGGCTCTCTCAATCGCTTCACGGCCCAAGCCTGGTCAACCCGGACCGGGACAACCTACCTCTGGGTCGGCTTCGAGAACCCAAGCTTACGGCGCCCAACAAAGTCCGACCTTCAGCAAGCCTTCTCCACAGTTTGCTCCACCCGGCCCTCACCGGAGAGACAGTGCCGGCCGGGCTCCAAGCCAGCTCTCACAGCAGTCGTTCAGCCAGCATTCTGGGCAGCCCGCCGTTCAACAAACCCGGACACTGAGTTATCCTTACGGAGATAGCACTCAGCGGAATGTGTCTGCTTCCGACATGACAATCTCACGGGTACCCGACTCATCAGCTTTACCGCTGCCCAACTTGTTGCGCCCGCGCCAGGAGCAATCCACTGAGCAGCGCAGCCAGCTCCTCTCGCTCTTCAGTAAGGAAAAGGGCCCTACTGCTCCTACGCCGCCTGCCAACCCCGCCACGGATCAGAAGAACCATCTTCTGTCTCTGTTCGGTCCCAGCAAGGGCAAGGAGTCGGTATCCATGTCATCGGCCGATGTCGCGCGGCCAAGATCGCGCGTCGCGTCCATCGCCTCTGGGGCCGGTGGAGATGGCATGGGTAGCAGGCGAGGAAGCCAGACGACACCTAACCCGCTGTCGCCGGCTGACCAAAGCTTTCTACTGAGCTTCCTTAAGACGAAGTCGGAGACTGCGTCACGCTAGGAGATTGATGCAGAACGAGGCTCTCGCAGTTCCAACCCAGAACCGGACAGGCGGTCAAACCTGTCGATACAATGGGATGTGTTGGAGCTGTGAGCCCTGTTCTCGCCGAGCCAAGACAGAATGAACGCGATCTTTTTCCCTTTCTATGTCATGATTGGAATTTGCGAGTTTTGGGGGCATTTCAAGGATCAAATCATGGGAATGGGAGGATGCATAGCGTTTCTCTATACCCCATATTGCTTTCTTGCCTTTGTCAGGTATAGCGTTGTAGAAGTCACAGCTAAATAATCGACGATGGTTTTCCAATGCACACAGTGCACCTGACTCTGAATCGACGCAAGGGCCGACGAAGATACTGCCAACGTCGCCCGCGGGCGGGACAGTAAATGCGATTTCCGCGATGTCGGGCCGGGAAAGTTAGCTGTATCCCGCGTGGCTGCTCCTTGACTTCTGGTTCGACGTACACAGGGGATTGTACACGGCTCTATGCCCTCTCCCATTCCCTGCCCGTGCTCAGGGCGCTTCCTGCGAGTGACTAATTGGCTGCTGGAGCCAGGCTATTCCCATCAGCGCACATTAAAATGCAGCCAGCATACCTTGATCACACATCAACCGGGCCAGTTTGTCTGTATGCGCCCGAGAGCAGCACCAACATGCGCGCCTTCGAGCCCGGTCGAGACTGGGGGGATGACCGGGCCGAGATAGCACCTCTTTGTAGGTTGGCTAAGCGCCGGCGCTAGAGAGCCAAGCGAGGTGTGGCGGTCCCGTTGGGTCGGGTCGGGAAAAGTGGAGAACAAGCAATCGTCGCCGGCCTCGGCAAGCGATCCTGGGACGGGCTATCTTTTCGACACTTATTACTCTCTGTGGTTCCTACACTGTTCAAGTCTTCTCGGGTAAGACCCCAAGGCCACGCTAAGAAGTCAGCGAAGCAGCAGGTAAGCTGAATCCAATGCTTTTGAGCCGTTGTTGGTTGCAAGTATTGCGCGGCCAAGAGTCTACTTCAAAGTCGATTCTGACCCGCATTGCACCTACCACTCGCGGGGGATGTTTGATGAGCAAAGCAAGGCAGGTAATGGGAGATAGACGGCAAGATAGGTCAGCCGACCCATCAATACAAGGTGAATAAATGCATTGAGCCCCTCCACTACCGCAGGAACTGGGGGCAGTCTCGTCATACTGATTCTAACGTGGTCTAATCTTCCTCTCACTAGGCTGGTGTGGTCATCTCAACCCCCGGCGGCTCTACCTTTCAAACTGGCCAATCATTGTAAAGCGCGAGGACAGGACAGTAACCTGTCGCGACGAGAATAGGAAGAGGGCTAAACATAGGAAATAAAAGACCGACACTAGTAATTGGTGCCACGCCAAGTTCAAGGTTGCAAACAGAAAACCGCAATCCCAACAGCGCGGCACCATCAGTGGGGGCCAGTTGCTGAATATAAATGTCCGCCCTTGCACACTGTCAAGCCCAAAGATGCCAACAGCCGTAGACAGCCAAACCAACCCGTGCATCCGTCAAACGCCAATCCGTCCAATCGCCTGCGCTGCGTTTGGCAAGGGCGGCCCAGGAAATCGACTTTTAGGGTCCTCCGGGCCAGTCGTGCCTGCATCCTCCAGCAACTGCAGGGGTCCATCCATCCATCCATCCATTCATCCATCCCAGCTTCCAGGCCAAGACAAGGGTCCTCACTCGTTACATTTGCCTGTCGTTGGCAGCCGAGATCTCCCTTCTTTTGATTCATACCGACGTCCTCTGCCTTGAGAAATTTCGATAGCAGCGGGCTCCTCCGTCATATCTCCCTCTTCTCCACCAGAGATGGCGGCCACCGGTCACACGGTCACCATCGACCGGGCTTATTTCGAGACGCTACTACGAAAGTAAGTCCAGCGTCGCCTCCATCTGCCTGACCGTCGCTTCCATTCATCTTTTCTTCTTCTGTCTCCCGCGGTTGGGAAAATTTCCCTCTTAGCTGACCACGGTCTTTTCTGTCTAGGGCCAGTTTTGTATGTGATTTGGCGTCCCGACGCCAACCACGCATCTTGACGTGTAGAACCCTCTTCCCTAACAATAAGCTCCAGGGAAATGGCGAATACACGACGAATGTGCCTCCACCACCCGGGGCTCAGGACGTGACTGTCGTCTCTAAGGCGGACCATGAGCAACTTCTCTCCATTGCACGCCAATATGCGAGTTTGCGAGCCAATCTGATGAATGGCGGAGTAGACGAGAACACCATTGATGTAAGTGTGTGTCTCATGGCTGACTTGGATGTCAACCGTGCTGCCAATGGCCAGGGCTGCTAAACATACGCAGCTGTTGAGCCAAGATGATACGAGTCTTCGAATGCAGCACCTTGCTGTTCAGTCCGCATCTAGCATCCCTCCTCACGAGAAGGCAGACTGTTCTGGTAGTGATGGTGCAATTGCCTTGAAGCCGCAGATATCATGGAAATCTGGACCTCGACAGACCTCGCTCGAGACTGACAGGAATGGCTACGACCATTACAACAATGCCTCCGCTAACAAGTCGGTCAAGTGCCGGTCAGATTGGGCAGACGGTGACGATGACAACTTTTCGACTCCGCACTCATTCGATGCCCAGACCACCCGTGCGGCCCAGAATTTAAGTCCCGACCAATTTTCCCAGCCTCAACGGTCATCCAACAAGCCTTACTATGCCCGAATGTGCAAGCGAACCATCACACTAGCGGGGATCCCTGAGGGCACTACATACGAGGATATTACCAACGTCGTACGAGGTGGCATGCTTCTGGAGATATATATCAAAGCACACGAGCATTCTGCGCTGGTTTCCTTCCTCCTTGAGAAGGATGCCGTGCGTTTCTACGAGTATTCGCGCGAGAACGATCTGTATATCAACCACAAGCGTGTAAGTCGACACTCAGGAAGCCGAGGCGGAGAGAAACTGACTTGACGCTCATAGATTTTTATCAAGTGGGCAGACCGACAGTTTCATCTACCTGGCCATGTTGCCGGTAAAATCTCTCAGGGAGCCACACGAAACATGGTCATCCGCCGCTGCGATCCTAAGCACACCGAGGACAGTGTCCGTGACGACCTTGAACACATTCACAACCTTGTTGTTATCAAGATTGAGTTCCTTGGAGGAAGCTGCTACATCAAGACCAACTCCGTCCACAATGCAATGTTTGCCCGTACTTGCATGATGAGCCGAGCGTAGGTGGTCGGGCTTGTATGATTGGCGTGAGCTAATGACGCGTCTAGCAAATATAAGGGCTCAAGAATCGACTGGGACACCGATGAATGCGAGCAACCTCTAGAGAGCGCCCGAAAGCTCTCTCTACCTAGGCCCTCTCCTCCCCGATCCTCCTCTCCCAAGTATCAGCATGTGTCTCCGATGAAGAAGCCAGTCGTTAAGGTACGAAACCGCTTCGCGGGACTTCGATTGGATGATGACGATGACATGAGTGACGAGGAGTTCTACAGTTCAACTGAGTTTGCTCCCGCGAGCACTGTCGATGTGACTGCGTGAGGACAATCCTACCGCGAACGCACCGACTGTTGAGCGGATGGTATGTAGGGCTATCCACCTAGCAACAGGATTAGCCTAGTTTGGGCCATGAGAGACATGATGTGTTCTCCGACATTTGAAACAAACCAGACAGTTGATGATGCGCTGCTTTTCCTCGTCAACTGGAACGACAGCTGGACCTGGTCCTGAGACCTGCATCTGCCAGCTTTCTACGCAGAGTTTTTGTGGAATTCAATTTCGCCTTCGGTCACAAGGGTTTGCTATTTCCAAACACCGTCATCAGAGCGCTGATGTATAACAATCTCGTTCAGAAGTCGAGGAAAGCTTCTCAGCGAGCTATGATGGAGTCGATGAATGGGATACTCTAGATGCGAGGCGGCCGAGAAGGGCGCATAGTGAATTCAGGCAGAGATTAGCCAGCCAACCCTACTTGTAGAGACTAATGCACTGATACACCGTCAGCGTAAGGGCCCAAGTATAATACCAACCCAGGTACTCAAATAGACCTGCTTCGTTACGAGTGATTCGTCCGGCATGCAACAAGCCCACCACCGAGGGTAGTACGCGTCACGTTTCACTTCGCAGAGTGCATACCGGAAATGTTACATTCTTAGATCAAATATGACTTCTCTATAGACAATCTGTTCCCGTGAGATTCTGACGGAAAGAGATCGACTTGAATACGTCAGGAGTTGGTCAGGCTGAGCTCAGAAATTCTGACATATGAGTGAGCTCCCACTGGTGAGATGAGACCATATAGTCATCAACAGGACTTGAATGAAAGAATGTGGACGGACTGGACATCGAGCTCGATGTTGTACATCGTAATCTAACCAGGACATAGTTCCATCTTTGTGGACTGTATCAAAAAGCATCGAGTATCAGCCGTGCTAAAGCTCGCCAAGTAGATGAGGTCCTTTCCCTAAACGCCTCTTTTCTCACGTTCGGCCTGCCAGTGGTGACAGCTTCAAGATACCGTAGGCTCAGCCTGTGACACACGGCTTGATTTATATGCCTGAGTGTGGGACTCTCGGACGCTGGAAATGGGATCGTGACCTCCATAGCATCATCATTATGAGAGGACAACTGTTGATTATACCTGCCGAGTATCATTTCCGATATCTGGCTGTGGATGGAAGACCTTCGAAACCGTACATAGCACAGATCAACCCAATCGGGGTGAGAGTTGGCGTGTGCGTGTCTACTGTAAATATCTCACGGTGCCATTGGCTTCTCAGCACACATGTTCCTGTTGCAAGTGCTTGCAACCTGGTTTGACACTACGCAGAACGCACAAGGTGAGATGATGGAAATGCATCTGGTGCTACCCTTCAGAACAGCCAGTATTGGTAACCACGGGCGGGCTGGTAGTTATTAGCCTCTTGCATGTTGAGTTAGTATACTTCAGCAACGGCGCCAACTCAATCTTAGATTGGAGATAACCTTGTTCCTTGCGGGAATCCCCTGCAGATGCGGCAAATGGTAGCGAGTACTATGTATGCGAGTCATGGCAGTGGTATATGGCTGTCGAATCCGGCGCGTAAGGCAGGTGTATAGAAACGCGGATGCGCGCGCAGAACCGTCGGACTAGCAGAAAAGCAACTGTTGACGATTCGATGGTCCTCTTACGTGAGGTGAGGGACGATTCCGAGGCGGCATGCTTGCACCAGCAAGAACTAGGTTTCGGGATTCCGACCTGTGCATGGCTTGGCTGCAGCGTGATGAGAACAAGCAGGCAACGCGCAGAACTTGGGACAGCCAAACTGGGAATCCAGCCCTTGGTTGCGTGGACCTGGTGGCCGTGGCGGGCAGATGAATGACCTCTCCATTGAATCCGAAACAGAGTGGTATGGAGTCAAGGACCCTCAATAGGGGATTGCAGATGAAGTCATTCGTGCTCCTTTTATCAATCAAGCGGTCGGCAATCGCAAAGCAAAATCCACATGTGCCGAAGGTGAGACAAAAGTAGTACGTACAACTATTTTTAGGCGCGTGTGCCCGGGTCCCGTTGTGCCGTAGTGCGTACTACGTAGTGCACAATAACTCAACTAGCGCTGCTTTGCTTTGGTGCCACCTCCAAGTTCGGCGTCCCGTGTCTGGTCTGACCCGCCCCACCCAGGAATCACATCACGAAGACGGGCACAGCTGCTCAATACGATCCTGGGGAGGATCATCGCTGGGCCGACCAGGGACCTGACCAAGTCTGGGTGGTTACAGCAGGTGCTACCTACCTACCTGCCTACCTACTATGCAGGTTACGTAGGTGGTCAGGAGCATTGCTCGTTCTGGCTGGCCGTCCAACGCTGCGCTCCTTGTCCGCAAATGTGTGTTTACCTCGCTCGCCTGCGTGTTGACGCCACCGTTGGCCGTGCAAAGTCTTCCCTGTGAAGGTGCTTGTCGGCTGGAGCCAGAGTGTGGCGGAGGTCGTTAGGTGGATGCAGACATCCACTCCACTACGAGACGTCGGCGGGTTGGCGGGTTACAAGACATACATTGCATGTGGGATATTCTGCTTCGCCTTCAGCTGGCCCAGCTAGAGCAGCCCAGATCACGTCCTCTCTCTTCTGCCAATCGCTCCACTGACGAGAGAGGACTTTTGGGGCTCTTTTGGCTCCCAGCAGACTTTCAGCCAGTGCCTGGCGTGCCGCATGAAAACCCATTCAATACGCATCGGCGCCAAACCCGTCTCGGGCTGGTGCGATCCAACGCTGTTCGTGTTCGCCCATCCCCGGGCCAGGAAAACAGGTAGCACCCCTGCGCGCCGGCCGGCTGGTGGGCTGCACTCTAATAAACGGACCAGGCCAAATCGTCGTCCTTTTCTCTCCCCCCTGCCAGCCTGCTGGCTCCTCCGTCGTTTTCAATCATCGTCAATTCTCCTTCGATCTTAATGATTGCTCTTCACCACCGGGATTAGACCTCTCTGATCCGACACTCGCTTTTTTCCACGCTCACACATCTACTCCGTCTTCTTTCGCTCGCTCGCTTCATTTTTTGAGACAGACCCCCGGTGGCCCGCCCTCTGGCCTAAATTAATCTCAGTCGCGGCGTCTTGTTGTTTTTCCCCAGCGACCATCCCGTAGACGCACGGTGGGCAGAAAAGGGGCCCTCCTTCAGCAGCGACCCGACCATTCGACGTGCGACGTGAGACACGCACAACTCTAAACCGCCTTGTGACGAGAGCTATCCGGACGTGTCACAGCATATCTTCGGATTGTAGCTGGAGTTTGATTTGGGTTGGGACGCCCATCCGGAGACTCGATTGAGATCCTCCCTCTTCCGCATTCCAGCACTCGAGACAAACCATCAACCAAATATGAAGGGTCCCAGGAGTTTTGGTCAGCTCTTGACCGCCGCAGTTGCCCTTTCTTCCACAGTATCGGCATGGCCCGGCTGGCTTCCAGAGATTGACGCTCTCGTCGTACGGCAGGATGACGCGACCACAACAGGTACGCCCCAGAAGATGTTTCCGCCTCCCCGTTTCGTGACTGTATCGCTGACCCAATCCCACAGCTGAGGAAACCGGCACCCCGACCGCCGACTCGGAGACGACAAAGGAGACGGCCACAGCAACGGACAAGAACACTGGTCCCATCACCACGAACCTAAACACTGGCGGCCAGACGGATTCGGACACGGCCACCAAGACTTCGGGAGGAAGCGACAAGTCGTCCGGCAGTGGCAAGACGACGGCTACGTCGCACAAGACTTTCAATGCCCAGGATCCCGCTGGAGGAGTCTCCATGATCACCCCCGCAACCGCATCCCACACGCAATTATACCGGCTGGGCGACACCATCACTTGGGTTTGGAACTACACTTCGTTGCAGGGCACGCCCACCGCTCTCGATCTGCTAGTCTCGTGCAGCGCCGTCACCCAGAGCTGGACCCTGACACAGAACATGAGCTACGAGGCGACAGGCAGCTTCACCTGGGACACCAACGGTTATCAGGCGACGGCTGTAGAGCAACCTTTGCTCACCCAGGAATATACCATGGTTCTATACGATGCCGACTCCTCCGTTTCCGCCACAGCCGAGGCCGGTTACTTGGGCGTCTTCAACCAGTTTACCTTTGGCCTGTACCAACCTCAATCATACAAGAACCTGACTGAGTGGAACTGCGTTACCTGTAGTGCTGCCATGGGTGATCTAGACCGACAAGCTCTGAGATTCGCCTTCGGCATGGCCACACTCACAGTGCTGAGCTTCACGTGGTTTGTTGCCGGTTTCGGCGCACTTGTATAGAAGGTTTAGATCTTCACATGTTTATTGGCTGTCAATATCAAGACGTTTTCAGGGGAAGGGAAACGAGGAACATATCTTGGGTGCCCATGACACTAGTCTAATATGCTGGGTACGGCAAGATCAGATCATGAGTTTGGCGTTTATATCGGACTGAAAACCGGCGGAGCTAAATACTTACTAGGGTTATATTTTGCATATCACGATCTTTCGGAGCGGGAAATACTACAAACAAATAGCTTAATACCGAATGCAACATTGCATGCATCTATCATCCCTTGTCGTATTATCGACCTGTTCACGTAGATGTGTTGCACACGCCCTTTTGGGCCTACTCTATGAATGCAGAAACAAGTAGTAGAGCGTAGATGTAACACATCTTATTCCCGGACCTTCTCGTCACGAACCTACACCATCCGTAACGTGAAGCCGCCGCCCCGTTCCTCCTTCTCCCTGCCCGCGAAGATGCCGCTGAAATCGACACTCCCCAGGTCCGCAGCCTTCTGTCCTCGCCCCGGCGCGTTCGGCGTCTCCCGCCGCCGCCGCCTCTCCTGGCCCGCCTTGCTCGGGAACGTTGGGAACATGTCCTCGTGCTTCGGCTTGGGGTCCTGGGCAAAGTACTCGTGCTGCAGCATCTCCTTGGCGCTGGGCCGGCGGTCCGGGTCCAGGCTGAGGAGGCCGTTGAGCAGGGCGCTGCCGGCGGCCGTGAGCAGCGGGAACTTGGCCCGGATGACGGACCCCGTCGTGGCCGACGACTTGGGCAGGCGCAGGCTCCGGGCGTTGGGCAGGCGCCGGAACCCGGGCCAGACCTCCTCGGTCGGGATGCCGCACAGCTCGAAGATCTTGGTCAGCTCGTCGACCTCGTTGCGGCCCTGCAGCAGCGGCTCGCGCGTCAGCAGCTCGCCGAAGATGCAGCCCACGCTCCACATGTCGACGGCCGCCCCGTAGGTGCGCGCCCCCAGCAGCAGCTCCGGCGCCCGGTACCACAGCGTCACCACGAGCTGCGTCAGCTTGGGCGGCGCCGGCTCGCCCACGTAGCGCGCCATGCCGAAGTCGGCGATCTTGAGCCGCCCGCGGTTGTTGAGCAGCAGGTTCGACGTCTTGAGGTCCCGGTGCAGCACCCAGTTCTCGTGCAGGTAGGCCACGCCCGACGCCAGCTGCAGCATCAGCGTCTTGACCTCGGACGCCAGGAAGGGCTCCGGCATGTCCTCGAGGATGGACTTGAGGTCGTGCTCGACGAACTCGAGCACCAGGAAGATGGACTCGATGCGGCCCGGGGCCCCGCCGCTGCCGGCGGTGGCGGCGCCGTCGTTGACCACCACCTCGTGCAGCTCGACGACGTTGCGGTGGGAGCAGTCCTTGAGGATCTGGATCTCGCGCAGCCCCGTCTCCGGCAGTCCGACGCGGTTCTGCGCGCTGTCGTCGAGCTTGAGTCGCTTGAGCGCCACGACGCGGTTGTTCCGCAGATCCTTCGCCCGCGTCACCCAGCCGTAGGCACCCTCCTCGATGTCGTTCAGTTTATCGTAGTTCTCCACGCTCGGCGCGGGGCCGAAGCCGTTGCACTCGAAGCGCAGAAGTTTGGTGCCCTCGTCATCTTCTGGCTTGTCAGAGGGCTGCACCGATGCGGTTCCTTGTGCTTGCGGCCGGGCATCGGGGTCTGGTGTGAGTTTCCTTCGTTTCGCAGGTCGTCTGGCGTCGTCTTCGTCTTGGTCTTGTGGTGGTAGTGCTGCTGCTGCTGCCTGCTGTCGCGTTGCTGCTTCCGCGGCGCGGCGCTGTTCCTCCTCTGCGGCTTTGCGTGCTTTCTCGGCTTTCAGGCGCTTCTTCTCTTCCTTTTCTCGCTTGAGTTTCGCCTCGAGCGCAGCGTCCTCTTCGCTGTCGGCCCAGCGTGATTTGCCTGCCATAACGTCGAGAGGTTGGCTCGCGGTCGGCTTAGGCTCGTTGGTAGTGGATTGGCGGGCGGCTCAACTGGCCCGTTCTGGCAACGGGCAATTAGGATTCTGCCAGCTTTCGAGCAGCCTGCGTCCCAGTGGCCAAATCTCTCTATGGGGGTAGGATTCTGCAGTTGTGCAAAAGGGAGCTCGTACAGTAGATATTCGTAGTTGGCTTATCGTCGTATACCCTGACGTCAATTCCCAGGTATGGTAGGGAGATAACCGGCCTAAAATTTTTGGAGGTTTGAAGCTCCGAGCTCTGTTTTAGCTCCTGTTCACATGAGACGCCCGCCTTTGACTGCGCAGCAGGCCCGTCGCAGCACTCTCGGCAATGCAAAGTGAGCTGTCCAGTACGACCTGAAGGACCAAGATGAGGTCAGCAATAGCGCTGAGTGTCCGGCGCGGACTCGTGGGCGCCTCGAAACTGCGTGTCGCGAGGCCCGGCTGGAGCTCGTACCAGAGCTGCCGGAGCTACACGGCAACTCCCGCCCCCCGAGATGAGGAGCGCAAGTGGTCTACGCCATTGGCAAAGCAGTTGACAGAAGCCATCAACGTGAGATTCCCACCATATTCTATCGAGAGACGCCTACTCATTGGGAAATGTAGACCACGGGCCCTGTCCCTTTGGCCAGTTTCATGCGCATGTGTCTCACCTCTGACACGGGGGGCTATTACACAGGAGCTCTTGGGGACGGCCGTGACCAATTCGGCCGTAAAGGCGATTTCATCACGTCTCCCGAAATCTCGCAGATCTTTGGCGAGCTTGTCGGTATCTGGTTTGTGGCTGAGTGGATTTCTCAAGGCCGGCCCAAGCAAGGTGTCGAGCTCATCGAGGTTGGTCCTGGACGGGGCACTTTGATGGACGACATGCTACGTGTAAGCCCTGCATCCAACGTCTCTGCTTGAGCACGTCCTCATATTGTTCAGACTATTCGGAACTTCCCCGACATGGTATCTAGCATCGATGCCGTTTACATGGTAGAAGCTAGCCCCGAGTTACGTCGGGCTCAGAAAACCCTCCTCTGCGGCGAGGACGCTTCTATGACGGACTCGAAAGTTGGTTATCATAGCACCAGCAAGTACTCGGGGCTACCAATTGTTTGGACCGAAACGATCAAATCGATACCGCAACAGGCCAACAAGACTCCATTCATCGTCGCTCATGAGTTCTTCGACGCATTACCCATCCATGCGTTCCAAGTGGTGGACGTCCCACCGAGCCAGAAGACTGCGCCCCCTTCACCGTCCCGCTCTGCGTCCTCAAACACAGATTCACCGACTCTTCAGTGGCGCGAGATGGTCGTTGCACCAGCGCCAGAGGGTTCGACACATGACAGTCTCGGAACGCCTAAGTCGGAGCAGCATGGTGGCCCGGCTCCAGAGTTTCAACTGACGCTATCTCCCTCTGCAACTCGCCATTCACTCTACGTCCCTGAGTCTTCGCCACGATACCGAGCACTCAAGTCTACGCCAAGCGCTCTCATCGAAGTGTGCCCCGACGCGCATCTGTATGCTACTGATTTTGCATCCCGCATCGGTGGGTCTGCGCAGTACCCTAAAGAGAAGCCCTCGGGAGCAGCTCTGATTTTGGATTACGGTCCGAGTGATACTATACCCGTGAATTCACTTCGAGGCATCAAAGGCCACAAGCGGGTGAGCCCATTCAGCGAGCCCGGTCTGGTAGACCTTAGTGCGGATGTTGATTTCATGGCCATCGCCGAAGCATCCATGAAGGCCAGCGAGGGAGTCGAGGTTCATGGTCCGGTGGACCAGGGCAACTTTCTGGAGGCAATGGGCATTCGGCATCGAGCTGAACATTTGGCCAAAAAGGTCAACGACGAAGGCAGGAAACAGGAGATCGAGAGGTCCTGGAAGCGCCTTGTTGACAGGGGCCCCAGTGGCATGGGAAAGCTATACAAGGCGCTCGCCATCCTACCCGAGAATGACGGGAGACGAAGACCGACCGGCTTCGGCGGTGACGTGGGCGCCTAGACGCTTTTACTTTAAGATGAAGCCAATCCCCGTGTACGAGTAATTACTGTACTTTATTGGACTCGAACAAAATAATTTAGAAGACTCATGACGAGAGACATCACAGTCAGTAGCCATGGCTGGTCTGACATGGCCCAGGCCTATTCTGCCGATTGCTATTATTAGGCACAAACAGCTAACGAACAAATGAGCAAACTCTAAATTTTTATTACTGGCTGTTCATTCGATCACCGTTAGAAAATATATATTGTGATAAAGTCGCTCTTACAAAGTCTGGTCTTGGGCTACTTGGATAGCTTCACACAACTCGGCAGAACATAGAACAGAAGTCGCCTCTGCAGATCATAAACACCACGGGAATCCCCATGCCCGATTACAGGCGCAGACAATGTCGCTTCTCCTCGTTAGGCACGATACGGGACTCTCCTTTTCTATAAACTTGGGTGAACAAAGATCGTGAGTGGAATCAGCAATTTGGTAATGCAAACGTCTTCTTTTTGGCACACTACAGCATCCGCAACTCATGTTGTATGTATGCAAGTAAGAAAGAGAGTTGCAAGCCATGATTGCCCAATCTGAGGCGTCTAGTGTCTATTTTGGAGAATTCCTGTACACTCAATGCATGATGCTTAAATACAATAACGCCTGTACAACAGCTAATATACATCAACGCTCGAATCTACAACGTGAAGCGCTGGGCTTTCCTCAGACGGGCCCCAAATTTGTAGAAAATGATAGGCAAGGGTATCATGATGACGCAGATGAACCCCAGCAATGAATTCCCCCATCCTAGGCCCAACGACTTGTACATGGGCGGCCCTGCTAACGGCAGCACTGCCCCCACAAGACTCCTGAGGACAGTATTGGCAGCGATTGCGGAAGCAGCGTACATAGGGTAGCTGTCCACCATGTATGTTGTTAGGGGGAGGAAAATTCCCATTGCGCCGAAACCGTAGGGAACCAGTGACAGAACGGTCGCCGCCCAGTGAGTTTTGTAGTAGGCGCACCAGCCATACCAAAACAAGGTGATTGGAAGGAAGGTACCGAAGTAGATGCTCATAACCAGTCGCATTTCAGGTTCGAAGATGCCGTCGTTGGCTTTCGCGAGCTGCACAACCGACCTATCAGAGTATAGCGTGATGACTGCCCAGCCGATGATATTCCCAAGTCCCATGGCGAGGTAAACAAGGCCAGTCTGACTGACTGTGAAATTGTACGTTTCTTCAAATACAGTCGGTATAGTCGTGAAGAGAAGGTATAAGACGCCGTAGAGGAATGCAATGTACAGCGAAAGTACGAGGACCAGAGGCGACAAGAAGAGCATCTTAATGGGCCTGACTAAGCCATTCATTAGTGTCCGTGACCTCGACTGGCGATGAGCAGAGTCATAGCAGCTTCTGAGATCATCGCGGCCAAGTTCCTTTTGTAAACGGAGTGTCTTTCGCTCTATGAGGACCCGGTGACTGGTTTCCTTGTTCAAAAATTCGATGAGGGCCGTGATCAGGACTCCGACAATCAGAACGATCCAGAAGTCCCATCTCCAACCAATGGATGCCGCAACGAAACCACCGATCAAAGGGCCAATCGTAGGGCCTGGTGATATTGTTAGCTTCGCAACACGAATACTAGCCATTCCACTCACCTAACAACGGCCCCAGAGTCCAAATACCCATAGCGAATCCACGATGTTCTGGGTGGAAAAGATCCCCGATGACACCACCGCCGAGAGTCTGGCAAATCGTTAGTTTCATTACAGACATATGACTACGCCACGAGAAAGGCATGGGGTTTCTTACTAGGCAACCGGCACCTCCGATGCCACTGAAAAAGCGAAACACAATGAGCGTTGCGATATCCGGTGCTAGAGCACACCCTATTTGCCAAACACAGAAGAATACGTTGGCGGCACAAAGAATAATTTTTCGCCCGTATATCTCGGAAAGCGGAGCCAGAAAGAGGGGGCCTATCACGTATCCCAGAAGGTAGATACTGACCGTCATAGACCCTACGATCGTGTTGTCGTTCCCAAACTCTTCACTCAGCTTGGAGATCCCAGGTGACAGTATCGACGATGCGAATGGGGTCAGTAGGGTGATAGCAGACAGTAATGCAACCAGCATCCACTTTTTCCAGGCGGGAAAGTTCAGTGGCATATCAGGGTCGTCCTGCCCTTCCCATCCGACTATGCCCTCGTCAAGGTTGGTGACAGGGAGCAGCTCATGGCGGAGGCCTTCCTTCTTCGTCCTGCTGCGAATAATGCTCAACACGCGCGAGGTTTTGCTGCGCACGCTAGCACGAGTCTCGACACGATGCGCCTGTGACGCAAAATCAGTCAAAAGGTCACACTAGGAATGAATGAACATCAACCCACGCTCTGTAACTCCATGTCAAACTCGTGACCGGGGACTGTCTTTTCGACGTCATGATCCAGAGCCGAAGCCTCGCCGAGGCCGTCGCCCTTCACCGAGTCGACTTCGTCCTGCACGATGGACGAACCCGTCGGGCTGCGGGCGCCCCCGGTCTCTTCTGCTTTTTCACTCATGGCCAATCGTCCGCTTGTAGTCGCAGCAAGCTTTCGCGCCAAGGGTTTGATTGTTTTCAAGACGAATGACCGGCCATTTCTCCTCGATCTGTAATCATGGGGTCTCCTCCAGTACGGGGAATATTGGGTCCGGGGGCAACCATGACTAGTGACTAGGCCCGCTTACCGGCGGGAACACCGGGAATAGGTGCAAACGCCGACGTTTCACGCACTGTCCGTCCACATACATTACTAGAGTGCTTACTGAGTGCGAAGTAAAATTGCGCACATGAGAAGACTAAGGATATCCTGGTCAACCCCTGCAATGTTCCGCTTTGAACACCGAAGCCGATCGACTTTCGGCACCGTAGCGCACCAGCAATGTGCCGCATAGTCGAAAGCCTCCAGCTTGGCAACGCTCTAGGCAAGGATTTCTACTTGTAGGAATGATGGAACAAAGTTGAATAGGCCTCGGATGTTTGAGTATACCCGCTGAAGTACATCAATAGAGGATTGTAAACAGCCTTCCAAAACGGCGGACGTCTGGCTACAGGAGGGCGAGTGGAGAAGCTGTGTATGGTGCGGTGGAATCTCTAGGCGACACGATCCTGAACGTATCTGAGTTAAGTATGTATGCTAGGCGACAAAGGTCTACATCCCTATAGTTGGTTTTGCCGAGGTGCTAACTTTAGCAGTTGTGCTACAACAACTAACTTGAACAAGCTTGGCCGCATCAATTTAGAGAAATGCACGAATTAAACTCAGCCTAGCCAACGCGCCGGCGGGAAGGATTGTGTCAGCCACAGCTGTTCCCTTAGGACTATTAGGCACCGACATAAATAAATCGGAAGGCTCTTGATCGTGCTTCAGTCGCTAATGTTTTCTCCTGCAAATTGTCCTCAGCAAACTTGTCCCGCTGGTTGATTTGCATATCTCACTGTTTTCTCAAATTCTTGATCTCTTCTTCAAATATCCATCCAACCGCCAAGCATGCCGGACACCAAAACGACACGAGCTCGCTCACTGGGCGAGACGTGCCTTCATGGGGTCTGGGTATTTCAAACCATTGCAGCTATTCCAATCTTTCTGATTCTGGGTTTCTGCGCGCTGTCCAACATGCTGTTGAGTAGCTACGGTGCTCTTTACTACTTCATTACCGACTTCGTGTGCTCTATCCTGACTGCCGGTATCCTATTCACCCTTTTCCTGCAAAAGGGGATTAAGAATCCTTCCTGGCTCATGACACTGAGATTGGAAATATTGAAGAGCGGTCTTGCAACTGCTCTCTGGGTCTGGATGCTGATGGACGCAATCTTCGCTTCCGGCTATGACTACAACAATGGGCGGCCAAGAAGGATCAAAGTGGCCATCATCTCATTCACACTACTTCTGTAAGAGTCTTTCGGAGTGCACTATCCTAGCTAAACTTACAGTTTCCTAGGTTGTTATTTTATCCGGCTATTTTCTATGCTCGGTATAAGTGGCGCAGGTCCGGGACTGCGACGGCAGTAACAAATGACGAGGACAATAGTGAACGAGCACCGTTATTGGAGGGAGGAAGTACAAATGCATAAGGTATCTCTGGACTAGTAACCTAATTTTGCCGTCCTGCCGAAATATATCCATGTGCAACGAACCATAATGCCAGGTTTCTAGCCCAAAATCCTAAACGTTGGGAGAGCCCGCGGGCTTTGTTATCACGTCACCCTATTTAGCTGATGGAATGCCGCCGTGGTCACCATCGCCCAACTCCTCCGACTCAACAACTTTGATTCCAGAAGAAGGCTGAGTGCGATCTTGGATCATTGTAATTTGGGCGCCTATACCTTGAGCCTTCGCCTGCCGGAATCTTCTTGCTGGGATACCTGCTTGAAATAGCTCATCCAACTCTTCTAGACTTCTTCCTCGCATCTCCGGCACTAGAAAGTAGACGAAGATGATTGCAAGAATAGAAAAACTGCCATAGACAAAGCCTACTCGCTGTTGCAAGTTTCCCGGTTCACTTTGCACGAATGGGTTGATAAAACTGACCAGAAGGACCACCGTGAAAGACAAGGCCGTAGAAATCCCGACCGTCTTCTCGCGCAGTTGACTTGTTGGGATTTCCGTTGTCACCATCCACGTACAACTGCCCCAGCCAAGCGTGCTAGCAGCGGTCCACACCAGAATGGCTGCGAGAGCACCCTGGGCGGGAGCATCCGTGATAGCACCTGGCCAGAAAGAAGAAAGACCAGACGATGTCCACATGCCAGCCCACATGACGACCGCACAGCCCAACATCAGTGGCCGTCGACCAAGTGAATCAGCAGCTACGAACGCTACTGCCGCCCCAGCGACTGCACACCCGATTCTGGCTGTGTTGGCCTGGAGGGTGTCCGAAATTCCCAGCTGCTTCAGGTAGAGGACACTATAGCTACTAGCGAAAGAGTTTCCTTGCAGTTGCTGTAATACTTGACAGCCAGCAGCGATGAATGTGCGCCGTCCGTTGCTCCCTCGAAAGCAGTCCGCATACGAAGTAGCATTATGATTGGTCTCCTGCTCTTCTATAGACAGCATGATCAGATCAAGCTCGGCGTTCAAATTGCTCTCCGTGGCCCCAGAGCCATGGCGTATGAAGCGCAACGATTGTAATGCATCATTCCGTCGCCGTTTGGATAGCAACCATCGAGGTGACTCTGGGAGGAAGTAGACGAAAAATAGTAAAATCAGGGGGATGAAGCATTGGGCCAGCATCACCACGCGGAATGCCCATTGATCTGTGTAAGCTTTGCTGCACCCATAAACCGTCGCGGTAGACAACAGAACCCCAACTACTTGCCACCATTGGTAGAAGTTCACCAGGGAACCACGAATTGCAGGTGGTGACAGTTCAGCCATGAACGTGGGCACGACGTTGGCCTCAATACCCTACTAAAGATCAGCCTCTTGTTGTCTTTCATAGACACATGCGCGGGGTTCCGGTCTCTGTTCTAACCATGGAGATAGAATTGATCATTCGGCCTGCCATGACCGCCCAAAAGCTCTGAATGGCGTTTTGAACAATCATCCCGACCAGAGCAATGGCGACCAGAAGTACAATCGACCATCTGCGTCCAATTCGACGTCCGATTGCACCAGCGATGCAACACCCGATAACCAAGCCGGCGTTTCCGGTGCCAGAGCCTGCTGACTGCCACGAGGATGGGAGTGCAGTTGCGCCTGGTGGTCCATAGTATGCGATGAACTGGTTCAAGGGGAGCACACAGCTCCACCAACCATTGTCAAACCCGAAGTTGATTGCGCCTGTCTAGAATAAAATGTTTAGTCTGCAAGACAGTCCATCCTCGGTACAGCAAGACTCACGGACATGAAGGAGAATACCATGAACAACCTAGGTGTCATCTCTCTAAAGAGAGGTGTCTCTTTCAAGTTATTAAGAAGCGCCATGCTGAAGTAAAGCCGATTGGAAGGGAAGGTGAATAGACACTACCGTCCACGACGGAGGTTCAAGGCTATACATTCCCCAAGTCCCGTCCAATATCGGAACGCGTCCGACTTCCCGTCGATTACAACGGTAAAGAAAGAGTCAGTTGCCGAATCGTCAAGGATGTGATCGATGCGAAGATGACTATCCAATCAGGGTTTGGCCGGTAGGTATGTTCATCGTTGATTAAGCACGAACTCAGACCCACCTCTCGCCCCGCGGACAAGTTGCACCGCGGGCAACAAAGCAGTTGTGCGACTTCGTCCCCTCTTTCGGCGTGGGGTAACTCAGATTAGATGTACAATGAAAGCACCCTCTTCGGCATGTATGTTGCTCTACGGGAGAGAAGTGGTACCGTAAATGATGAAAAATTAATTCTAATGACCAACCAAAACATCACAAAACCGCCAATGCTTGAACAACGCTTTGCAGACCTAAAACGGGAATTCATCAAACCCGAACATGAGTAGGCTGTGGTTGGATCGTACAAACGTCTCAAAAAAAAAAAACCTTCAGGATAGAAGTGGCAAGGCTCGGCCGAGCCCAACAGGAGGTTATCCTGGAAGTCAAGTGGCAAGACGTGAAGAGAAATGGTAATCAGAAAAACGAGAAACTATTGTTTCTTCATACTAAAGATTTAACAGGTGACAATCTGCCGATGATATCGCACAACAGACAAAAGAAGCTGGGTGTATTCTTTCCAGTGCCGTTGTCCCGGAGGAACAGGCCTTGAAGTGGAAAGAAGATCTTAGAAGGCACACACAAAGACACACGAATGTGGGAGGAAAGCCTCTAAACAACCCACCGTTCTGGTTGCTTTACTAGACCAAGATTCAAGTAGAGTTGCGGTCGCACCCGGATGTAGTCGCCGCCATGGAATCGGTCATGAGGCCATGGCATATTGAAGGCGACTCACTCCCTATTGATATGGCATCACAAGTGAATTATGCTGATCGCTTCAGGATCCGAGCCGTAGGGGAAAGGAGTACAGCCTCGCTGCGCATCTGGACAGCATTACGATTGAGCTGTGGGACGGCCCAAAATACCAATAAAACTAGCACGCCATCTTTGAGGGGCGATGGGAGGAGTGGGACGGATGATGTATGGATGACCGACCAGACGCAAAAACTGACCTATGCCGCCAAAGGGTTCCTGCTCCGCGTTCCGCGTAACGCAGGGATGGCTTAGCTTATGCAGCATTGGACCCGGTCCGGGCACACCGAGGGTCTTGCCGAATCTCAAGCTAAGTATTGTTTACCTGTTGCTCCGACCATTCTTCGTCGATATTGACGCTGATACGCCCGAGCTTAGTCAGCCAACTTTTCCTGGTGCCACGCCTGGTAGGATGCAGTTCTTTCCGACATCGAATTACCATCCTGAGCTTCAGCAATCCACACACGGAGAGTGTCTGTACATACTGTCCATCCAGGGGAATATATGTATTGGCACTGTAATCTAATCCACGAGGATGAAAAGGAGCTGGCACCGAGGATAGTAGTGTCATTACAATGTGTCCACCCCCCTGTGCTCTTATAACATTGAAAACATGTTAAGCATGTGTGCGGCCTTCAGGGCTGCGAAACCTCCGGTGACTTCTATTTGGATTTGGGAGGACGTTTTGAGATGGAAAAGGAAACGAGGACCTTGGCGCTCAGAAGAAGCATATTCTGACACTAACTGGAAGACGAGCTTTGGGCCTAGAACCATTCGATATCGACGAATCTGTATTGACTACCGGCCAAAAGAAGATCAGGATAATGGCGAATGAAGCAGCGAGAAGATATGGTGAGTTGTACAACAACCATGCCAATTTTGAAAATGAAAGCGAGTGAGAAAAGAGATATCAGAGCTTTGTGTGGATAACAAACATATCAGTACGGATCAATTGGTACTGCGCAAAATATCTTAGTGAGTAGGATGCGTTCAAATTAAACTGTCATAGTTTTACTGATACTAGAGTCTACAAATGAAGATTGTGTTCCCCAGGCTTTCGTATCGTGATTATTCCACCAGCCAATGCCACCCCTTTGCATGTGAATTTGCATCACTTATATAACCGCAGCCCGTCCTGTAGGAAGGCTTTCAAGTGGGGTTGGTTTGAAGCGGTCCCTTCAGACAAGTTGTGGTGATCAGATAGAGACAATACCGTCCAGCCAGTCGAAGGCGGCCTGTGCCAAATAAGGTTCGGCACCAAGTTGGCAATGCAGCCCTGCTCCAAGGTTCATTGGAAATAATTGAAAAGTCGCATCGCGCCGCCCACTAGCGTTGTAGTAACGTGCCAAGACGTCTTCTTGTCCTCCTACCAAGTCATCGTCCTCTCCTTTGCCAACCCAGCCATATGCGCTGATGTTATTGACCAACTCCTGTGTGAGTGCAAACTCACCCAATTGAGACAACCAATCATAGTATGATGTCGTGTTAAAGGCCCATAGCCCCTGGCTAGTGAACCACTTGAATAGAGTTGAGGTATCAGGCTGATCCAATGCGCTGCTAACAACTTTGTCGAAAAAGCTTGCGTTGCTAGACTTGAAAAGAGTTGTAAGTTCGTCTGGAAACTTGTCAAGGACAGCGGCCTGCATGTCGACTAAGCCGTCAATAGAAAAAACTGCTTTGAAGCGGTGTTCGCGACTTGCAGCTCTTGGTGCTAGTTGACCTCCGAAGGACAGCCCAATGAGAGCCAAGTTGTTCATGTCGACATCGTCGCGTTGGGAAAGGTAGTCAACAACAGGGGTGACCACATCCCACCACTCAGGAATGAAGCCAGCCTTCTGCTTGCGTCGGACTGTCGGTTGGCCCGGTCCTTCGTATGTAACGAAATTGTACCCACGATCCGTTGCTTCCTTGCCCAGAGCATGCCAACTATCTTCCTGAGCTGCATCATATCCACTACCGACCACTATCGTGGGTAGCTTTGTCGCATTCCCCGCATTAGCCTTGAAAAAGTACCCTGGAATATCGTAGCTCGGTCCGGATACGCTGTATAGTTCTCCGGGAATCGGCAAGAGGGATATAGCTTCGTGAAAGTCCTCCAGTGACTTTTCGAATGTATCGTACAGACGTGGATCGCTGGAATTTCCAGTCAAGAAGAAACTAGAAAACCGGTAATAAGATGATGCCCGAAACAGCGCTTCGCGCTTGGACGTTGCCGATTTGGCCTGAGTAGCTAAGTCGTGTATACGCATGCCAAGCCAGTTGAATTCGTTATACCAACTTTCAAAGTCTCCTGGCAAAATCTGGCTCGCAGCACGGAGAACCTCGCTCGTAGCGGTGCCTCCGCCATTGGCCAGAGCAAGAATTTCGGTCAGGATAAACGAGAACTCCTCGTCAGTGCTAAGAGGATAAATCGTTGTAGTGGAATTTTCAGTGCCATTGTATGCTGCCTGTGAGATACAAGGTCTCAGTGAGTTTTCCAAGGTTGACTTCATTAGATTCATACCTGCGTAATCGACAACAGGCCTATGAGTAAGGACAGGCTGCGACTGATTTTCATGATGCTTACGTCGGCAAAGTTGGATGATGACCGTCAATTACTATAGACCAAGAACATTTGGTTGAGACCGAAGTCTGATCAGTTGGAAAAGCCAAGCGTTCTTATACCTGGGTGCTCTGGATATACTGACTGCAATCCCATGCTCACAGTGTCCGCGCAAGTAGTGACGCGTTTCCTGCAAGCGGTCATAAGCATCAGGATACTGGCGGCCTCTTCTTACTGTGCCTCAATGTTCGCACTCGCTTAGCCCTGCATAAATAGTGAGATATGGCCAACTTGGGTGAGGTAGTAAGCAGCGCACCAAAGCTGACCTACCCCCGCAATGATGCCACCGATCAGAACCACAGTCTCTTCCAGGAGACAATGAAGTCCATGAACTGACAGGAGCGCGCGGAAAAAAAATTGGAACATCTAGGAGAAGGAGGCAACCAGAGACTGGTGGTGGCATTGTGACACGAAGCATGGACATACATGATCCGCTCAAATACATGATTGGTGTTACCGCAGACTTACAGCGGTAACACCAATCATATTGGCGGGCATTGTCCGTTTCTTAGATCATTTACATGCGATGAGGCCCTTGTGATCGGATGATCCCCGCTAGAAAATTGTTAAGTCAATACGCGAAGATACGCGAAGATATCAACACCAAGTACAAGCACTCGCCAGCCCGGCTCGGGACATATTCGTCAGAGCTATAGCAAGCCAAGAAAGCCAAGACTTGTAGTCAACATTATAGAGTATAGATGCATGGTGTCGCCAATGGTAGTTTATTGATGGGAAAAATCCACGCACAATTCTGTGCATATTCGGTGCGATTACACGGGTACAAATTCTATCGCTACAGCCGGCTCGCACTCTCCTTGTCATTCTGACCGCCGCCCCGTTTCGCTAGATTTCTGGCAGCACTAAGAATCATGGCCACATGATGACTAAGTGCCACTACCTCCTGCTCCTCATTCATAATGATGACTTCCAGATCCTTCCTCCCATTGTGAATGAGCTTGGACTGGATCCTGATAAACATCCACTGCGCTCCCTCCTCAGGTAAAAGCCTCTTGACATCTAGATTCAATGCGAGTGTCGGATACCAATGCATGGTTAACTCTTTTTTCCCGATTCCCGCTTTCTGTATTGCCTCCTCGTCTTCGCTATAAGATTCGACCATTTGAGGGAACATATCGCTCAATAGGCCTAAACAGGTATTGGTAAAGCATTCCCCGTTCTTGAACTTGATCCACTGGTCCATAACACCTCGCTCTGCTCGACCTTGCTTGGGAATAAAGAAATCCATGTTGACAGATGCTTTGCGGAAATCCGGGCGTGGAGACTTCCACTGAGTCCATGTGCCGTCAGTGCCATGGGCGAGGAGTTGCTTCAGGTCTGCAGGCTCAGGGCTCGGGCTCAGCCTCCACGCTGTTGGCAATGAGAGCCCGGATTCGGCTGTGATGTTCGCATGCGTCAACACCGCGATGACCTCATCGCGCCCATCTTGGGTGAGGGTCAGCTGAACCGTGGACGTCTGCCGTCCAAGCTTGATGTCCTTGACCTTAACTATAGCGGGTCCCACAGAAGTGCGTTGCACAAAGTCGACGTGAAGCGTGATGCAGTCCGGCTGGTTCTGCGATCGCAGCGTCGTTGAGAAATGATGCTTGGCGACGGCCTGGAGGACCGATGTCACTACGCCTCCATGTGGCACTACCCAAAGTCAGTCCAGCTCTGCCTTGCGACCAAGCAGGGTGGGCAAGTAGCTACCAGATCCAATACTCCATTCAGTTAGGAGTCCAACCCTATACGAATGAGAGTCGACCGGCTCGACTTTCAATACCTCCGCGAACGAAGCCATGGTAATACGACTGCAGAGCTCCGAGAAGAAAGAGGGGCCAAGGCAATCATCCGCGTTTTCAGATGCGAGACTGAGAAGCCACAGGCGCTCTTCGAAATGACCCTCGGAAATGTATAAAAGCTCTTTGTGAACCTGGAACAAGAATGTCAATGGCTGACATGCTTTGAACAATTGTTGCAAGGGGGGCGCACGCTAGCGCTCAAGGAACCTCGGTAAATGCACCAAGAACACACTGGGCACTGATCGCCAGGCACTTGGGTTACCCCGCTTAGGTGGTACCAAGGCTTGCATGTTCACTGCTTTCCGACATCACTGTTTCTTCAAGCAATGGACCCATCTTACGGAATCTTCATAGCGTACTGATTAGCAATGCAATGTGCATATGGCCAAGGGAAATGTGCAGATTAGATTCATTACGTCTGTCTTGTTCTTGAATTATGTGGTATGGAGTGAAGCATAACAGCCTAGCGATTGTCGCGTACTTATAGGTAGGTAGGCAGGAGGCTTCAGGACAGAATACGTCGCAGACTATAAACTGACCTAGAGCCCATGAAAAGCAATAAGATTGCTTATACTCCTACTCGGAACCTTCTATTGCGATGATTTCCCAAATGTTTCCTCGTGCGTAGGACTCTCGGCATTCTCGTGGTGTGCCAATATTCCTGCCTCTGAGTCCAAAACCCTCTCCCCTTTCTTAGCAGCTGCGATCAAGTCGGGCTGCTCAGCTTTGAGCCGGGCGAAGGTTTTCTCGGCATCCCAAACCCATGGTGTATGGGCTGCAAATAACAAGTCCATCTCTTCTAGAGTTCTCTGATTGCTCTCTGGGTATAAAGCCCATACAACAGGAATGGCAAGGAAGTTGCACGCGCCAAAGATGTGCAGTGTGTTCTCGCCGATGGCGTTGAACATCACCGGGCATAGCAAGGTCAGCCATCCATTTCCGATACTCCACCCAAAGACACCCCAAGCGTTTCCTTTAGCTCGAACTTGAAGAGGGAAGATCTCGGCTGCAAAGCTTTGCGTCAGTACGCCAATGGATAGAAGCGATGGCACTGGCAATCACTTACCGGGGTACAACCAAGGAACTGTAAGCCAGGTAGCTCCAAAGACTGATGTGAATATGAAGACGAACGATGCTGCAGCAGCCCCGTATGAGTTCGCCTGCGAGAGGTTCCCATCCCTCGTCGCATTCTGGCCCAGTCGAGAGAACGCGCCAGCCAAAAACATTGCAATGCCCTGTCCAACCGCGCCCCAATAGAGCGTCCACCGTCGCCCGATGCGGTCCAATGTGAAGACACAGATCAGAGTGGCGAACATGTAGAAAATGTTATTCAGACCGCTAATCCACTGGCTCTTGATGGTGTCAAAACCAGCGATACGAAAGATGGTTGGGGCGTCTGCAGAGAAGAAATATGTCAGCCATGTATTTCCAACTTCTTTCGCAGAGCATTGAGTCGATGCCTGTGATGGGTATGTCGAGGGATATTTCAGATACCAGTTGCTTCAACTAGGATCATCAACAGTTTACTGGACTGCAAGAGAACAAACAATATGGAATATTGGGGGTACCGACAAATTGTGACGCCAGCGATCCCAACCCACTCTTGTATGATCTGGAGCCAGATCACGAGTTGAACACGCCTGCCAGTGTGTAGCTCTCCAGAACCTATCCCGAAGAACATGTGATAGTACGAATTCTGCTTCGACTCCCTCGACTCAAGCTGTACGATGTTGCGAATATCGTGATACTCTAAATCCGCTCGCTTAGCATCGTCTCCGGTCGTTCCCCGGAGGCGATGAAGTATATATCGTGCCTCTTCGTCCCGGCCCACTTTGACTAGCCATCTGGGTGACTCAGGGAAGAACCAGACGGCTCCAAGTAAGACTAGCAGAGGTATGATCTGGAAAGCGATAGGGAACCGCCATCGGATAGCTGAATTGCCATTATCAATGAAGGACAGTCCGAATTCTAGCCAATACGCTACCACGACACCAAAGATGTTGAGGGTGAACTCAATGGCGATGAACTGTCCACGCGAAGTGTGCTCCGCCGTTTCGGTAGCCCAAACAGGAACGATGGCATTCAGAATGCCAGTTCCGATGCCATTCACAGCTCGTGCTAGGAGCTGTTAGTCATCCAAATCATGAACATTGATTAGAGAGAAGACCTGCCACATATCATCCAATCATGATTCATCGCCGAACATTGCAAACTAGCGCCAATTATCGCCCACACAGAACCGACCGCAATTGTTTTGATTCTGCCAACCTTGTCACCAATCCAGCCACCCAGCAGGCAGCCAAATAGTGTCCCAAGGTAATACACAGATACAATGCCTCCCTGCAGCAGACTGTTGGTCACAATGGGCTCTTCCGTGACGGGGTCAACATAGCCGAAACCCATCAAGTCGATGTAATCTTTGGCGTTATTCACACCACCTGGATGATCGGAGTCAGTATCTTCAACCTGGAGCCAATTTCGGGCCCGTCAGTATTTCCCATTTTTTGTGACGTAGAAATTCGCCTTCGGAGGGTACATGTTGACTTTCAACCTCAACTTACCCATCATTCCTATTTATTATTAGCCGCCGATACTTGGGCAGTCAATGGGAATCGTCAAGCGAATTCACTAACCTTGATCATATCCGAAAAAGAAGATGGAGAGGGCCGCAATACAGTTGATCGCAATAAGCAGGCGGCGCTTCTCAAGCACGTTGGCTACATTGAATCCCGGAAGCCGTTCCATCTTAGCTATAGACGGCCTACCCGTCATAAGGATGCGTTGGGTCAAATTGGTCGTGGGACAGGCAATCAGGATCACGGAGATGATGATGAATTCTGGCGCGGGGCCGCTGTGCAAATAAATGCAAGGTAACCCAGATTTGCCTTTCGGGATCCATCCCACCGCCTGCCCCGAGACGAGCCCATCGTGTCATTTGGACATTGACAGGCCTGTCGGCATCTTCGCCGAACCCCAGAGATAGCTTGGCGCCGAGTCATCGTGCCACACGGGTCTCCGCAAAGCTTGGGTTAAGCCACTGCCAGTTGAGCCGCTTGTTGGGCTCCATGCAATCCGGTTGGCTGTCATTCTTCCTGTGCGGTAGAGTTGTGCGATTAGTGGCCGATCCCCTCCTATGCGCGCCAATCAACTCCCTCGCATCCCCATCAGTGCGCCAAGTTCGGGTGGGGGTTGCACTCCACGAACACCAAGCAACCTCGGCGTCTTCCGGTGGTATAGTTCAAGTTTGTCACGAAGGGCTCATTGACGTCACTGGGAACAGATTTCTGGATTACAAGAAAGATTTTACATGAAACTAGAGCGATCAGTTTCCAGAAGCACAAGTCACGTCCAAGAGCAAGCCCTATACCCAACGATTTTCGCAATGATCATGTTTCCTTCGTTCTCGCACACCATATATGCAAATGTGAAAGTCAGTATTGTTTCCAGCGCCCGTTCTAGCGACCCTCCAGGTTTTCAGGGGTGCAAAACAGTTTGTCTGAGTTTAACGCCCTTAATAGACACATACAGTCCACTCATAGATACCACTGTCCCAGCTCCACTCTTCAACACCCGCAGTCTCAACGAAGGACAACTCCTTTATCCAGTCCGTTCCGCTTTTTACTCATAAACACCACCCCACTCGTCTCTGTACCAGTTCACCTTCGGGTCATTGAGGCATTCTCCGACGGTGACGGCCTTGTAGCCACGTTGCTTGACGAACTTGATCACGGCAGGAACAAGGGACGTGGCCGTCAACTCATGGATATCATGGTTTAGCACAATGTACGAGCCTGTGCCATTGGGTCCCATTTGCTTGTCTATCTTGTTGATAGACTTCTGGATTAGTCCCTTCTTCTGGTGTTTGTAGTCTAGTGAGTCCAGGTTGAACTGGATGATGTGGTAACCAAGATTTTCCATGACCTCGGCGCATGCCTTCGGGCATATGGCAAAAGGGGGCCGCATGTATCTTGGGACCTTCTTGAAAATCTTCATGAACGCCTTCTCATTGAATCTCATCTCGTCTTCGATCTCTTTGGCGCTGACCTTGCCAAAGTTCTTGTGAATCCAGGAGTGGCTGCCAATCTGGTGGCCGGCCTTGTCGAGCTTGCGGATGAGTGCTGGCCACGGGCCGGAGTCGATCTTACGGCCAAGATTGTAGCCTGTCATGAAGAACGTCACCCTCATGTTCTCTTTCTCAAAGGCGCGTGCGATGTTGGCTGTAAAATTGGAGGGGCCGTCGTCGAAGGTGAGTGCTACATGGCCTCGATTGGCACATTGCCATACACCAGCGCCGCCATATAGCACTGGCCCGATGTGAGCGCGATCCAAGTCCATTTCTGCACCGCTAGGCCCGGCATGGTACTCTGGATCTTTCAAAACGGAGCTCGGATTGTCTTGCCAAACCCAGCTGGTGGAGTTGCCTAAAGCAGGTGTTGCGAGCGCAAACCCGGCAGCGGCGTAAAGAAAGCACCGCATCGCGCCGGATTTTCAGAGACGGTCAATGAGTATGTCACTACTACCTGAGAATGAGAAGAAGGAGGAGGAAAGGGCCAGCAAGACAGAGGGTGTCAACATTATATGTACTTTCCAATACATCACGGCCAACTTGAGGCAATTACTGATACACCAGTGTACGTTGACGTACAGCGGAGAGGTGCGTTTCGTGCCGATTGCTATTCCGTGGTCTACAATGCATGTTGTGAGAAATTGGAAGCCTCAATCTTTCTCACGGTGGAGCCTCGTCATTTGTATGGGCAAACCTAGATAGACACGCCAGTTGAGACACGTCTAAAGAAAGCGCTAAGATAGTGTTGTGCACATCTGTGAGGTTAGATGTTGTATCATTTCTCAGTCTCGTAAATGGATATCCGGAGGCTCTTTCACGGCCGAATGGAAATCAGGCAAGGATAAATAGAACTTCAGGCCCCCAAAAGATAGTTATTTTGGCATCTGTTATTGTGAGTCTTCGGTGAAGCAACAACGCAGTGGTACCAACTGGCCGTTAGTGGTATCGGCTTTTCAGGAGTATGGGCCATCAAGGTTGAACCTGGCTGAGATGGTTTTCTCGTAAGAGGTTGTAGGTGTTCAGTTTACTACTAGGCTTCGCAGCTTAGTCGGCGGTTCGAGCCACTCATGACCATACCAATTACGGCAGGAGCCAATCCTAGCCAACTCGGCCCCAAGAATCTACACAAAGCCACTATAGACCGTCAAAACCAGAAAACGGCCGCAAGCGAGAACTTACTTCCAGTGTGTTGAGGAACGCCTACGCCAAGCCTTCATGTCATGGGCATTAGTTTGTTAATGCCTCATTATTTAGTTGCATCTTCCAATTCAACAAGTATGGTATAGTTATCGCTATATTTTTGAGCCTGAGGGAATCAAAGCTATCAATACACTATTCCAAGCTACATCAAAAAAGAAACGGGTTTTCATATCATGATATTTTCTACGAAGTTGCAGCTGCGGATTTAATCAAATTCAGGAACCAATTTATCCAAGAGCAGCGTTGGGTATCTCCTCTCCATACTGTAGATGCCATGCTATGTCTTTGGACGTATGTCGCGGAACGTGTCTAGAACTATCTACCGCCTCTTCAGATAGCAATGCGGCTCGAATGTCTACGGTCTCATATGAGCCGTTTAAATCATATGACAAAAGAAATATAGCGCAATCTATCTAGTGAATACCTGTGGCTTCGCAGTGGTTTCTCGCCGCTGATAGCATTCAGTTCTGACTCCAAAATGGTTATTCTGCTCGTAATCAAAACTGGCCATGACAGGTCCCCAAATGTACTCTTGGTTGGCGGGCCGAGTATGACAGTCGAGCGGCAATTGAACGACTGGAGGATGAACGACTGGAGCTTGAACGACGAGGAATCCTGACGTCTGAAGAATCATCACTCATGTTTTTGGAATGAGTCGAGCGCCCTGGCATCTCCGGGCCAACAGCACGATCCTGGGTTTTGGTTCTGGACATTCTGACCGTAGAAGGAGTACCACGAATAGCATGTGTTATCTGCTCGTAGGATTCAGGAGCCACTGTGGAGCAACTCAGGCGTCTAGGTATAAGCGGCTCAGCGGTGAAGGGGGTGGCTAGGCGCTCTATTTGATTCTCCTCGTCAGGTACCTGAGAACCGACAATTTTCTCGTTGTTGTTCAGTGCGTCTTCAAGACGCTGGTGCTGCTCGTCGGCATTGGGCTCCTCGGCTTCGCCGGTCTCTGCGATGACCTTTCTTGTCTTTCCCCAGCCGAAGTTATCCATGTTCCTAATAGCGTAGACTGTAACGCCAATGTTAATGAAAGGACCCATAAGTGTAAAGATTGACAGTCCCAAGAGGAACTGGCATCTTTCGAGGGTGTTTCGAGGCATCCAGATAACCATGGTCAAATAGTAGCAGAGTGGAATGATCATAATGATTGCAAAAATCAGAATGATCCACCAAGGCTGGTCTGTGTGGTGGTCAGCAACAAAGGATTTCAGAAGGTATGATTCCTGTTCAGCAACTTACGGAGAAAAGCATAGATCATGCAACCTAGACTTGCAATGACGAACGGATTGAGTAACCACGTCAGGACATTGGAGAAGGCAACGATTCGTTCCCACCAATTGAAACTCCATAAGGGGGCTCTAGTGAAGAGCATAAGATCGTTTGAAGTGGCACCGAGCGTCCAACGTCTCCTCTGGCTTAGAAATACCTTGATGGAGTGGGGCACGTCGGTGTACGCCCTGGCTCGAAGGGCTTGTCGTGTTTGCGCCTTTGGACTCTCCATCAGCATCAGGCAAACGTGATTGCGGTCCTCAGAGGCAGTGGCCCGAATACGGCGGATAATGCCATCCGTCGGCTTGGGGTGGTATCCGAAGAGGTCGATGAGAACCCTATCACCACAAGTTTCCTCGCATACCTTCAGAAGTTGACAACAGCCTGGTAGGCAAGACACCTTATGAGTAACCATGCTTTGATGAAGTCTGCGCAGGGCTTGCGCGATAGTGTACTCAGCAGATTGGTAGATGGACCAGAAGTTCCAGTTACCATGGAGGAAGTCAACTGCTACATAGCCACAGACGCCGACAGTGTGGGGGTAGTGGCTCTCTTCAACAAGGTGCGAGATACAGTCTTCTTCGAAAACGGTGTCGGCATCCATTCCGATCAAGATGTCGACCCGGTCGAAGCCGGCTTCATTCTGTAACCAATCTGCCATGGATGTGAAAAAGGTTGGTGAGAAGACTACCTTCGGTCTCTCGTTTCGGCGGTTGAAGTTGAAAACGAAAGACCGACTGACAATCAGACTGTCGCGTTTACCTTGATTCTGCTGCTTGATGATGCAGAAGAAAGGAACACCTTTGTATATGCCCTTTAAACATTCGACATCCATTGACTGGCCGTCCCACGCCATGTAAGCAGCACGTATCGTCCTTCGTGAAGTCTGCGGGCTAGCGAGAATGTCCTCGGCAAGATATTGAGCAGTTGTTTTCTCCATGCCCGGACCACGAACCTTGCCATCGCATACCACCATGATGGCCTTTTGATGTTGTTCAATATGTACTTGGCTGACAAGAGAATCCAACGATCGTGTGCACTCCTCGAAGGTCTCGTTGTAGCAGGGCATCAGCAACACCATGGACTCGGGGGTGGCAGGAATTTCTTTTTTTGGCTTGAAGACCAAGTTCTTGAGACTATAAATGATGATCATGAAGATCATGATGCAGTTCAGAACCAAGGGTAATGAGATGAACGGCAAGTATATGTAGTAGTACTGAGCCCAGTACCAACTGGAGAAAATCAACATGAAGCTGCCAAGCGTTAGTATAATGTCCGGAGACTAATGGGGAAGGGGAACTTGCTTGGCGGAGAAATCGAAGGCTGTCATGAGCCACTTTTGAATCCGAACCTTCCGTTGGCCTTTTTGGATGACTTCTGGATTGATAGCTGCGGCGGCCTCTGCCGCAGTTTTCTCGTTCAGTAGTAGGGGAGGGGCGTGGGGTGAATCCTCGACTGCGCTGGTGGACAGGTCCCTGGAGGATGGTTGATGGATTGCCGAACTACTACCATGAGTAAACCCAATTCTATGGTCTCTTGCCAGTATTATTCTAAGGTCGTGGTTGTCTGCATCTGACGGCCCTCGATGTTTCGAAACCTTTCGTCTTCGATCCTCGCGGTAGGATGGAAAAGAAGGCTGATCTGGTTCATGGCGACTATTTCGCTCTGAATAGATTGAAGACGCATCTTCGGATTCATCTGATGAAGTTTGTGTTCCCCGATTAATTGAGGCTGAGCACGGCCTCGACGTTGACTGCTGCGGTTGAAGTTGACGCCCTGGCGTGCCCTAGACAGTGTTGTGGTTAGTGAACGACCGCGCGACAATTGCGCTGCTACTTACTGCGATTACCCGATGAGAGCTTTGCCTGGAAAGGGTTGATACTGAGTGATAAGAGCGACCAGAGCCTTGAAGCGACTCGCTTGGATCCTCGAATGGGTTGTTGGTCTCATGGAAAGAGCTATGGCGCCCAGTCGTGGTTGAATCCATTATATGGGATCAGCCAGGAAACACCAAGGCAATATTCCAGAGGCGCCTTATCAGTATAGCAACTGGGCTTGGAGACCTCAGCTGCGACTGGCGTTGTTCTTGAGTGTAGAAAGTGACTCCGTGGTGATGCTCACCAGATGTAATAGCAAATTAGAGCCATCGGAAATCGGACCATGGACACAAAGAGGACGATCAGATGTCCACAGAACGTACGATTTTACGACAAACAGCAAATTATGAACCTTCACTTCCCAAAGAAAACACGATGAAAAACGCGCAGTAGCAAAATTCCAGCGTGTGGGAGCGCGTTTCGCCAACTAAGTTAGGCTTGGAGCCGATAAAGCCTACCCGTCCATACTTTAATGTATGAACATATTATTAACTCGCTTGGCTGACTGCAGTCCTATGTTTCTCGCCGCTATCACATTCAGCTGGGGTCAGCAACCTCAAGGTCGCCATCTAGAGTAAACTGCGGCCAAATATGAAGCTCTCTGAAAGTTATTCTTCCAACACAATCTTTCCCAACCGGTTTCCTGACGAGATACTAGCAAGAGACACTGGATCGTGATGCCAGAAATACCACGCAAATTAAAAGTTCCAGCCGGGGCTAGAACTGGGTGATGGGAAATTCTTGCAGTTCCTTTATGTAACAAGAAACTGTTGCTGGGCCGTATGATGCCTTTTATTGGGTTGGATCCTGCTTGAGTCCGGCTGTTTGTACCTGCATAAGGTCCCAAATTCCTCGTTTTGCAATGCAGACTGTTCATTGAGTACCTGAAATCAACCGTGGAGGAGTTCAATCCACTCAAATTTATGGGCCATAGCGAAAGTCTGGCCCAATCAACACCTCGCTTTGAAGCATGCCATTCAGAGCTAGCTGCGATAGAGTTACGCCACGAAGCTTGAATGAATACTTCAGAACGGCTACTTGCTCGCACGAACATAATACCGTGGCCTGAAAATAAAAAACAATACAATGCAATCCTGTTTTCCTCAAGTAATGAAAGCTGACCAATCTATATAAATAAGGGTTATATTGCTATCGAAGAAATAACACGTATAAGCTCGCCGCGGCCTCTTCTCGTCCTCAAACGGGCTTGAATTTCGTGCTCTATTGAGAGGGGGAGGAGATGAAGAAATGTGATATGTGCAGCTCTATTTGGCTTCCCTTAATAGCGCTGTGAGGAAGAACAGAGTTCGGAGTCTTTGAGGAAACATTAGTAAGAACTGCAAGACGGTGGGTATGGAAAGGCCGCGAACATACCTTGAGAAAGGTTGGAATACCAAGCACTTAGAATACCTTGGATATTGTCGACTGGACGCTGCATTCGGGAAAATATGAAATGCAGCCACTCAAGTGTTCCATGTGGATGCATAACCTTCTCGAGATTAGTGGGATCTCGACCCCAGTGCTGGACAAACCCTTGAGCGAAAGTTCTATATTTCTGAACGTTTAAAGGTGCGACTTGAGCCAGTTTCTAATCTTTGATTTTGGAAAATCCCACGCAGAATTGTTCTACAGCTTTTCTCGTTGCTATTCGTTGTAGAGGAGGTGCACGTCGATCGTTCGATTCATTCTTTTTCAAATCTGCTAGCTTGTTGTTGTGAAGATCAGAAATGGCTTCGACCTCTGCGGTCTCTCGTTCTCCGTATTCTACAACACACCCCGTCCTTGTTGTAAACAGTTTAGCGGACCCCAAGCCCAGTCAGCAGACAACGCCTCCCCTTACCCCTCCAGCCGGAAATCGAAAAGACAGTCTGCTTGATTTCAATGACCTCACGCTCTCTCAATTCGCGGTCAGCCAGGACGAGGAGCCCCTAGTCGCAGTGCTCGGTTGCGGTTACGTTGGAACGAACCTCATTGGCGAGTTCAGAGGTCACTACAATGTGTTAGGATTCGACATTTCCCTCAAGCAGATTGAAATCGCCAAGGGCGTCCATGGGGGCGAAGGCAGTCGAGCGAGTTTCACCGTCGCACCTGAAGACCTGTCGAAGGCCACACATTTCCTAGTCTCAGTACCAACACTGCTTCTGGAGGATAAGAGCATCGACACTTCATATGTCAGAAGTGCTCTGGAGTTGATCTCAAAACATGCCCGGCAGGGTTCCACGATCGTCATTGAAAGCTCCGTCGCCGTGGGCATGACGAGACAGCTAGTGGGGCCTTTGGCAAAGGAAAGGGGCTTCTTCGCCGGCATGTCTCCAGAGGTAGGTAATCGAGTTCTGCTTTTTTGATTGGGTAACTAACAAACCAACAGAGAGTCGATCCCGGTCGTACGGATCCTCCCATGCACACGATCCCGAAAGTGGTCTCTGGGTTAGATGACGTTGTACCTGGCTCACTCAGCGCCATCTCCCGCTTGTATTCCCGTGTCTTCGATACCATTTTCCCCGTATCAAAACCAGAGGTCGCGGAAATGATGAAATTGTATGAGAATTGCCAACGAATGGTTTGCATCGCATATGCCAACGAGATGGCAGATGCCTGCGTCCCACATGGCATAGATCCCTGGGAAGTCTGCCGGGCAGCGTCAACCAAGCCATTTGGATATATGCCTTTCACGCCAAGCTTAGGCGTCGGAGGGCATTGCATTCCGGTGAACCCGTATTACCTTCTTTCCAACAGCGATTTCCCGTTACTGAAGAACGCTACCGAGAAGATGTGGCAGCGACCGGCAGCCGTTGGTCAGAAAGCACTCGACGCCCTCTTCAATGCCCAAAATGAGGAGGATGTGTTGTTGCGTCCTTCAGTGCCACACATCGACTCTGGAATCGACGTTACGTTCGACGCCGCCGATGAGAAGTTCCACATCAAGAAGCCTGATGGCGCTGATGACCATGACAAATTTTCTGAAACAACGGCAGTTCAAAGCCGCAGAAGCTCAGTGGACTCAGCATCGACTCTTTCATCCCGAGCCCGCGTCCTCGTTGTGGGCATGGGGTTCAAGCCTGGTCAGAGTGTACTGAGCAACTCTCCAGGAGTCCAGCTAACGCAGTCTCTGGCCGACTCGGGCCGCGCGGACGTCATGTTTGCAGATCCTTTAGTGAAGCAATCGGCTATTCCGCTCATTCCTCGACTTGACGATGAATCCTGGAACAAGCACATGCTCGAGACATTCGACATGATCATTGTTGCGATCAAGCAGACGGGAGTGGATCTTAGCATCCTAGAGGAGCTAGAGGGTGTCAAGGTGCAGAAATGGTACGCATAGGCCTTTCGATTATACTCCTGGGCAGGTACCTGACTTTGCATTGTTCTTTTGGCGTTCAAAGTGGCATGGACTCCGTGGTAGGAATTCAGGACTTGGGGCAGTCGTTCATTCGAGGCCGACCATCACTCGCACTGATGACCTCACGATCCGGCGCGGGATTAAAAGTTGTATCATTAGTTGTATACCTACCAAGGTACATATTGTAATTTCCCCTTGCTGGTTTCGTAGTACCGTAGGTCCCTAAAAGTTAAGTAACCTCTAATGCTGGCATCTGCCTTAGCTGCTTCAGGCTTATTATGGTAGTGGCATGGGTGGATACAATACCCGTAAAGGCGCTATTACTGTACAGAGTAGTGAAAGTTACGCAGTACTGCTAACATCGCCCCAACAGCATCCATGGCAGTACACATGTGCCCTTAAATACCTGGGCAAATGCTCACCGCCGTGTCCATCGAGACAAGAGATTTCGACGCCATCGGTTTGGAGTACATCAGCGGTGCGATGTCCCTTTGTACAACGATTCAGAGTCTGCTTGAACCATGGAATCATTCCCTAGCGCCGGTAGAGGCCCGTATACGAGGGCGTTGACGTACCTAAGTTAGTGTGTCTGTCCGCCGGCTGCTGTCCAAGTCGCCGTTTCAAGTTCAACCTGCGCACCCATTGGGCTGCGGACTGCAGCTGCGTCTTGTGGAACCAACGCAGCCAAACATCATGTATTTGCGCAATCGTTTTCGTTGGCGCCGAAGCACTCCTGTTTGTTGTCACTTTTCATGTACAGAGACTCATTAACGCCCTCGGCTGCCAATACATCACCAAAGAAGACATACAGACACGACTCACCACCTACCTGCGCCTGCAATCGTCCCCCACCATACGCACCCTAAGCTCATGAAGTGAGACCACGCGGCGTAGTCCCATCATTTCTCCTTGTTCCGCCCTGATCTACATAATCACAGGTTTTCGGGGTTGTGGCATGTGACAATGGCTTCCCATCAATTCATCAACGGCGTCTACTACCCGTGTTGGCGCATCTATCGTGGCCATGCACCGTCATCTCTTCAACTGGATGCCATCTCACACGTTTACTATGCTTTCGTGCTTGTCAATCACGATGGTACGCTCCGCTTCCTCGATGAACACGCCGACTGTGCCATAGCAGCTGATGGCGAGAAGGGGTGCCTCTCGGCGCTTGCCAAACTCAAGTCACAACGCCCAGGACTGAAGACTCTTGTGTCAATTGGAGGCGGTAGCGGAAGCGCCGAGTTTCCAGTGATGGCTGCCAACCCAGCTGCCCGTGTTACTTTCGCACGATCCTGCAGAGAGTTCGTTGAGAGATGGCACCTGGACGGTGTAGATATTGATTGGGAACACCCAGAGACACCACATGACGGGGTCAACTACATGGCTATGCTGAGGGATCTACGCCAAGCGCTGCCCTCTCCATGGTTTCAGATATCTACTGCGTTGCCCGTAGGCCAGTATTGCCTAAAGCACATTGACCTCGCTGCCACAGGCCAGCTTCTCGACTGCCTCAACCTCATGGGTTACGATTTCAACGGACCTTGGACTGATGTCTGCGGCCATCACGCGCAGCTGCTCCCGCCGGCCGGTAGGCTCGAGCATGTGTACCCCCGGTTAAGGAATTCTTGCCACGGGGGCGTCGAGTACATCCTCTCGCGCGGGTTCCCAGCCAGGAAGCTTGTGCTCGGGATCCCCGTTTACGCCAGAGCTTTCGAAGGAGCACACGGCATTGGCCAACCCTTCAAAGCAGCCCATGAGCTTGAGTATAATGAGTTGCCTCCAGAGTGGATTCAGCGGGTTTCTGTGGATCGCCATGCTGGGGCAGCGAGTTTTGTGGATAACTCAGTGGGTGGCAAGGGGTTTGTCAGCTTCGACGTCCCTGCTACTGTTGAACGGAAAGCACAGTATGTGAGAGAAATGGGGCTAGGTGGTCTTTTTTATTGGACCGGTGTAGGTGATGTAAAGGGCCCCGATAGCTTGGTGCGCACTGGATACCGAGCCCTGCATGGCATCCCTCAACCAGCATAATAGCACTCGATTGCAGCCATGAAGATGACAGGTGGTTGGAAATCCTACTACAACCACCAGAAGTTCATAGCCGTGTCACCCTTCAGCCTCAACATCAATATTAACGCATTTCTACATAGGAAAGCCGTGTCTGCAAAGGCTAGTTTTCTCGCGATGATACGTAGGCGTAGTACGGGAAGCGGCCATTCTAGAGAAGCGCGAGATGCTTGCTAATAGCAACTGTCTCACATGACTTGACTGTGGACCTTCAGGTCATGGAAAAACTCTATAATCTAGAAATAATGTATGGAGAACCTGGATCATGGTAGCATGGCCCGTATTCCAAGGGAAACAGACCGTTATGTCAAGGAGGTGAAGACAAAACTGAGTGAAATGTTGACTGTTTTGTGCAGCAGCACTACGGTAGCAGCTTGGCAAAGTTCCAATCTTACCTCATTCCAAATTGGCGTTCGACGTCGGAGGTGAACACAAGTGTTAGTTATTCACAACCGTCTAGGTCTATATCAAAGCATGGAGGAACTCGATGACGCAAAGGCGAATTTCCAAGAGCGGCGGGATGCTGTGGCTAAACTTACCCAACATGACATATTAATATATACACGTCACATTGGTTAGCTCACTCACATATTGTAGCCACGCCGATAATCAAAAGCCGTGAGAAGATCAAAGAGAAACACATAGGTCCTTGGGAATCTTGCGCGATATAGTAAGAGAAGCGCACCACCAAACAACGTGAATTGTCAGTCAAGTCCAATCGTATTACAAACTAGAACACATCTCATAGTACAAACCCTGTCCATTGTCAACCCTGATTTCCCGTGTCCGAATCCAACGCAAACATCACTTCCCCTCGCGTCCTCGACCATTCGTGCCGGTTCATGCCATCGTTGAGATATCACCATTGTGTGTATCTCCTTCCGCTGCCAACATTAGCGGGCGCAACTGAATTAATCTCGGAGTGAAAACCGCGAAATACTAAGAAGCCGGTGCAGATGACAAAGTCGAATCCAGGCTTCATCAGTACTGGGTGAGGTGGCCACAATGAAGGTGAGACTGGCGATTGCAAATAACTGTACGGCCACGATGAGAAAGACACCAAGGAGGTGTAGAAATATTTTCTCGCCGCAATCAAAGGAGTTGTGAGTGGATGAAGGAAGATTAAGGTCGTCATTAGAAAGAGACCTGCGATGGCGGAGGTCGACTTTTTGTCAGAATGAGAAGGGGGCGTGCGACGGATGAAGACGCGTTGTTGATTCACATGGTGATAGTGAACCTCTAAGGGCAGACCTTGAAACTTTCAGTAACTCTTTCTAGCTTAGAATTGAGTATGATAAGACTCACAGGCACAGAGACTAAATTGGCATATCGCGGCCAATCTCAAAGCTGATCTCCAAACGCTGATGTACAAGGTCGGCATTGTTAAGGGTGTTGAGGACTGACTTAAGTGCTGTTATGAACCTGTGAAGATATTAACACTCAAGCACTAACAATTGATAAGCTCTGTAGACCTTAAAACTCACATCACAGAAAGTCAAGTTGACAAAGTCATCCTCGACAGGCTCCATGCCAATGGAAGGCTCATCGCCAGAAGTCCTTACCACGACGAAGTCATCCTTCTTGTGGGGGCGTGGGGTAGTGACAGCAGTTGAGTGCCACTTCAGACGCGGCTTCAGCATCTCGATGATGGGCGCTGGCAATCCTTTCTCTATTTCGAGTGTGGCCATCACCTTGATGGTGCGAACGCGCTCCATAGCCTCGGATCCCTGTTCAATCTGCGACGCGACATCGCCGGACATGTAGAGGTTCTTACCAGTGGCATCAAAATACACCTTCTTCTGAAGGTCATGGCGAATGCCTCGTAACTCAAGGACCTGCTTCCAATCCAGCATGATCTTTTCAATCTTCTGGAGGACTTGAGCGTCAGCAGTGTGTTTGCGAGCGCTGCTGAGGCTCTCGAGGCGCTCGTTAATCTCCTCGCGAGTGATGTTCCCAAGCGATCGGTCAAAGACCGGCCGGTTCATCGGGTTGTCATAATCAGAAGGAATAGCACGAAGCTGCGACGAGGCGGGAGGTGTGATGTGCCAGGTAGGACGAACGCCTCCAGCATTGGAGCTAAGGGTTGGGCTGTTTGGGCGCGTGGGTGGACAGGAATACTCTCGAGAAGCGGCCATACCCGCGCCGGCGACCATGGAGGAAGGGATCCATGCGTCGCCTTCCTTCACGGCAATAGATCCCGAATACGGGATCGTAAAGGGCTGGGTATCGCTCTGCGAGTTCATGTTGTCAGACTGGAAACCGGTAGCCTGGTGCAGGTCCTTATAGATTCTCGGGGATCTATGCATTAGTCGCCGACAGTATTGCGACAAGAGCCTCCGTGTTGAGTTCGTTCACGACAGTATGATGGGAGGAGAGGGTCTGGGCAACTGCGACGATCTTCGGGGATAGATGAACACGCAAGTGTGGATGCGCACTGATGATGATGTTGATGATGATGACGACAAAAGGTGAAGCGAGGTGAGGAGAGAAAAACGCGTTTGCAAAAATAAAAGACCGGCCGGTGCTGGCAGACTGATTAGTCGGAAAACCCTTCTGGCAAATCCGCGTCACTGGCCGTCAATGTGTCAACAAGAAGAGCATTCACCCGGAGCAGTGCCACATTCACTTTCATCTCATCTGGCACCGTTCTAAACTACCCATAAGTACCAGGAAGATGTGGTACACGATATTGCTGGCGATCCCTCTGTATGACGTTTCCGATATTTTGCCATGACGTCGTGTTCCTCATAATCACAAGCTCATAAGAGATGGGATGACCTCGGGGGCTGCCATTTCCCATTTGGTTCAATATCACTACGGATGTTCTTGTAGTTATTGAAGAATGTGTCCCCATCTGTATTGTTTCAAGACCTTATCAGGTCTAGCAACATTGACCATCAGTTTGGGCGACGCTGTGAGAAGCTGACGATGATCACTGGAGACCAAAAGCCGCACATCATCTCACTTGAGGTTGATGTGAGCCGACAATTGAGATGTGCAACGTCATGATTTGATCATGATTCACATCCAGACAAAAGAGGCTTGCAGACAAACTCTTTATAATCAATGCGTCTGCCCTAAAAAATCATCGCGAATGAATTGACAAACCCCAAGCTGAGAGTAGCCGTTATCTCAAAGAACTTGCCTGTGGACTCTGGTCCTCAGGAAGTTCTTAGCCTCATTAATTGCAATCATATCCTCCCTTTCCCTCCTGCCAAACCGACGACACGGATAACTTCCTGTCGATAATATGGGGGTTCGATATAAGTCGGATCGCCCACGATAAAGGTTGGGGTTCTAGGATCACTGCGTGAAGTTCTATATCTCGCTCCTCTGGTGGTCCAGTATCAAAAGATATCGTCATGTTGCTGGAGATCCGGCGATTCTAGTAACCCAATGTCAAAATCATGCAAGATTGGTGTAAGTCTCGTCGCTGGCGACAAACAGCGTTCGCCTGGGACCACCCTGTGAGAAGGTATAGATCGTCCTCCTCGACAAGTTTATACGGCACCTTTCCTGCCTCAACAATTCTAATCCGTAAACGCGGACAGATTGCGCCCTGGACAAGGCCTAATCGGTGTACGTCTGGCCGCCAGCTCAAACGGACATGCATACAAGGTAGGTGATGAATGGCTGTGAAAGTCGGCTATGATATGTTCATTGAGGGTCTACAGCGTGTAGAGTCGCTTTGTTGCCCCGCATAGTTTCATTCAAACATGTGATATCTAGATGCGACTGCCAATTTCGCGTCCTGATCAAGCACAGTTGGGTTCGTGACTGCCTTACCTCACGAAGTTGTTGGGGGGCAACCACCTTCTTCCTCTTCATATAAGGTTCTGATGGAAGGTCGTATCAAAGCTAATTGTAGCAACTTCCAGCTCGACGCGAGGTGGCCCGGGACAGGATACTGGAGACCCGCCTGAAGCGTCCCGAAGCAACGATCGAAACTTGCGGTTTTTGGCACTCCTCAAGCGTGATCTCTCGAGGGTCCGCTCTCTCGTGAATATTTGGCCACCCCGTCAGTATGCTGGACTGGAATCCAGAACCACTCAATAATGATGGCTACGACACTGCACCTAGGTGTCTAGAAATTTGGAGTGGACGTTGCGGGAACCACGTGGTGTGGCGCCGGGATGTCTAGCCGGTGACGCTAGCTGGGGACCGCGAATATTCGCTGCCAAACCCCACCTCCATTCCTCTCCAGACGGTCTCTTCTCCTGGCACAGAATTGAGCTTGGGGCAGGGTTGAAATTGGCAGAGGCGGTCACTTCAATGGATCAGGACTCGCCTCTGTCGGTGACTGCTAACGTCGCTGGAATACTGACTTTCGTGGTGGCCATCGTCGCAGCTGTCTACGTACGATTTACCTACTTGCGTAACAGCGACGAAGAATACTTCCGTGTGAAGACCTCCTTGTCATGGTACAAGACAGAGTCAGCATGGCTTGCGGAACTTGTCAAAGCAGCTGGTGAACGTCCCGGCGTACAATTCCGGCCTGAGTACCAGATGTACAAATTTGTCATGGACGATTTAATTAACCTCGAGAAGCGCCTACTAGAACTAGTGGAGGAAGTGGAAATGATAGTCACCAGCGAGGAGACACGACGCACTGGTGAGAGCTGGACTCTAATACCAACGGGCTGGAGGTACGTGATTTTCTATCTTGCCTGGGCAGCGATCTTTTGAAAAATTGGACGTGAAGGGATCTTGATTTACGCCGACGAGGTGGATAGCTGACCTGGAGTAGCTTCACTACGGCCGTAGCAGTGGCCTGGCTTCCTAGACGAACCAAAGCGTTCGAGTTGGTCCGCCAACGAGATGCCTTGACGGCAAGAGTGTCGTTCACTCAAATGAGTATGATATCCTCGTAAGCTGTTTTCTACCAGCCCCCCACACACAGCTTTCGTGGCTGCTAACAAGGGCACTCAGTCGAATTCAAAACCTGGAACAGGGGAATCGTTTTCAAGGCGACAAGACAAAAGACAGTCTCGAGAAGTTTGGTGATATCATAGAAGACCAGAAAGCCGAAATTCGCCGCCTTGAGGACCTTGTATACCGTGTAATGCATAGGACCCGGGTTGGACCGGAAGCAAACACGGAAAGAACTTTCAGAGTAAATGATGTCGGTATGCCCTCAACTAGATCTGACTCGCAACGAGTAAGCAACAGCTCGAGCGAGCCATCTACGTTTTCTCTCGACGTTCACGATTCAGAGGACGAGAGAGGAAGCACGATTACAACTTGACGAGACAAGCTCTGAGAGGCAGGCTTTCTCTCAGCAGTCGAAAATAGCTTTGGACGAGCCGGTGACCCACAATGCAGCAGTAACGACGACAACATCAGTATCCTCCACGACCGTATACAGCCTGTCAGCACAAGAGAGCACAATGTCGACGATATAGGAGCGGGTCAGGGCAATGACAGGATGCATCAATATTCGCCGCTGCCCTGATGCTACATACATCATAGGGTGACAGTCTATCGCATGATCTATATACTCATCGAATCTTGTATCCTCCGGTCCAAAGAAAAACGCCCGCACAAGCCAGTGACAGTACGCCGAGGATCAGATTCAGCTCTATCACGCTCCACACCCAGAGACACCCTAATGGCGGCGATTGCTTCATGACAGCGAGGTAGCCGTAGGTGTTTGAAATGTGTATCAGGTAGCAGCCGGACGACACGCTAGTAGCAAAGAAGACCGCCTGGCGGAAAGGGGATTGGAAGCGTTCTGGCAAGCCGGGCACTGGGGTGGGAGCGGAGGCGTGTGGGTGGAGGACGTACATGAGGCACGTGAAGACTATGTTGAGCGCATGATGTCAGATATAGCCATTGAAACGAACACAGGTGGATTCCCGGCGACTCACCAAAGAGTGCCAACAACGATCGCGAAATCGCCTTGGCCCAGGACAGCTCTACGGCATACTGATGTTGGACAAGCACATCCAGAGTGAAGTGCAGCATGGTCAGGCTCACGCTCCATAGCAGGGTCTCCAAGACGCGTTCCGCCGTGGGCGAGATGGCCAGATCCTCGGGGCCATCATCCTGCTTGGGCAATGCCGGTCTGCCGCTCAGTTTCCGTTGCCGCAAGTCGGCCTGCTCAAAGAGCTGTCGTTCTTTTGCGAGGTCGAGCAGGGTCTTCTCCGACGGGCCTGATCGGTCAGGGTGAGCCAGAGGGACTTGGCCGGCTTTGCGCTCTTTTCGTGTTTGTACCATGTTGGCAGTCCTCTTCGGCAGCTTCTGCGCAATGGTCGTTGAACCCCAACCCGCGGCCGTACGATGGTCTGTCGTCAAAATTGACAGGAGTTATCCATGCACGGAATCGCGGCTAGCTCTGCTCAAGTGCAACCTTGCCCAGGGACGTCTGTTCAGCTTGGAGCTTCCAGGGGCGTGGGGATCCCGGACCGTCATTGGCCAAGCTAGGGCATTTTCGCCGTAGGGGGTACCAGTACCTTAATGAGGTTCAGCAGCGGACTCGACCCGATAACTTCAACCTGTGCATACTGCGGCCGGCTCATGCGCAGTCAACCTAGATGCAAGTGTAACTTGCCTAGCACGGTGGCATGCCATCTGTTCAATGAGGGGGAAGGGAGAGTATCTACGAAAACGTCCACCTCTTGGACCAATGTGTGAGCGAGCTATCACGATGCAGCTTTTCGCTTGTTTGGGTGAATCTGCAGCAACCCGACTGTCTCCATCGCCCCCAAGGTGCTATTATTCCCACCAACAAAGAAACCCAAGCCTTCACCTTAAACCCATTAAGCTTTGCCAGATGTAGAAGTAGCGCGAGCCTCAAATCCGCGCCCCGATTCGCACAAGTCGCAGGGGAGTGAGGCATGAAAACTGTCCGGATCGTCAAGTGTCAAATTTCCCCAGGAAGATAGGCGAGCCGGGGGGTTGAATGAAGGCCGTGCTGGTTGGTGAACGGACAGGTCGTCCCTCATTTCGAGCCAAATCGCAAGGTGGCATTTTCTAGTTCCCGCGTCGGCCAACCATCTAGGCGGACGGACTGTGAACCTGCTCCATACTCTCTCTTGTTCGTGAAGGGGGGCGGAAGGCTCTACATAGCTTGTCGGTCTCTCTTCTCCCTTCTTGTTGATCATACTACACTTGTCATACACACAACCTTATCCCCAGAGGGGCAGTGTTGGCACTGCACGTGGCTCGTCTCTCTATCGGTTTTCCCCCTGACCCAACAGACGTCAGTCGTGCGTCTGCATCGCATTCGCCCCCCGCGGCTGCAGGTCCCTAAACGAGCGCCGCCCGCCGTCCCGCACCTCCATCACGGCCGCCAGCTCGCCCAGAACTCTCCCTATTCCCGCCCTCCCAGCTGGGCGTTCTGCATGCAATAGAGAGAAAGAGCCCATTATAGCTTGAAGGTGATTGAGCTGCCTTCAACACAGCTCAATTGCCCATTTGGCAGCCGCCTCCCGCACCGGCAGCATGGACCTCTTCTTCCTCAGCACCATTGGGGTCCTGTTCGCCGTCCTGCCCCTCCTCTATGTCTACACGTGCTCCGTCGTGCAGACACGCTTCCCGACCCTGCGCAACAAGCGCATCTGCCTGCTCATTGCCCACCCGGACGATGAGGCCATGTTCTTTGCGCCTACGGTGCTGGCCCTCACCCGGCCCGAGACCGGCAACCACGTCAAGATCCTGTGCCTGAGCACCGGCAACGCGGACGGGCTGGGCGAGACGAGGAAGAAGGAGCTGGTAAAGAGCGCCATGCTTCTCGGCCTGCGACAGGAGGACGACGTCTTTGTCATTGATAGCCCGTAAGTTACCGATTTTGCGTCTTTTTGAATATGCCGTGCCAGGATAACCTGCCCTGCGCATTTGCCCACGTGCCTCCCCCCCTATGCTCTGCACTATGGCATGGCCGAACGGCTCCGACTAACACGACGCCTCAGGGACTTCCCCGACAGCATGACGACCCCCTGGGACGAGCAACGCATCTCGACCCTCCTATCGAAGGCCTTCGCCCCCTATCTACTCCGTCCGAACTCGCCCTCCTCCGCCGCGCCCGCCGCCTCCATCGACGTGCTGATCACCTTCGACAGCCAGGGCGTGTCCTCGCACCCCAACCACATCTCGCTGTACCGCGGCGCTCGGCGCTTCCTGTCGGCCCTGACGGCGGGTAGGTCGGGCTTTGCGTCCCCCGTCGACCTGTACACCCTGACCACGGTCAACGTGCTGCGCAAGTACGGCACGTTCCTCGACATGTTCGCCACGATGTTTGACTCCATGCTGGCCGGCGCCGAGGGGCGGAAGAAGAACGGCCAGGGCAACCCGGGCCGGCTGGTCAACATGAGCAGCCTCTTTGGCGGCCGGGAGAGCGCCGGCACCGCGCGCCAGGCCATGACGGACGCGCACAAGAGCCAGATGGTGTGGTTCCGCTGGGGCTGGATTTCTCTCAGCCGGTATATGGTCATAAACGATCTCCGCCTTGAGAAGGTCAAGTTGTGATGTTGCGAGCATGTTCAGATACGCAAGGTGCAGAGCACATATGCCAGATAAAATAGTAAAACTTACAAAGATTAATTGGATAAATACAATCATGAGATAAACGCGAAGGTCCCTCCAGCAATGTACATACACTTGGTACAAGCTGACCTACTCATTCTTCTTGATTTGGTCAGAATAGGCTACAATTCTATCGGAACTGGACAGGAACACGGCAAGATTATAGAAGTCCTGGTTCAAAGTGGATAAAACTGGCTTGTGCAACGAAAGCTGGGCTCATTTGATGGAAGCTCCGTGGTCAATGGGGGATCATCTGTGCACATTTCAAGGATAGTTGTATGGTACATAACCGCCGGTATTGTATTCACGGTATGCAATCATCTTTCATCGTACTCTACCAGTCGTCGTCATCCCAGTTATCAGCTTCACCCTGGTCCTCGCCGTCAGGACCGTCTCCCTGCCCCGAAAATGTAGACGCCGAGGAAATCCTTTCATCACTCATGGCGGTAAGCCGCTCCGCCTGACGGGCCAAGTATAGCCTGCCCCTCCTAGTCCGTTTCCTCGCCTTGATGAGGTCGCCCTTGAGGATAGCCAGCGGACTTAGTCTAGTGCTCATCAAGTTCCCGACTGAGTGTTTGCTGGCAACCCGGTACTGTGCCTGGTGTATCTCGGCGAGGTGCGTTTCCCCTCCCTCCCGTACCGGCACACGAAGCGTATCATCTCGCACGTGGATCCATTCCGGGATCTCCTCTGCAGGATCGTACATCTCCACAAACCCCGTGGCAGTTCTATATTGCACGGGATTGCGGATGAAGTCTCGCCAATCCCTGATCACGTCCGGAATCCAGCGGCTCCCGTCATGGAGCTCCTTGGGCCGCCATTTATGCTTCAGAAGATCGTTACACCATCCGTTCATTCGATGCCACATGTACTCTTTCAGGAAGCGAGCACGCTGGAATCGTCGTAGCGCTGCCGTGGCATCTACACCCGTCTGCCGGGCGCCGGTGTATTCCAATGCCGCGCTCTCGCAGTCAGCACATTGCTTCTGGTGAAACTTTCGAGCCGACTCCATGTATTTCATCGCCTGGTGAATCTTGGATTGCCCTAGAAGCGATCTTATCAAAAGGTCATACTGTTTGAAGCCAGGCTCAACCTTGTATGGAGGTGAAGTCATCGTATTCCAGATCATCTCGACAGCATCGGTGCTTGGTATGCGTTGCCGAAATCCTACGTAATTCCATCCAGTGCTAACGGCCGGGCTGCTCAATACATAGGTCCACTCAAACAGCTCAAACCAAGCTTTTGGACTAATGGGAATTCGGTGTTTGCTCGAGAGGTAGTCGACAATAGTGAAAGCCGTAGAAAGGTAGCCATTCGAGCAGTATACATCAATGACGGCCTCCATCAGGCGTGCCGATGGCTTCATGGTGGGCGCCCGTGCTCGTAACGGATCCTTATGCGGAGTCGTTCTGGGCGGAGTAGGTCCAACATATACCTCATCGCAACGTTTGTTCTGGCGGACAGTGATAGCAAAGTAATCCTCTAATATGCGATACTGAATGAATCGGAGAGCACCAGCGCGCCCAAATCCTCTCATCAAACTGCAAAGGAGTCTCTCTGTGACATGGAACCCCCAATGTTGGATGTAGTAGAACATACGGGTTGCCGATCGAGGCTTCCTCATTATGCGGGACAGGTCTTCGGCATGTGGTATGTTTTTGTTCAGTCCGAAGCGGTACGATCGCTGTCTGGTCGCGAGCCTCAGACGATCAAGCCCCCCTATCGTCTCCGCATGTAGGCGCACACGGCCCCTCCTGTGCAGGTTCCGTGCTGTCATCGCAAGACGCGTTTTGTCGAATCCAAAGTACGCAGGCTCTACCAGAAGCCTTGCTTTGACGAACTCATTGTAAATACTCCCCTGCCTCCAGTATGAAATACCGTGTTCGATCATCTGGCCCCATAGTAGCTTTACAACAGCCACGTCAGACGATGCGCCGGCAGCTCTCAGAAGAGGTACGTAGTCGTTGACGTTCAAGACTGAGCCGGATGCGTGTAAAGCTCGCATAAGCGTCAGCATCTGTCGCAGGAGTCTGGCGTAGAGCACCCTCACGCCCCATTCGTCGATTATTGCTCCCATATTTAGAACCATCCACAGCCCAGGATTGATGTGAACCCCATGGGTGGGATCGTTCTCTGGTACAACATCGAGAGGATCCAGAGAGCGCAGGAACTCAGAGAAGGTAGTTCTTGGAATGGTTTGGACCGCCGCGACCATCTCATCCTCAGGCATGGCCACAATCTGGTGCAAGTAGAACAGCAGCCTTCGACTATCTTGCTGTTGCATCGCCTGAAGAGCATTCTGGAATGGAGTCGGAAGCGCTGCTATCAAGCGTTCTGTCTGTTCACCTTGATACTTCGGTCCGTGGACAGACATTGCAGCAGACGTTCCTGACGGTAGCGCCCCAGAAGCCCCAACATGCGATGTGACTATGTCCCCGTCCCGAAGCACGCGACGTTCTTGTGAGCGTATTAGCGTGTCAAGGAGCATGGCGTCCTCGGGAGTAAACCCCGAGTGCCTCGATGAGGAAGCTGCCCATGTCGGTGCTGCACGACGCGCTTCATGATTGAGGCCAAATCGGCGGCAGATGCCCGTGGTCAAGGAGGGACGGGTGGCCGCCCCCGCTCGCAGCCCAGCATGCCGACCAGTCGACCCGGGCTGTGGCCATCGCCGCACCCGCAACGCCAGGGCGGGCGGTGCCGTGCCTCTCGGCCCCCTACACGCCATGGTCCGAGACCCTGCGAGCTCGACAACAGGCGACGCCGCGAACATTGCCAATGGCCAGATGGTGGGTCATGCTGGGATGAGGCCACTCACGAATCTGGGGAAGTGGAGATACTGAACGGGAAGGCGTTGATAGTGCCAACTGCGGATCATGGTGAAGCTCGGGCTCTAACTAACTGCCTTGGTCCCCGCTAGGCGAGGGGCGTTCCAGGGCCTCCCAGGGCCTCGGGCGGGAAATCGGTGGCTGAGGGTCGGGCCCGGCAGCAAGATTTTCCAGTGCCTCCGCTGGGCGCAACCCCTGCTCCCGCGGCGGCCACTGCCAAGCGAGCAGCAACCGCAAACCAGCGCGAGAGGACTCGGACATTCACAGACCAACGCAACCTCACCGTCGCACCCCAACCATCAAAATCTCCGGCGCACGTGATCAGAGAATATCCACGATGGCCGAAGGCGAAGAAGGAGCTGCTGCGGGCTCTGTCTCGGAGCCCCTGGACCTGGTGCGCCTGCTTCTCGATGAGGTCGTCTTCGTCAAGCTGCGAGGCGACAGGGAACTCAAGGGCCGACTGCATGTGCGTTGTCACGGTCGAGATGCCACGCGATCGGGGTTAGGCTGCTAATTTCTACTTTAGGCCTATGACAGCCACATGAATCTGGTGCTGGGTGACGTTGTAGAGACCATCTATGTCGTGGATGAGGATGATGAAGACGAGGAGATCAGGGTTAGTGAGCCATACGATATGCCACGTCATGCCACTGTGCTAACCTTAGTCCTACAGACGGTCACTAAGAAGTCCGAGATGCTGTTTGTTCGAGGTAGCATGCCTCCCAAAACTTGACTTTGCATCATGCACTGACTGTGACGTTTAGGCGATAGTGTCGTGCTCGTTTCACCGCACACCTCATCTTAGGATGGCGAAGAGAGAATGTGTGAGCCCAGCAGGCATTTTCTCCACCAGAATCTGGTGAAAGCTTGGGTGATCTTGCTACACTGTAGGGGCAACTGCCACTTAACCCAAAGCGTTGGCAGTGTGGCCCCGTGAGGTTATACGATACCAGCGGAGGATGGAAGCCCCAAGGCATGTTGGACGCCCAGCTGGTCATCACGCGGACAGGCAATTTAGATGGAAGGGGGCTACGAAGCCGTGTCCAGTGGATTGAAGAGCAAACCCGATACCCGCATCACACCACGACAGGCGCTATCTGTGCTGCATCTTCTGTGCTTCGACTTCGGTGATCAAGATCCGGCATCGTGAGGTTTTGTCCCCCGAAAGGATTACTCAGAGCCGTGCCAACACCCGCGCATGTATTGCTGCAATTCTTGCTGCGGACTTGTCCGAAGGTCAACATCTGAACACGTAATAGACGTTGATGCTTGCACAACCCAAATGTAGCCCAAAAATAAGATTATTGGCGTTTCACTCCCCCGGGCTTGACTGCTTGCATCCACGGGACATTATATGGTTATTACAACTAAGTCGCAGCACGTTCGGATCACTCCGATCAATCGGTTGCTCAATGCCGTACGGCTTGCATCCCCGGAGCACCGGTTGCATGATAACCAGATAGCAAATGTGCCACTTGCAGATCTCAAGGGCCCGCCAACCCCCCTGTCTTTTTTACTCTGTCTGCGCTCGCACATATGCAACCTCATTCGCTAGCCCGGCCCCTTTCTCATGGGGACGACTCCTCAGTGTCTTATCAGTCATCACCACCCAATGCTCCGATCACACTAACCAGGAAGATGCCACCCCCAATTCCGTGTCTACATATTGCGAGGATTATGACACTACCATGTATTGCGGGGTCATAGGACTCATACAGGCAGTTGGGCCGAATGATAAGGCATTTTGAGCAGGCCATTTAGTTGCTAGGGGTATATGACATCTACGACTCTTTCTTGAATCAATAACATGTTCCTTCTCTAGCTGAGTCTCTAGCTACCAGTTTCAACTCTCTCACCCCCACTTGGATAGCCTCGATACCGCACGCGTTCGATCTTATACCCTTCTTACTATACCCAGCTGTACAATGACGGCCGAGAAAAAAGACACGGAAGGGCAGATGCCCCATTCCGGTGACGTCGATGCGGCGTTGGAGTACCTTGATCATGAGACTATGACCGTAATGACCGAAATTGATGAGAAGAAGCTTGTTCACAAGATTGACTGGTGGATAGTGCCGCTGATGTGTAAGTGTCTTCAACATTCGCATTCGAATACGGCTATGTCTAACGGTCTGAAACAACATAGGGGCCTGTTATAACCTCCAATACCTGGACAAGACGTTGAGTAGGTTTTCTCTCTAGTATGTCGTCACAGAAAAGCACTGATACGGCCCAGTCAACTATGCCAATGTCATGGGTCTCCAAGAGGACACATCCATTACCGGTGACCAGTTCTCGCAGCTGGCTCTCGTGTTCTATGTTTCCTACCTCGCGTTCGAGTTCCCCACCGGCTATCTCATGCAACGCCTGCCGACTGCCAAGTATCTAGGTGCCAATGTTACCTTGTGGGGTCTAATGGTGGCTTTAACATCAGCCGCCCACAACTGGGCTGCACTGGTTTCGTTGCGAGTACTTCTGGGCTGCTTTGAGTCTGCCGTGGCTCCGGCCTTGATTCTTATTACGTCGATGTGGTATCGGAAGTCTGAGCAACCAGCACGAGTCGCGTTCTGGTACGTCGGCACCGGGACTGGCACCATCATTGGCGCCTTGACTTCCTTCGGGTTCCAGCACTACCTCGGCGACCAATTCACGAGTTGGCAGATCATGTTCCTACTTTTCGGGCTTATCACCATTGCCGTCGGCATTCTCGTCATGGTTTTCATGCCTGATAGCCCCATGTCCTCCAAGCTTAGTCGCGAGGAGAAGATCTGGGCCATCGAACGAGTACGAGAGAACCAGACCGGTATTGAGAACAAGCATTTCAAACCGTATCAGGTGCTTGAGTGTTTCCTAGATCCGCAGACTTGGTTGCTGTGCCTCATTACTATTGCCAGTAGCGTTCCGAACGGGGCTGTCAGCAGCTATCAGGCTACTATCATCAAGGGTTTTGGGTATACCAGCAAAGAGACAGCGCTGCTTAGCATCCCAAGTGGTGTGGTAGCTTGTTTCTCGGTGATTACTTCAGGTGTAGTTGCGACGAAGTACAACACTCGTGGACCCGTTGCCATCGTGATCATATTGATCGGCGGCATATTGGGAGGTTCTCTGTTGGCCTTCTCACCATCAAACAACAAAGGCGCGCTCCTAACTGGTAACTATCTCACGAATGTAGGTTGAACGCACCTGCTTCTGTTATGATCATTTGTGCTCCTGAGCCCACGCATTGATGGATTGTTTTACAGATCATTGGTTCATCTCTCCCCTTGCTGTACTCTTACGCTGCGGCGAATTACGCGGGTCATACCAAAAAAGTCACCATGAACGCGGCACTACTGATGTCCTTCTGTCGGTTTTGTCACCCCGTCTTGTATGGAACACAGAAGCTGATAAAGGCGCAGGTCTCGGCAATATCATTGGTCCTCTAACTTTCAGAGACGCTGACAAGCCTAACTACCTTCCCGCAAAGATTGCGATTGTGGCTACCTCTGCGGCTGCAGTGGCCCTTACTGCTGTGCTGATGGCGTATTACTCGTGGGAGAATAAGCGAAGGGATAAACTGCACGTGGGCCACAAGGAGAATAGCGAATTCATGGACTTGACAGACAAGGAAAACAAGGAGTTCCGAGTAAGCTCATCAGTTTTCAAATTCGTCTTATGGTTTACTAACACACCTGTAGTACCGGTGGTAGACGCCGAAAAGCCCTTCATTATCCGTCATTATATAGAAGCGATACATTAGGATTCTGATACATATCGGTTTCACAATGGCCCGGCCAATAGATGCTCCTCAAGATTTGTCCCACCGTGACATTCTCCAACCTTGACATGATCCCAATGCCACGCTGCTCACCCAGCTCCCGGGGCATTCAAAAGACATGCTTTGATGATGGCATCTATGTTCTGATCTGATTCTAACTGGGGTCTCGGGTGACCATTGTTCGCGTACCATTGCTCATTCCTGTGCCTGATGGCATGCACGGCTTGGTCAACTAACGTTGTTATTTTGGGCCGATCGCTCTCCTCCCCGGCCAAACATGTGCATATAGCTGCCTTCAGGTCGTTTTCAAGGAACGGAACTGGATTCTTTCCATTTTCGTCGGGAAGTAAGCTCACAGCTGTCGTCTGGATTTTAGGCGCACGAGCTGATGCTTGGAACGGCACTTCATAACTACCAGGCCCGAGATCGATGCCCTCGTCTTCTGACAGCAACACGATGGATATCATGACCTGGCTTTACCGTAAGTCTCAGCCAGAGAGAATTTAAAAAGCACCAAACTCACTGTTGCGACGTCAAACAAGCTTTCCGCCACGCCATCAAATCCCCTATCTCACAGTCAGCATGGTCAGCGCCGTCCAGTCAAGTAAGCTTAAAGGACACCGCGAAAGAGGCGGTCTGGTTTAGCACTTAGATTTCGTGTACACACTTGAACTCTGCTGCTTCTCCCCAATCTATCAATTTCAATGGAGGAGAAACATCATGCTCTTCGTCCAGGCCGGCGGTGAAACCACCAAACATGACTGCGAATTCTGGCGTCAGCTCCCGTATTGAACAGAAAGCTCGAGGGTGGATGTTCAGACAAACCATTTCCATTGTTCACATCATTGTGCACGATCCCGCGGACTGGTTTCGTTGAAGTTCGCTCAATCATGCCCCCAACTGGAGAAGCATCTCCGACAGGTTCAGGAGGCCAGCCCATGGCCACAACCATGCGAAGCACTAGAAATGATGTGCTGAGCTCGGAAGCGCAGAGTCGGGAATCTAGAGGCGTGGACTTACTACATAGCCAAAACCTCCACAGGAGTCTATTTGGGACCACCTCTACTTTTGCAGCCAAGGCTTTGCTAATGAAGTTATTGACGTCCCCATTCTCAACCCATTCAAGGTATATCCAATGGCCTAACCGATGAGGTCGCATTGGGATATTTCGTTTCAGCGGGTCTTCCGGAATCTCTACCATGTGCACAATATGCATTGCCCATTTCAATATCTGCACATCGTGTGGTTGATCAGTAGTGCACTTCACTATGGCATCTCATCAGTCTCACTTTCAAGATATTCTTCTCTTTTGTAATATCGTTCACTTCCTCCTGTTGACCATCCGCTATATCCTCACCAAGTCCATTGTCATCCATTTCTTCATCATCGTCGCCTTGCACGAAGTCTTTGTCATAACGAAGCGCTTCTTGCAGGTGCTTCAGGACGAGTCTCTGGATGGTGTTGTTGTCAGAGCGGTACAGGATGCGCCAAGCGACAGAAACCTTCCCAGCTCCTACCAGTTTCTCAAGTGTGATGCGTTGCTGCGAGTCATTTTCGAAGTATGCAGTGAGGAGCTCCTTCATGTTGAACACATCTTGCGTGCTAGCATTCTGCACGTTCACAAGATCCGCGCCCATTCTGTTCCGATTCTGACCGGGCTGATGCTTTGTTGGACGTGGTCGCTGATTTGGACAGACTCAATATGCGGCATACAGTCCTGCTGATATCTGACGAAAAACAGTTCTTTATACGGCGGTGCAACATGACTTTCTCATGTTGGATCAGTGGATTCTTCTCGAACAGTTGACAGTTGCTGTTTTACGTCTATGAAAAACGGTTTACAAGCCACAGATAGAATTTACAACCATAACCTATCGCGCCTTCCTGACTCAATATCTTATGGTGAAATGCCCTTGCAAACTAGAGCGCACAAAGGGCTTGCCGTTCAGGACAAGACAATTATCCCGTTCCCGGCAGGACTACAGCAACAAAGGCAGCATCAGGAATGAAAGGAACGCCGAAGTCTCTGTTCGGACGATACACATGTCCGAGTCCAAATTTTGACTTTCAAAGCCGTTCTGCGATCTGAATAGGAAGTAGTCTGTACAGGCACGCACCTCGTCCCTGACCACCGAATTGCTCTTTCACCTGTCCTGTTCTTTCCAAACAGTCAGATCTGAGGCTCCAAAGATAGCCTGACCCGTTCTACTCTATACTGAGCTATGCAAGTGACATAGGTAGTCTCAGCTCATGTCAAAACTTTGCTAGAATAAGGCCGAAAGTTAAAAAGGTATGACACTAATACCGTTACCAAAAATAAGTCCAGCTGGCGCCGTGGAGACGATGCCAGTGATGGCTTTTCAGCTTCCAGCCTGAAATTCGACAACGATGGATTCTCGTTACATCTCGTGGTTGGAATGTGGCCAGCCTCGTATTTCCTTCCCGTGACCGTCAGCTCCACAAGCCACTTCGTCTTGCGATTCGTGCCCACCGATGGGACTGGCACTAATGCGCCATAAGCTTAAAGTTGAGCAATTAACTTCGTGTCGTCGCCAATAAGCATGTCTCAATGACCCGAAAACATGTAACGTTTTGTCCAGCTCACTCATCAGTGGCATGCGGTATAGTGCGAAATGCGGAGAAGTGGCCTGCTTTTCGGCAAGGACAGCAACGCCTAGTGTCCTTATTACGAGTCCTAGAAGCTGTTCAGCCTGCTATGGCTAGGTGGCAAGCCCGAAAGTTAGTAAAAATAGCCATGGGTTCTTCCGTCAGTAGGGCAGTATAGGTGAGGTGGTTCACGGCTGAGGTATTCCGAGTAGGCGTCTCTACTGAGAGTGCGCCGTGATAGGATTTCGGCGAATACGATGGCTTTCGTAGGACTCCGGGTGGAATGCATTCCTAGGCAAATCAGCAGATATGACAAGAGCCACGGCAACTTGTCCGAACCCTAGATACGAGATTCCAGGTATATATATCGCAGCATCAGGGTGCCATTTCCAGATTCTCCATCTCCTCAGCAAGCGCATCAAACAGTCCACAGCAATTCTTTTCCCCCCTACACCACAACGACAAAACACCAAAACTTTCGTTGACCTGTCCCCCAAGTCTACCAATATGAAGGCCTTTACCATCCTCGCCCTCGCCGCCACTGCCCTGGCAGTTCCATCAACCCCTTACGAGACGAACCCCAAGCCAGAGTGCACTCCTCCCTCGTACGCTTGCAAGCCGGACAACTCAGGGTGGCTCGTGTGCAACGTCGACGGGAAGTGGCTGGTGAGAACTTTCAACCTGTCTGGAGTCCCGTGCAGTGCTGACTGAACGTTTCTAGGATGGAGGCGCTTGCCCGGCCAAGACGACTTGCAAGCCGATCAACAACCTGCCTTACTGCGTCTAAAGGCCAACAGGGCCCGGGTCACACAGACGGCGTGCCAATAATAGGCAAACGGCTGAGGAGACAATGGGATATTTCGGGGATGACTAGACTGGGATGGTGGTTGTGATTAGCTAATAGTCGTTCATTGATCCAGCCGCTCCTTTAGTTGCAATGACAGAACCAATAAATATGAGCTCGTATTTATCTATTCACATCCGTTTTGCAGAAGAATTACCCATGTTGGATGTTGACTGGAATGCTTTCAAGGCTGAAACAGGCGACCAATGGCCGACCCCTGAGAGAGTAGACAGAGGGCAGTACATATAGTGCCAACTCGAAGGGTTGCGGGTCGTAAACCAAGTTCTAGCAAGGAGCACTGGACTCCATGAGTAGCACAAAAGTATAGACAGGTTTGGGTCCGTCACTGTGAAAAAGACAAATGCGACGAAACATTCCGGAAAGCATATTTGCGCCGGCCTCCGATACCACATACGAGGGTACCAGGCAGCTAGCTCTTGGAAAGTGGATGGATGAACTGGTGGATGGACGGCAAAGACATGGACGATTTGACGGCTGACGGACCTGGGTACGTACCAGGCTAGCTAAATCACAAAGGGCGCTCGAGCCATAGCTTAAATCCAGCAGAGGGAAAGTCGGAAGCCGGGGATCGGGGACGTGGGACGGGCAATGGGCAACGGGGGCGGGAATTAGTCGGCTAAACACGGTCGCGTTGGCCATGAATTTCTGGCGCCAACCAGCAGCAGCAGGGAGCTTTCCGTTGCGAGAGTGATGCGAAGTGCTTTGCGCGCCAACACACTGCAACTTTCCTGCTTGCGCAACGCCGTGCATTGCTTCTATTGAGTTGGTTTTGGTGCTTGCTTGGCCCATTGATGCAAGCACAGTGCGACCGCGCATCCTGGCATCGATCTAGTCTCGGGCGACTTCACAATGGCGGACGCGAACGAGGCCACCAGCGCGACCTCGGTGCGCGAGTCCATCGAGGCTAGAGCGGCCGCCGACGGCGAGCGCAAGGACAACGACCCTGCCACTGCCCCGGGAAACGCCAACAAGACTGGCGCAACCCCCGGCGCGGATGCCGATACCGAGGCCAATGCCGACGCGGATGCCGACGCAGACGCAGACGCAGACGGCGATGCTGAAGCTGACGCTGAAGCTGCAGCCGTAGCCGATGTTGACGCAGATGCAGACGCCGACGCCGATGCTGATGCCGACGGAGATGTAGATATGGATAGACAGGGCGACGACGCCGATGCCGATGCCGATGCCGATGCGGACGTCGACGCCGACGCCGACGCCGATGCTGAGAATGACGAGGACGGAGCGCTATCAGGCCTCTCTACGGACATGCTCACCGTCATCGAGAACACAGCCAACTATCTCTCAAGCTTCAGAGAACCCGATGGCTACCATGTGGCCCAGGCTTTCCAGCGCATTCCCAACAGGCGACTTGTCCCTGACTACTACGATGTCATTGATGAGGCCGTAGCCTTCAGCACAATCAGAGTATGGATTTCTGCGCACCTAGAGAAACCCCATGGCAGTATACTAACCGGATGCATTACTACAGACCAAGAAGTTAAAAAAGCAGTACTCTGCCTTCTCCGAATTCGTCAGGGATGTGGCCAAGATCTGTCATAATGCCCAAGTCTACAACCGCCCGTCATCGGGCATCTTCCAAGACGCCGTGCGTCTCCGTGAGATCTTTAAGGAGGAGCTCCAGAAGTTGGTAGACGATGAAACCATTACCGCCGATGAAGCCGTCCTCCCCGACCTCGGCCCCATCCCAGAAGCCGAAGACTCTCCGCCGCCTGAGGAAGACGAAGAGGACGAGGAGGAGGAGGATGACGACGATGAAGACGACGAGGACGACGAGGACGATGACTCTGATGACGAAGGCGGGCGGCGCCGCAGAAGGGGTCGCGGTGGTCGCAAGTCTGATGCCAGAGATGAGCAGCCCCAGAAGGGTGGACGCCGCCCGCCCAAGGTCTTCACGCCGCTCGAAGCCCGCATATATGCGTTCCTCAAGGGTTTGCGCAAGTTCAGGGCTCCCGATGGGGAACTTCTGATCCTGCCCTTCGAGAGGCTGCCGGACAAGTCAGTTGCTCCTGACTACTACGACGCCATCCAGAACCCTATTGCGCTCGACACCATCAAGAAGAAGGCCAAGCGCAAGAAGTATCAAAACCTCGATCAGGTGCTTCAGGATACCGAGCTCATGTTCAACAACGCCAAGACGTACAACGAGGAGGACAGCCAGATTTACCGGGATGCCGTGGAGCTGCAGGCCCAGGCTCGTATTCTGGCCGAACAAGAAAAGGCTAGACCCGACGATGAGTTCGAGGACGAAGAAGGGCGTCGTCCTGTATCCGAGATCCAGCACAAAGGAGAGCTTTGGAAAGTTGGTGAGTCTCTCCGAGCCATTCTGTCCTAGATTATCTGTTTGCCACTAAGCGAGAGGCGCTGCTAACCGTCGACCAGGCGATTGGGTACACATCACCAATCCGAATGACCTGACCAAACCCATCGTCGCTCAGATATACCGGACATATGTTGACAAGGCCGGTAAACCATTTGTCAACGCTTGCTGGTACTACCGGCCGGAGCAGACAGTCCATCGTTTTGAGAAGCACTTCTTCGAGAATGAAGTAGTCAAGACTGGCCAGTACAGGGATCATAGCATTGACGAGGTTGTGGACCGATGCTTCGTCATGTTCATTACCCGCTACAGCAAGGGCAGACCTCGTGGCCTTCCCAAAGACAAGGACGTCTACGTTTGCGAGGCACGGTACAATGAGGAGAAGCACAGGCTCAACAAGATCAAGACCTGGGCCAGTTGCCTGCCCGACGAGGTCCGAGAAAAGGACTACGAGATGGACCTGTTTGATGTCCCGCGCAGGCTGAAGAAGTTCCCCAGCCCCATCAAGCACCTGCTTCAGGATGACGCAAAGCCGGATGATCCCCTTCCCAAGCCGACATGGGGAGCACCAAACGCACCCCCTCTCGTAGGGGCGGTGCATTGCCGGAAACGAGAAGCCAATGTGAGTGGTGTCCTGTTGCCTATTTCCACCTGTCTCATTTTTTGCGTGGCATGCCGATAAGCCCGTCATCCCTCGCTCCCTTCCTGTTGCCCTATCCGTGTGTTCTTATCGATTGCGCGGCCTGTCTCCCTCGGTAAATTGCTTGCTTATTCTTCTGTCAGGAATCTCCCCCGCCTGAGCCCACTCCGCCACCAGTGCCTGTCGATCCGACGCGGCGCCCTTCCATGATGCAGCGGGCTATGGACAGCCAAGGCGACATCGCCATGGGCAACGCGCCTCACTTTGCTCCAGTCGCAGCACCGCCGACACCGACTGGCGCCGCCTACACACCGCACTACTCGGCCGCGCGGCCCAGTCCAACGCCCGTTCCGGTGCCACAGTACGGCAACCACCCAGGAATGCATCATTCGACGCCGCAGATGCCACCGCACACCCCGCAGTACTCAGCCCATCAGCCGCACCAGCCTCCGGCGTACAACGGGTTTGCACCGCCGTATAACCCTGCGCCCGTCCCCATGAGTCACCATCAACCCCATCATCCGCCCGCCAACTCGCCCATGATCCCTTACGACCCCAGTCAGCGCCTGGCCCCGTCGCCGGCGCGCACGGCGGTTCCTCCGCCCCCTACCCCCGGCGTGCCCAACACGTACAACCCTCCCCGTCCGGTCGAGGTGTACACGCTAAATGACGCGACGAACGCTGCCATCCCCCCCGAGGTTCGCGAGCAGTTCCAGCGCGACGAACAGGGTCGCGTCTTGTTCTTCACCCAGCCGCCGCTCGACCGTGCACACCGCGGCCTTTCCAGCGAGAGTGCCGGCCTCGGCCACAGTCTTCGCTATCTGGCCGATCGTGAACGGGGCGTGGAGGACCGCCGCGCAAAGCGTAGGGCACGTGACGAGCTGCGCAAGGAGGAGGAGCGCAAAAGACGCGAGCTGGAGGAAAAGGCGGCCAGGAAGGAAAAGGCCTTGTTGATAGACGCTGCTGGCGACGCGCTGCTCGACTGGGTGGCCACCATGAACAAGGAGAATGAGGTGCTGAAGAAGCAGTACAATGGCTGGAGCGTCAAGGATAAGGACATTGACAGGTTCGCCTCGAAGTGAGCGACCTGGTACGAGACGGATTCATCTGGGCTTGATTGTATTTTCGGGGCGTTCAGGGGGGGAATTTGGGAAAGGCGTACTAAGGGGACGTCAAGATACCATGTCAACCGGCCCCAGCATGCCGGGTAAGGGACATACGGGTTTGGCTGTACAATACTCTTCGCTTGTACGAATACCTAGAAGCCTGGGGTAGACAAGTCTAAAAAGCATTGCAACGAAGGCACATTTGACGTCTGGAATGAATACCGTAGCTTGAGCCAGGCCCGTGTGTGGCAATTGATTCCTGTAGATACCTAGACAATCATGATAGCAGGCAGGCTGATTTTTCGTGACTAGCGAGTGCGATGGTGTGTTCTTTATGGTCAAGGCCACGCTGGGCAGAGTTCACGCCTTATAGCAGCCCTGGTAACGGCTGTAGCCCAAGGTTCGTGGGTAGCTTGCCATCTGAGTTGCGAAGGCGTTGGGCGAGTTATGTTTGACTCGGTCCAGAGGCGCACAAAAACCGCTGTTGCATCTGTAGAGAAGATGCGGTCACATCAAGCAAGCCAAGTTTGTCGAGATATTGTATTCACGATACTTATAGGACATCTGGCAAGTGGCTGTCAAGCTGAAGGCACTTTGCAATAAGCGGCAGCGCAACAAATGAAGGTCAAGAATCAAAGCGCCTGGTAACATCAAGGCAAATGCGGCACCCAATGCGTGCATCCATGTAGGGGATTATATATATAACCAGCTCAGGCTTCTGATCTGCTATGAATCTTGGCCAGGTAGCATTGAACAGCTTGAGTGCAACTCTCAGATCAGCCTTCAGAGAGCTTCAGAGCTACCGACGAGCCTTAGCACTATTCGGTTAGCGGCTGATCGATGACGAGGATTCTCAGGTCTGTTGTGTCTGGGCCCAGCTCCAGCGCTCTCACCGCCTGCTCTGGGGGACCTCAGTGGGGGCAACAGGCAGAGCAGGGACCCCCTAGGTGGCGGCAGAATGGAGACCAATCCCCGCCACCGTTGGGCTTCGTCCATGTCGGCATGATTCACCCAAGTATGCGACTCCTTAGGTAAACTCTGCCCTTTGCCTTTCTATGCGTCAGCTACCAGATTCTTTCTTACTGTACGAGGTGCGATTTGATTGTTTTCGTTCTTGCCCATTTATTCTGCATACTGCTTCTGTCCGTTGTGAACTTTTGTCGTCGACCTGATATTCACTTCTCGTCCGGCGATTGTTCAACGCCTGAGGACCTGCCATTCCCATTGTCGCCAGATATTCACCCCCAGTCGACACCTGCTACCACGCAGCCGACCACTATGAACCTGCTTCGCAACTTGCGTCAAAAGCTGGTCGAATCTTTGTTATAACATACAAAATCTTCATTATCCCCATCATTCCGTCGCCTTCCGAACCGCAGGTACGTGATCAGTCTTTCTGAACCCACGGAGATGTAGGGCGCCAGCTTCGGCGACGCTGGCAACCAGTGGGCCCCATGTCTTGTACTGTCACCGACAGGGACCTCACCTGCCGCTCGAAGATACCCTCGTTGGGCTATTCTTCATCTTGTCTTGTGACCGGCCGAGGTTCTTGCCCCATCAGTTGGCGCCGAGCTCCTGTCTCATTGGAGTTTTCCTTTGGTCCAGGGGATTATCAGATTAATTAACACGCAAGACTTGTTCTTCGAAGGGTTATTGGCTGACTTATTTTCAGATCGAAAGTTCACTTCGCTCTGATCTGGCCAAAAAAATTCCCTCGAATAATTCTGTCAGTGAATGTGATCGATGATGATGGCAGTCGATCGTCAATCGCGGCTCGTCCCACCCCTCGAAACTAAGCCTCCCTCCTCTCTCTATCCAATTTGCGGCTCGGACCAATCTGGCCTGGTCGATGCTCCGGTTGAGGTCAGCCAAAGCTCTGTCCAAGTTGTTTACAAGAAGATTGGCGACGCCATGGACCGCCATACCAGAATACAAGCAACCCTCGAGCCTGGCGCTTTCCTGGATACTCATGGTGGCATGAAATTCTTGGAGCGATTGAGTGCAACACACGATGATCCGCACCATCCATACCTTGAGGATGTGAAATTAGACACTTTTCGTGCCACCTCGACGCTTCTCTCTTCGCCGCCGGAGACTCCTCACGACAGTGCGTACAACCATCGAAGAGAGGCAACAACGGCAATGAGTAGCTCCAGCTCGGGTAGCCAAGCCTCGACCGATACGATCATTTGTGGTTGTTCAGTCTCGTCTGTACACAGTTCGGTCAAGACGACCGCTGACCGTTGGTGTACGGACCGCCAGTACGATAGCACGCCGCTCTCATCTCCCCTCGATCCAACGCCGACAAGGGCTCCACGCTATAGTGAAAACGGATCTAGTCGATTCAACAGACTGGCCGGGGAAGGCCCACCAGCTGTTCACAGTGTCGGCGACGTTACTGATATCCCGTACGGACTGGACAGTCAAACAGTGTCAGATTGTGGCATGACTGCTGAGTCTAAACGTCACACCGACCGCTTGACTTCAACGCAGTCTTGTGATGATGCCCGGATCCAGCGGGAGATGCAGTACTGTGAAGAGCTTCGAAGAGCCGGTCTTGGCAGTGATGCTGTTTCCAGAACCGTTCGCGTCCCGCTTAGTGTCAAGCAACGTAGCACAGCCGCCTCGGTGCCTTCAGTACACGCGCATCAGGGACCTCGAGGACCTACGCAACCGGCTCCGGTTGAGGCGAGACGGAACCCGGATGCCAAGGACTACCTAAAATATATTCAAGCTGCTCTCGTGTCTGAAAAGTATGCGCCGCAGCAGAATGTATCAGAGGAGTCCACCCCTCTTGCGAGCACTAGGTCCGATCCCCTGATTCAGGTTAGAATTGCAGATACCGAGTCGTCCAGCGTTTTTGAACATACCCGCACCTTGAGAGGTCGTTTGGCTGGCAGCAAAGATCTCCTGAGAGACACGAAGGCATCGTCGGTGTCGGCACTGATGAACCCGGATCCTGCGTCTAGTCGATCTTTGTCAGTTTCGACTGCTGTACAGCAAACAAAGGTACGACCTTTGTCAGCATCTGTTAGCAACACCATCCAAAAGTCACGTCAGGCTCAAATACCGAGCGACACTCTCGACGATGATGAGTATGACGATGACGCCGATGAAGGCGGCTGCTTACTAAACTTCAAGATTGCCACGAAGAAGGTTAAGGTCCTCGTGATGCAGCAGACCCCTCAGCTCTCACAGCCCAAAGTCTCCTCTGCCGAATTGCGAATCCGAGCTGAATTCAAGGCCAAAGTCCGCGAAGCAGCCGAATTCGACGCCAAGTTTGCGTCTATCAAACCTGCTGTCACAAAGGCAGCCAAATTCGACTCCCTAGTGCGCAAACTTCAAGCTAAAGAGCTTCTGGGCATTCCGTCAACGAGCGCCCGCGATGTGCACATTTTTGTTGACATGTCGAACATGTTCATCGGCTTCCAGGATGTCTCCAAGATTGTTCGGGGCTACCAGCGCTCGGCTCGCGTCAAGTTCGTGCCTTTCTCCTTTGAGCACTTGGCCTATATCCTGGAAAGAGGACGGAACATACGAGCACGCAAACTTGCCGGATCGATTCGGTTTCTGAGCCAGATCAACAACCTTCCGACTCATTTCACGGAGGCAAAAGCTTACGGATATGACATCAACGTTCTCCACCAGGTCGAGAAGCTTGACGCAAGTCCGAGTGGAAGGTTGATGGCCAGAGGTGGACCGAATTATCAAAGTGCCTCTGGCACCAGCGGCGATGAGGGCAACTCCAGCAGTGGCTCACCTCGTACAAAGCTTGGTGAGCAAGGCGTGGACGAGAACCTGCACTTGTCCATGCTCGAAACCATTCTGGATGCAGAACCTGGAATCATGGTTCTTGCAACCGGTGATGCTAAGCCCGCTGAATTCTCCCGGGGCTTTGCTCATTACGCCACGAAGGCTCTTAAGCTCGGCTGGCATCTTGAGATCGTCTCGTGGCGGCAGTGCTTGTCGAGCGAGTGGGAGAAGGTTAGCAACAAGTTTGCCAGCCAAGTCCGAACTATCATTCTCGATGACTTCTTCGACGAGATCCTAGCAGATTGGGCTGAGTAGCGCTCCATGACGGCGGGGTCTACGAAGCATAGGCCTGCAATGAAACCCGTCGCCGGTAATATGGTTGCGGGTGTCTTGCTATGCAGATCTGCTTCTAGCTTTCTTGTCTTGGCGCCGATGGCAGCATACCTTGGGGTTATGTTCCATTCACGGATGCGTAGACCAAGCGGTCGTCGCTGAGGGATAACTTGACACCAGTCTTCGGTCTCGGGGACGTCTTTCATACACTCTGACGTACCCTGTTTTTTTCTTTCGATTCATGAACGACATCACGACTACGAAGTAATGGACGACCTGTCGGTACCGAGCATCTGGAATCCGGTTCCGGCTGTCTGTTTCGCATGCAACAGGGTTTTCTTTTCATGGTTCGGATTCATGGTCATTCTTATACAGCATCACATATTACGGTCGTATCGTTCTCAAACTCGGAAATTTGCGTCAGACGATACCCACACGAGCATTGTGAGGCGTTTAGCATTTGCATTTCCATATGGTAGGGGGTTTGGACGCCATCTACATGGCATCAAGGACTTTTAGTCGCTAGACTTGATGGTTACCGATCTCCGAGGCTGATGGACGGACGCAATTGGTGGAATTAAGGAACATGCATAACGAACGTGGGATATTTGCTACCTTTTCATACTTTTCTGTTCATCTCCCTCTCCCGTTTTCCCGCCCGTTGGGCGTCACATAGGGCTTTCCCCTGCGCTTGGAGTCTAGCAGCGCTCGTGGTGGCTGCTGATTGGGCATGGGCTTCATCAGTACATTGAGAGATATGGTCGCCCGGCTACTACTTGAGCTGGGAGACCTAGATAAGCCATACCGTACATAGCATACATGTATATGAGCAATGGTTATACTGAGACGGGTTCTCGGAGACATGATACGGTCCATGGCTCCAGTGGAGTGATCTGGTTGTGGAAAACGTGACTATTCGTAAGCTGTAAGGCGACGCCATAGAGACGGGACAAGTCTAGTCAGTAGAGACTCCTGAGTATGCACAACCTATACGCAGTGTTCACAACTAGATTGCGGCCAGCGGGCCTCTTTGTCGTCGAGACGAGGATCGTTAGCGCGTCTGCTTGGGTGTTTCTAATAGGCGAGACTGAAGTTGATGCCGTTCGCGTACGGACTCCCGTCTGTAAACGCGGACGGGCTATGTGAAAGTGAAGCGAGTAAATGACGGCGCTTGTATTAGTTGGACAACGGTATTGATTAATTATTTGGTGGAGAAGTGCAACACCGATTTATCGCGGTGAGAAGATGTGGTGCACTTTCTACTACGCCAACTTGGGAATGTGCAGTATAACCAGAGTCTGGCCCAGACTCCAGACAAGATCCAGTCGCAGTGCTTAGCCTGGACGGCCTCGAACCCTTCTTCTCCAGGACTTGCAAAACTAGTCCAAGCTTTCCGCCGGTTAGTTCCTTGGCGGCGGCGCGAAGCGGATAGTTTCGTCTGAACTTGTCGGAGCGAAGGACAGCTGTGGAGCCGCGTCGCATACCGAGAGGCAGGGGGAAGCATCTTGGCATCTGTCAATCTGTCTACGGTAGCAACCATGCCTGTGCTCACAGGTCCTGGAGTCCCGGTGGAATGGATGGTGTCCAGGACGGTCGATGGCCGAGTACCTCGTGAATCAGCGGGAAGTGGTCAGAGAGCTGGATCCTGCAGGCTGGAGTTATAATTAGCGGCAGGCCGATGTCAACCCCCTACCAATTGGGCTGACGGTGCCCGGCTCACTGCAGCTCGCCAAAGCAAAGCTGAACAGACGAGACTGCGGCCATTCCCAGACGGGATAGGAGGGAGATAGGATGGGGATACGACCGGGGGCAGGAGAAAGGAGGCATGTGGGAATCGCGAGAGGGCGTGAGCAGTCGTCATGTTTCTTACTGATGCGCAAACCTCCCCTCCATCCCCCATCAATCCCTCAGAACTCAGAATCCTCGGCCCTGGGTGTTTATTATTTTACTTCTTCGCCGTCTCTCCTTACGTCTCTTATGTAGGACCACGTTTTGCTGTCTTGTACCACCGGTGTCCAAGACGCTCTGCTCCATACAGATATTTTTTAATTGATATAACCGATTGAACCCCTATCTGCGCCGCAAATGAGCTGACGGTCAGCCGCGGACGGTCAATCCAGTCAGCCATTCGATACTGCCTTTCCACACGTAGAAACGGCACGCTGTGAAAGAAAGCCAGCAGCGCCCAACTCTTCCACCACTGTCGCCAGCCAGCGTCACTTCCCCATGGGCACGATGAACCTCAACATGGGCGCCGTGCGCAACCCGCCGCGCCACGTTACATTCGGCGCCGTTGCCTTCTTCATCATCGTCCTCTTCGTCGTCTTCACCCCGCGGACGCCACACCTCGACGTGTCCCGGCTGCAGTCTTCAACGGGTTCCGCTGCACCACCCGCCGCCGCCGCCGCCCCCCTTGCCGGCGGCAAGACCTCGTCCAAGACGTCGTCGTCTGGCTCGGGGTCGGCCCCCGCCGCCTACAAGAGCAACGCCGAGAAGCTCTACGGCAACGACTACCACGGCCACTCGTCGCCGTCCGACATCAACCGCGTCACCAACGACACGCTCGGCTTCTCCAAGATCTTCGTCGTCGGCCTGCCCGAGCGCAGCGACAAGCGCGACGCCATCGCCCTCACCAGCTCCCTGACCGGCTTCCACGTCGACTGGGTCGATGGCGTCAAGGGCGAGTCCATCCCCGACAAGGCCGTGCCCTTCGGCACCGACCGCAAGAAGTTGTGGGAGAGCAACCTGGGGAGCTGGAGGGGACACATGAATGCCATCCGCAGGTACGTCCTTACAGTAGTTTGAGTTTGCGCTGTTCGCGAGTCTCTCTGCCTATTACGAGACATTGTCTCAGATGCTTTCTCTGGGGTAATGCCCGGTGGAGGCCGATCAAACACGGGTTGCAGCCAGGCTGGGCATGTATCAGGAAAAGGCAAACAAGACAGTTTGGCTAACGAGAACGTGTACAGGATTGTTGAGGACGATCTCGAGTCTGCCCTCATTATGGAGGACGACATGGACTGGGATGTACGCTTGAAGCCGCAGCTGGAGCGAGTAGCCCAGGGCGCCCGTGCTCTCCTAGGTTCCAAATCCAACCCGGCGTCCCCCTATGGCGACGACTGGGACATCCTCTGGCTGGGCCACTGCGGCGAGGTCTTTCCCGAGCTGTTGGACGAGAACAAGGGCAAGCCCGCGGACGACAAGGGCATCAAGTACATGCAGCGCAAGTTCGTCATCGAGAAGGACGCCACGGTCCCGCCGCTGGACAAGGTCACCGGCCTCATCGACTTCAAGGCCAGCCCGGAACACACCCGCTGGGTGCACATCACCGGCGCCCCCATCTGCACGTTTGCCTATGCCCTGTCCCAGAAGGGCGCCCGCAAGGTCCTGTTCGACCTTTCCGTGGACCACCTCAACGGTCCCTTCGACAACTCCCTGGCCTGGCTCTGCAGGCGCGCCGTCTCGTCTGTTGGCGCGCCAGAGGAGAAGGCCGGAGACCGCGGTCTGGATACGAAGTGCCTCAGCGTGACGCCTCCGATCTTCTTCCACCACAAGGCCAAGGGTATGATGAGCGGGGACAGCGATATCCAGACGGTGGCCGACGGTGCTGTTCGCGAAAAGGGTGTCACGGAGAATATCGTCTGGAGTGCGAGAAACAACATTCGGAACATGATCATGGGGACGAGGATGGAGAGCCAGTACGAGGACATTTCGAGTTCAAAGTCATCCTGAACACAGCATGGTTTGTGGTGACTGAATTCTTTGGCCTCCTCCATCTCGGTGGGAAATTGACCGAGAGATCCCGGGACGTGGTGCAGGTGGATATCTGCCATGGAATCCCTCATCTCCTTTGTTTTGAGGCCTGCGCCAACCTCGACGTGAAGGGTCACAACAAATCGAACCCCCCAAGTCTCGGTTTCGACGAATCCCGCGCGGTCTCTTGTCATGATACTTCAATGTCAGACAGGAGCGGTACATCAAGCAACCGACGCGAGGGACGGCGTTATGAGTTGTCGGCCAGTTTCAAGCCTGGTCATTGTGCGAACAGCGGGAAACGATTGGGGCTTAGAGTAAGAGACTTGGTTACAATGATATCGACATCAAGTGTTACGGTTGAATTGGCGTTGGCCTGTTTTTTAATACGGGGGTATTGTAGATTAGATCGCACGGCGAGAGCCATAAGGCAGCCCAGGTGCAGGGCAGTGTACCAAGGTTTCAACGGGAGGGCAACGGTGGCTCAGCCACCAAGCACAGGCAGGAATAGACGAGAATACCAATCCTGTTCCCTGATTTTTCATACAACCAAAAACAGTGTCCGTGCAATGGCGCGTGCAACCCAACCTGCAATCCCACAGTGGTTCTATCTAAAACCGAAAAGCCAACATGTGTATCGGCTTGATTCTCTGGTTCGTGTAAGTGACTACCTACGGGTCGCGACTGGACATCCTGGCCCCCACACGAAGACAATGGTCTATAAACCACAAAGCAACGAGTGGCTTGAGCTGTTCTAAGCATGTTTCCATGGTTGTCGTCTAGTTATCCCGCTGCATCCTTCTTGACTTTGGGAGGCGGATTTAAGCCATGATGCCAACCTTCGGGTTCCTGGCTTGCAATCAGCGTGGGCAATGGATGGATGCACTTGCTCACGGAATCGCACGTCTCTGTTCCATTCCCTTTCCAGGCCCCGATCCAGCTGTTAAGATGGCAGCAAACTCAGCGAGGCTCATGTGTTCAGGATGGAAGATGTGACGGCAATGATGCACAATCATCACGAGCATAGCCAAGTCCAGTGGTAGCGAAAGACGCACGGAACAGAATACAAGGTGGCATTTATGACAAAGAATAGAAATCCTAGCTCTCAAATCTGTCCGGTCCGGGGATCATGGTCCCACCCGGAATGCCTCAACCGTTGGCATCATCTTCTCGTATCATCATGGTCCGGAAACAATTCTTCCCGGGTACTACTCCCTGATACCCGTCTCGCCCTACTCCCCTCAACCCAAACCAATCCTTTTAGCCTTCGGACGTGGGGAGATAGAGACTTCACCAGTACTGAGAGTACTACTGATCACATGATGAGTATCGGCCCCCAATGCCCCAGAACTGCTCTGCATAAAAGGTGCCGGCAGCCGCTTGCTTCCAGGGGTCGTTGAAGGCGGTGAAGAGAATGAGGTCGCCCGGGTTGCTGGAGTATGCGCTCTTGATCGACGAGATAGCGGCAGCTTGCGTGTCCATGCCAGGCACAGCCGCACCGTTTGCATTGCCCTTCCAAGGCCAGCCAGTCTCGGTGACGACGATGCGCTTGTTTGGGTCTGAAAGCTTGGCACGGAGGCGCTCGACGGCGCCAACGACGAAAGAGCCAGCCTGATCGGCACCAGTGTTGGGGTCAAAGAAAGGATGGACGTTGACGGCGCAGTAGTCAGACTGGTTGCACAGCTCGGGGTTATTCGTCGCCGCGTTGAACGTGTCAACAGTCACCACCGGTCCTTGATAGCCCGCGGCCCGCAGGGCGGAGCGGGCCTGGGATATAGCACCCAGGACACGGTCGACGGTGGCGCCACCGTTGTTCACAAGCTCGTTGCCAACACTGACAGTATCAACAACGCTCCAGTCATTGTTGACGCCGGCAGCCATGGCGGAAACGGCCTGGGAAACCGAGCTGAGGTCGAAGATGCCGAGGAAGAGCTTGTTGCCATACTTCTTGGCAGCAGCATAAGCGAATGCAACTTGGTCGCAGTCAACACCGTAGAGGCGAACAACCCCAGTGTCCTTGGCGAAGACGGCGAAATCGGTATCAACCTCGGCAGATGTTTTGCAGCCGCCGCTTCCCTTGTACGGAGAGTAGGTAACACCGTGAAGGCTACCTCCTCCGCCGGTCGACGGTACCGGGGCAGCAGCAGCGGTTGAGCTAGGTTTAGCTTGGGCATACGTCGAAACAGGGGCCTGGGATGGGCTGTTAGGGGACGCCGCGTAGACGGTTGGAGCCTGCAGAGCGTCAGGCGAGACGGGCGCCTGGGTCGGCGGAAGGGCGGCCTGGTTCGTGGATGTCGACGATGATGAAGTCGACAGGGGAACATAGGCAACCGTCTCAGTAGCGGTGCTGACCGGGTTGCCAAACTGGTCGACGTAAACGATAACCTCGGGTAACTCAGTCGGGGCGGCCAAGGCGGGATCCGTAACTGTCACCTTGTCCCGCTTGGGGATAAAGGCGCGGCGGTGAGCATGACGCTGATGGACATGTCGCTGTCCTCTGTGGTCTGTAACCTGTGTCAGCACATGGTCGTGCGCAGAATCATGCACACAAGACGCGACTTACTGGGCTGCGCAGCTGACAGCTGCAGCAGCGAGAAGACGGCGAGGAAAATGGTGGCGATCTCCATGGCTGTAAGAATACTTTGTAACTCTCCCCTTTCTCTGGTCCCAAGGAATGGCAGGCCCCCTTCTAGTTAACGAATGACGAGGCGGGCTGGACTGCAGGGGCAAGGAGTCAGTCAACCAGCCAGCGGAACAAGCAGAAAGTAGTACTAGGATAAGGAGGGACGGGAAGAACAAAAGCGTCGCATGAAAGCGGCAAAAAAGCAACCAAGGACGTCAATCAACTGTCCATCAGCGGCAGCGACAGGAGGCTCAAAAAGGGGGACACCAAAGGAGGGACAAGAAACAGGGAGGAGGTTGGGGGGGGTGTAGGCTTTGTGTAGATAGATGAATGAAGTCCAGGTGAATGGGGGCGGCTGCCGGCCAAGCGACGACGAGAATGCCACGCGCCACTTGAAAGGAAAGCCCAACGCCCAAAATGGCCGTGGCACTTGCTCTACGGCTCCTCGGCGACATAAACACCCTCCATGGAACGTGGCTCCGTCGGAAGTTCCAAGTTTGAAGCGTAATGTGTGGAAATTAGAGAGTGATGTCTGAGACACAAAAAAACCAGACGACACGATCGGCGGGGAGGGCATCCAGGGCGGGCAAGAAAGATTGACTCACCAACTATTTATGCCTGGCTTGCCTTGGTAAAGAGAACCGAGCGACCACCGCCGGAGAGAGTGTGCAAATTCGCGCAGTGCGTTGGCCTCGTGTGTCGCCGACGTGGTGGCGGCGATGGTGGTGATGTACAAGGGAGTGTGGGATTCTCTGCGCAAGTCTGGGCGGCGCGTCGAACTGTGTCTTCGCGGTCTGTTTTCTTCCCCGCGGGAGGAAAAAAAGACGGTAAGGAGCGTCAAGAATGAACGTGAGGTCACAAAAGGTGAGGGTGCAAAGTCATGTCTTATGAGACCAGATTCCTTGCGGTCGTGGTTTTTGTGAGCCGACAGGCGAGTGAGTGAGTGGGTGGATCGATGTAAAGGATCCGGTGGCCGAGGGTGAAGCCACCGCCGTTGTTTCTTGGCCCGGTTGGATGAGCGAACAACTGACATGACGTCGCGAGGCATGAGTCGTCTGTTCTGGATGCAAGGTACCGCCAAGTTCACCTTTCTTTTGGGAGACCCCTTTGCCTAACCAAGATGCGAGTCAGCTGAATCAGCCACAACATGTGCATGCGGGAAATGATGAATATGCAGCCCAACGGCGAGGTTCCTGCCAGCATCCCTCAGGATGGGAGATGCTAAGTATGCCTTGCCACAATGCACCACCTCGAATTCCGCTTTTGGCCAACTTGGATGTTGCCATCGTCCCTCCCTTGCCCGAGAGGTTCGGGTTTGTGCCGACGACACCATGCCAGATGCCACAGCAACATCATGCCGGCGGAAATCCTCACGAATTGGCGGCGTTGTCAGCCGGCACATGGAACAAACGAGTGACCGTCTCTGGCCCTTAGGCCAGCGATCCAAGTAGAACACTTCCACCCATCACCCGTCCGCCCATCCACAGCACAGAAAGAAAAATGGAATGGAATCAAAGAAAGACCCCGGGGTCCTGGTGAATGTCGTATCAATTAGAGATTATGTATCTGTTCTATGTCCTGTGTAACCGCGATCGGGTTCCTGTATCATGATGAGTAGGAGGAGTAATGCTAGTGGTAGTCGACCTGCAGTCCTAATCCTACAACTGCACACTCCCTACTTGTGACGGGAGTCATCCAGAGTCGTATACACATATATATACACGCACCACACACAGTCAAGCCGTTATCCGTACGTCGTTGGTTTCTATGCCACAAGTGACGATTGCCTGTTGGTCTTGCGTGTCATAACCTTGGTGATGGCGTGGCGGATCGTGACACCCGCCTTCTCGATCTCCTTCTTGGAGAGGCCTGATGTCACGCAGACCTTCAGCGCCGGCCGGATCGCCCATGTCTCGTCCTTGGGCGTGCCAATGTTCCTCACGGACGGCAGGCTCTTCAGCCTCGTGATGAGGACGCCGTTGCTCAATGTCTGTCCTCATGTTAGCGTCACAAGTTCAGTCTCATTTGCTAGGTTGCCCAAAGCAGGTTCGACTCGACTCACCTCATCAACACACTCCTGCAGAATCCGTTCCTGGTCCTCATATGTAAGCCCCCGCGTCCGGATCACATCCGGCTTGAGGTTGAGGAGCAAAATCGGGTTCTCGGCCGAACTGGTACAGTTGACCCAGTCGCTTCTTGGATCCAGTTGGGCCTTTATCGTCTTGATGTTCTCGCGGCACTGAGACAAGATCTCAGGATTGGACTGAAGAACGTTCAGCGTCTCGCTGGCTGTCACGGCGAGCATGGCTGGCAGAGCGGCAGAGAAGGTATACGAGGCTGCCGTGATGCGCTGGTGCTCCACGGCGTCACGGTTTCCGGCGCAGAAGCCGCCACCCGCACACAGAGGACCAGCGAGTGAACCAACAATCATGTCGATCTGTGAAGAATCCACGTTTTGGGCTTCGGTCAGGCCACGTCCAGTACGGCCCAGGACTCCGAAGGACAGCGTCTCGTCCAGGATGATACGGAACTTGTACTTCTCCTTCAACTCAACCTAGAATGGGATGTATGAGTATGCGGACAAAGTCGACTCGGCGACAGAAAGACGTAAGGAAAAGAAAAGAGGATAGAAAAAGGACAAAGAGAACGTGAGGCGACTCACCAGCTTGGGCAGATCCGCAGAGTCGCCCACCAGCTCAAACAGACCTTCCGTGACGATGAAGCGTCTGGTCAGCTTCTTCTTGGCCTGATCGCGAACGACCTGCTTCATTACCCTTTCGAGGTCCTCCATGTCGTTGTGGTTGAACCACTTGATCTGACTGCGCGAGATGTCAAGGCCCTTGCGGATCGAGTAGTTGACCTGCTTGTCGGCAATGATGACATCGCCACGCTTGCAGAACGAGGGGATCACACTGGAGATGGTGGAGAAGGCCTGGGCGTAGACAATGCAGCCCTCGGTGCCCAGGTAGGCGGCAATATCGGCCTCGGTCTTCATGTGAACATCCTGGGTGCCGTAGAACTGGGGGGGCCCGCAGGGTCCGACTCCGTAGGTTCGCAGGGTCTGGATCGCCTTCTCCTTGATCTGCTCATTGGCATTGAAGTTGTAGAAGTTGTAGGAGGCGAGGTTGGTCACGGTCTTGCCGTTGGCGAGTTTGGATTTGGGGCCTGTCGGGCTATTGGTCAAGTCAGTCAGAGGGGCACGTTCCTCGGTTCTCCTTGGGTCCTGGGCAGCACAAGGTGTTGATCTGGTGTCGATCGTCTTTTTCTTTTTTTTCCTCTTCTCCTTCTTGTTCTTCTCTTGGTACGTACCCAACGATGACGGGGAGCTTCTCGGCCTCGGCCTCCTCGAAGGGCGTCTGCCCTGCGACTAGGGGCTCGGGCTCCCAGTCTTGGACCAGCTCGTCAATTTCTTCCTCCTTGAGCTTGACGTAGTTGGGCCCATGGGTCGGGTAGGCGGGGGCCAGCAGGTAGCGGATGAAGAATATGACCAGCACGAGTTCGATGGCGGAGCGGATGGGGTCGTTCTGGTAGCTGGACTGGATGTAGCGGATCAGGACGGCGCTGCCGGGGACCTTCTGGAAGGCCTCGGAGATGTCGTGCAAGGAGGCCGCGAGGCGAGTCTGGGCTTCGTGCAGGTCCATGGTGGCAGCATGCGGTTCTCCGGAATCCCGCTCGGTTTAGACGAGGAAGAAGAAGTTGGTAGAGTGGCAGATATGGGGGGATATGGGGGAACGGCGGCGGCTCACTCGGAGGCCCCGGTGGAGCAGTACGGCGGAGATGGTTGTTGCCGTCGTGCGCCTTTGCCTGCTCGTGCTTCTGGGCGCCGGATGGTGTGGCGGATGGTCGTAGTGGTTGTGGTAACTCTTGCTCGGTTCGGATCGCGGTCTGTCTGCGTTGGACGTCCAGCCTCTACGCTGCCCTCGTTGCGACGCGACCGCCAGTGGAAGGCGTTGGCGTCAGGGGTAACTAAGGTAAAAGTTCTAGGTACCTAAGTTACAGTGCTTGTGGGGAACAGATCCGCACTTTTTCTGACACTAGTGCTAAGGGGGCCTACCGGGCCTACCGGGCCTGCCTAGGTACTGCGTAAAGGCCCCGTCGGCCGCTGAACACCGAGCCCAAACGCTGGAGGATTTGTGCTGGCGGCCAAGGTCATCCCCTAATCACGGGAGTGAGTGACATTTGGATGGTAGCCAGGGAACATGGATCCAATTTGGGATGGGTCTCCCTGATCTTCTAAGAATCATGGAGGCCTCTTGTTCCTACGCAAACTTCCCTGCTCGGGTATTCTCTATGCTAGGGTATGTACGTAGTATGCTGTAGTTAATGCAGGCTCTGCACATCATTCTTGATCATTCAAATTGTGTTTTATTCATTCATGTAATGGTGGCTCCTGTCCTCCAGTCCGATTTCTGACATCCGCTGCCGAACCAAACCATGCCCCAAACTTGACGTAAATTACCGACCGCCATCAACGACGCATGGACTTTTTGTGCGTTTATTTATAGAACACCTTTCGTTATCATTTGACAGTGATCAAGACCAGACTTGACGGAAATTGACAATGCCTTGAGCTCTAAAACGGAATAGTAATAGGAAAAGAAACAAAAACGGCTTTGTATAGAAATGCCAGTACCGGAAGAAATACACTGCACTGCACGTTACGGCCACCCCAAAACCAACGGGTCGCAACTAATCCCATTTGCACGTGCTCTCTATAGTACATCTCGTGGAATAGGCATTCTACAGGAACTTCAGCTTGGTGGACGACGCCTTGGCCGCCTTGGTGGTCGTGGCGACGCCCGAGTACGACGGGTTGCCCGTTCCAGTCTGCGTCTCGTTGCGGGTGTTGTCATTGTCCTGGCCCGTAGGCTGCAGCAGGTTCATGGGGACCAAGTTGGTCAACGACTTCGGGATGTTCTTGCCAGCCACGATGGGACCCGCAATCAGAGCCACAAACAGGACTACCATGGCAAAGTAGAGGATGGCAAAACGGATCACCCTTCTTCTGCGAAGCTTGGACTGCTTCAGAGAGTAGATGGGCGGGCGGATTTGTCGGCTGTACGCTTCTATTAGTGCTTGAGACAAAGAGCAGGGGGGAGGTGGGCCTCGACATACCTAGGACGCAGCCAGAAGAGCATCATGGAGTGGAGCTTGTCGATCTGGGGGATCAGGATGACGGGAAGCATCAGGAAGAGGAGAATGTGGCCAAGGGCAAAGTCGGCGGCGAACAAGCTCAGCTCGGTGATCTTGCAGAGGAATTCACGCGCAGGCTGGGAAATCGAGTGCCAACCCATAGAATACCACTTGCCCGTCCAGAACGCGATGTTGGATTGATCCGTCTTGAACTCACGCGTGAGTGCCAGAGAGATGATCACCTTGAGAATGAATCGCTGTGCGGCCATGACCGCGATCATACCGAGGAGGGTCTTGGTGAAGTCGAAACCTTCAAGGAAGAACATGACCTCGAAGAACACGATCAACATGATGACGGCAATGGCGTGGGCGATCGCCGCCAGCACACTTCCGAACTTCTTGCAGCACATGCTCAGGAGAGGGCCCATACAGCAGGCCATGCCGAACATTGCACCCAGGGTTCCAGCGTTGATAGCAATGGGCGCGAACGCAACAATACCGACACGGATCAGGGCATTGGTCGCCTTGGCCTTCTCAACGCCAGTCTGCGCGTTGATGAACAGGTACGGAATCAGCGTTGCGGCAACGTATATCAGAGGGGCAATAACCTCTCCGAAGAATACGTTGGTGAATGCTGCACGGGGAACATCGGCCGAGAGCTTGCCCGAGGGGTCGCCGAGAGCCTTGCGCTTGTAACCCGTGATTCTCGTACGAGAGAGGCGAGAGAAAGCGATCCATGACGATGCGTGTGATCGAGAGTTGCCGCGAGACAACCAGCGCAGGAAGTCGCGGTAGTCGATGAAGAAGTCGTTCCACGAGAACTGGTGGGGGTTGTACAAGAAGGGCGAGACAAGCAGGGCAGGAACAGTAATGTAGAAGTAGGTCAAGGCCGACTGCCAGATGGTCAGGGTCGCGAACAGCAGCATCATGAAGCATCGAGCGCCAAAGTAGATCGAAGGACCGGCGAATCGCGAATACAAGACACCGAAAGGAATGCGCGCAGTCGCGAAACCACGTCCTGTACCAATGTAACGGGCACCACCGAAGGAAAGATCCTCCTGCACCGAGTTGGCGTAAATCTGACAAACAAAGACCTCGAAGAAGGGCGACAAGGAGCAGAACTGCTTCGCCAGACGAGTTGCCATACGTAGCACACCACGTTCCGTGAGCTCTTGAACGCAGAGAGGAATGTAGGACAAGAAGAACACGAAAAGAATCGAGATGACACTGCGGTAAACCCAGTCCATCAGGGCGTCGGTGTTCGAGCAACCAGTAGGGAACAGAGGGTCGGTAATGGGTACGTTTCGGTTGTAGTTGCAGGCAATCGTCTGGTCTCGCAAGACACCGAAGCTGAGCAGGGTGATGAGGAAGACCTGGACAGACAGCATGATGAACATGTTGTTCAAGTGGAAACCGGGATGGGCGTAGTAGAACGACAGGAATCGGTCGAGGGGTAGCTGGGTACCGAGGTAGTAGTATTCACGAGACAGCATTTGCTCGCCCATACCAGTTCCGATCTTGGTGGTGAAGTTCAGAATGGAGCCGAAACCCAAGTCACGACCCTTGCCACACTGGTAGTACTCGCAGTGCTTGATACGTCCACCACGCAGTATCGCGTTCATACCAGCGTAGATATCCTCGTTAAGATGCAGACCTTTCTGGGCCTTGGAGACACCGCCACGAGTAGTCATGAAAATACCGTTCAAGAAATCAGGGTGACCATAGTGGAGCTTGCCACCAATCTGGGCCAGTGTTCTGGCGAAGAGAGTACCAAATGTCTGTTCCTTTCCAGCAGCAATGTCACCAAGGATACCAATGTTCTCGGAGAAAATGTACTCGCGGGCACCCAAAATGGCAACGGGGGCTTGCGACTCATTCTTGACACCCGGAGTGTATGGAGAGACGTTGTCGGTCTTCATTTCCTCGAACTCGGCAAGAACCGAGCGGATCTTGAGACACTCCTCGAGATAGTTGTCCTGGTTGGCATCAATGAGCTGGATATACTCTCCACGGTAGAAGATGATGGCGTGGTTCTGGTTATCGGATTTGCCGTCACCAAGAACGGGGTTACCAGAGAGCTGAATTCTGAACTTGGGTCGACGCATGCCGTTCTCCATGATCTCAGAGTGACCATCAACCAGAGCAGAGTAAATGCGAGGCTCGTCGCCCTCGACGACCGGAGGCTCCTCATCCAGGTAAGCAATTTGAAGGTCGGGGTAGGCACGGAGTAAGAACTCTGCATTCTCCATTTCCTCCTTCTTGAACTTGGCATATCGCTGCATGGAAACGACAAGCTTGAACTTGCGGCGGGCCATTCTCTCGAGCTCACGCTCGAGCTTGTCGGAGTTACCACCGAACATCTGGACAACCTCGGGGTTCTCAACGCGGTATAGCAGCTTGATGGCACGGCTGTAGTTCATGAAACCAGAGACAGTACGGTACAGAGTCTGGGATCGCAGGGAAGCCCAGATACGAGTGCGAAGAGTGTACTCGGGGGCCGAAGACTTGAAACCAATGCAGTAGAACGGCAGGTCGTCGATCTTACTCTTCGCAGTATCCTTCTCGGTCTTCTCCTCGTCACCATTGAATTGTGACGTCTCATCGGCCAAGATCTTGGTATCCTTAACGAAGCAATCCCACTCGTGAGGGTGGAGTTGCTTGAGGTACTCCAGCATAGTAACACGCGAGTAGGGCTCATCCTCACGAATGATCTCCCTGAGAGACAAGAGAATCTTTTCGCTGTAGTGGGGGATCAAGACGGTGAAAGTCGGCATGTTGTCGACCGGGAGAGGCTCGGGAATAGGTGTCGAGAGTGATTGAGCGAAGAAAGAAATACGACGCTCAGCTTCGCTTTGGCTTGGGAAGAACTCAGTCTTGAATGAGTGATCTTCCTGGGAAACGAAGAAGGTCGGTGCTCTAAGAGTTCGCTTGCCTTCTTGCTCCGAAGGGACCTGGTGGTACAAAAGCTTCTGGACGTGGTCGATAGCAAGAAGATGCTCGCGATACATGGAGATCACAATGGCGTTCCAGATCTGAGAGATCAACACCTTTGGCTTGTACTTGATCTCCATGTCCGTCGTTGCCAAGATCTTGGAGTAGATACGCTTTGGCAGACGAGAGAAGATGTTTCGCCAGGGTGTCCAGATAGACGAACCAAGGTAGAAGGACCGCGCGATGGAGCAGACAGTGTTGAGGATAACGTACCAAAGGTAGGTATCCAAGAAGAAGAAGATCAAATCCGTGAAAATCATCAGGATGAGGGTAACAGTCGGCTGCTTCTTGCACAGAATACTGCCCAAAATCGCGTCACCCACGCAGCTGTCCACGTTCATGATCGATAGGTATCGAATCGGGTCACGAACCGACAATGTCAGGTAGACGTAGGATTCTCCAAACTTGGCACCAAAGACGGTGGCCCATAGACCATAGGACATGGCAATATCGTTACCATGAAGACGTGGCCAGCTAGCAGTAAAGGTCTGACTGGCGACATACTGGCGGGAGTTTTTCTTGGCCAGGTAGCTGCCGAACAAGCCACCCAAGGGCATGACGGAGAAGAAGATGAAGGTCACCAGAGCGATGAAGAACTGGACAATACCCAGAATCAACCCAACCTGTGTATCCTGGGCACCCTTAACGCCAAATACGTAGACGCTGGGACCGATGTTGATGATGAAGATGGCGATGAGGAACAACAGACGCTTAGTGAGATGTTGCGCTCCCGCCCATTTTCGGGGGACATAAGCCCACTCAGCAAGCGTGGCCAGGACCTGGATCAGAGCAGCAATGGCGCCACCGGCGCCGACGATGGACCACTGAGCAGAGGCTGGCGGTTGATTGTTAACCTGCTGCTCGTATTTGCTGCCCAAGAGGAGAGAAGGTGCGTTGTGAGACGTGTAGAACCAGAACATGGTCAAGTGGATAACCCAGATGCGGTTGAAATTAACAAGCATGTGGAACCACGATCGCGTCTCCTTGTATGTCTTAAAGAAACACTTCTTCCAGTTGACGTCCTTGAGCTTCAGGTAACGTTCCTGGGGAGGGACATCAACCAGCTTGCTCTTGTCTTCAAGGACGATGCGCTCGATACCCTCGGGGTACCAGAAGAGCTGGTTGCAATCATCGTAACCAATGATCTTGTTGTGGTCCCGCTCGCGACGTACGTAAACTCCGTTGGAGATTTCGTAACCTTGGTCACGACAGTACTGGTAGATCGGGGTAATGACGTTGTTGAGGAAGGTGCCCTCTTCGACTTGCTCCACCATGTTCTGGCAAGCGGGCGAGTTGAGGTAGTCATCGGCGCACTTGAAGATGAAGCAGAGACACTCGGCCATGAAACGCACTTGGTTGGCCTCTCCCCAGCAGAGCAGGTACAAGGCAATCTGGCGAATACGGTCGTGCTGGGACATGCGGTTCATGCGGGTCTTCCAGCGGTACTCGGCAGCCTCCAAGCTGTCGTCACCCTCCAGATCCTCGAGCATCTGGTTCTCGTCGGCGGCGTCCTTGTTCTTCTTGTTCTTCTTGGCCTTCTTGCGGCCCCTGCCCTTCATATTGGCGAAGCCGACGGCGTCATCGAGGTCAAGGTGGGCAGCAAAGTACCATTTTCGGTAGTTGGCATTGTCGCCACCAATATAGTCTGCGTGGAGCGAGAGCAGAGCCTGGTTCGGGGTCATGCGAGAAGCCCTCGAATCCAACAAGGTCATCAGATGATCATACATGTTTCGCATGCTGTCACGCTGGAAACCGAACTTGCCGGTCAAGTCCAGGAAGATGTCTTCGATCTCCTCCTTGGAGAGGGGAATCTGAGCATCCGAGGTCCAGGCCGGATAAGGCTCTCTCGAGCGCTGGCCAGCAGGAAGGACGTTGCCGAAGTCCATGCCGTAGTTGGGCGTCGAGGCACCTGACGAGCGGTTGCCGCCGTACGAGATCTGAGAGGACGGCGGGCGGAAGCCGCGGGCACCATCGCCGTAGCTGTTGTACCGCTCATCGCCACGGCCATAGTAGTCCATCTCAGCAGCGCGTGCCATGTCGGATCTCATGGTGAAGTCGCTGAAGGTCTCGGAGTCGTCCTCGCCCTGGCCCCGGTTTCCCTGGTAGCCCTGGTCGTAGTACTGGCCGTTGCCGCCATGACCACCGTTGTTGTTGTTGTTGTAGTAGTCATCCTGGTACTGATCGTTGTTGTCATAGTAGCCACCGTCCTGTTGGTAGGGATTGTTGGAATCGGCGTTGTAGTAGCCACTGCAGCCAAAAGGTCAGTTCGGCCGGACATTGCCCAACGAAATGGAAACTCGACTCACGATTCATCGTAGTAGCCATCATTGGCAGCGTATCCATCTTGGTCGTAGTACTGCTGGTTGTGCTCGTCTTGGTAGTACGAGTCTGTGTTTGGGTGATCGGGATGACCGTAGCCATCGTCGTAGTGGTCATTGTGACCACCGCCTGGGTAGCCCGCCATACTGAATGGAGATCGGGGCTATGTTTTTTCTCAAATCGGCGGTCGTCTACGAGGCCGAGGTCAGCACGCCCCATTGATGCACGACGCGCTGGCAGTTCGAGGTGTAGAACGCCTGGCCGGTATCCTCCAGAGAAGACGAAAACAGCGGCGACACAGCGTCTTGGGAAAACGAGGAAGGGGGGAAGTAAGAGGGCTGGAGAGAATAACTTACGGCTCAAAGACTCATGACTTGTCCAGATCAATTATTAGAATTAGTTCCGGAATGGCCCTTCGTAAAGCGAGGGACAAAGGTGTGGCCGGCCACAAACAGAAGGAGGCTGTGACGCTGTTGATGCTGGTTTGTTGTTGACCCGAGGGAGGGATCGATTTGGGAAGGGGAATTCCCAGGTCACGGTTGGCGAGGGCGAGGGAGAGGGAGAGGTTGGCACCACAGGAGCGACGGGGTTACGCGGCGCAGTGCTGTCCAGCGTTTAGCGGGCAGTGGGCTGGCCTAGCGATAAGGTACCGTCGGCTGGTCCGGCGTCTCGAAGGGCTTAGCGAGCTGGGAGCCGCGACGAGAGGGAGCGTGAGAAAAAATAGATATGCCAAGGCCCTTGCCTTTCTCAATCAACTAGCAGCAATCACCACTTTTCCGTAGGCAGTATTATCGAAACGATTGACTGGATGTGAATCCGTAAACAAAGAGGGCGGGTCGGGAGCGAGCGGCGTCGTCCTTCTTTTGACTTTGCGGGTTGCGTGGACCTGGAGCGAGAGTGTAACGGCCGACGCGGACGGGGCAGGACAGCACAGGAATGCCGTGCCTCTGCAGCGCGAGTGTCGGTGGTAACGAGAGTCGGTTGCCGCAGCGAGTAAGGGAAGAAGAGGTCTGTCTTCCTCACTTTGATTCAATCCGTAATCCCAGGGCTCACCCGATCCTGCAAAAAAAGAAGAAAGCAGTTCAGGAAGAAAATGGGGAGAGTCCAGAGAAAGAATGAAACAGGCTTAGGGACGGGGGAAAGTCAAGTAAGGTAGGAGGGCTGCAAGCTAGCCACAGCAGAGGGGGGCAAAGGGGAAAGGGGAATTGGGAGTGAGCGAGTGTGAATGGCCATGCATGGATGGGATGGGATGGCCCGGATGGGGATGGGAAAGGAGACACCTCCAATGATCCATCCTCCAGGGCAGCCTGTGAGCCAGCAGCAGCCAAGGAGAGCAGTCCAGTGCTCCCTGTACTGTGCTGTGCTGTACCTCTGTACCTAGGCCCCAAGCGTGAGCGACGGGCGACGGGCGACGGGCGACGCAACGGTCCACGGTGGGCTCTGGCCAATCCAGGACGGGAGGGCGATCGAGATGCGGATGTGGCTGTGCCCCGGTGCGTATGTGTGTGACTTGCGTCCCCCTTGTCCCCCCTTGTCCCCCCTGGACGCCCAAGACACCCTCTGATTCTGATCGAAGCCTGCATGGCCTGCCTGTCAAACAGGAAACAGGGCACACCTGGAGCACTCGCGGAGGCGAATACTCAAAAAGCGGGCAGGGGTGGGACAGGGAGGTTACAACCTCCCATGGCTCGCCTCTCTCCTACACAGTACAAACACCACCAAACCAAAAAGCCCCTTTTCCCTGATGGGCTTGGTGGGGGATCGAGGACGACCAGAACAAGAAGATGAGTCGAGCCAGAGCCCAGGATTCGTTGCCGGCGCCAGGGATCATCTTCTCACGACGCCCGTGGTTGGCTCCGACACCCACGGCCATCCCACCTTGGGGCCAGCCCAAAGTACACCATAACTGCGAATCACCGAATGATACTTGAGCTGTACCTTGGAAGAAAGCAGACAATACCTACCCACATGGTACTGGACACCACTTTACTCTGCTGCCTGCTCTTGGGATGAGGATCGATCAGACAATCCACTGCGGAATTTAGCGGAGATGGGCGCTATCAACAGTGCTTTTCTTGGCTTGTAACTATGCATCGGCTTCAATTCTCTGTACCATATGTTGGTACTTGACTTTTCCACACAGCCCTCTTGCAACCACTACATCTTCGGGTGGTCCCAGCGCTCTAGGCAAACTCTCAGCAAGATTATCAATTGCCTCGGGTTCATTGTCAGGTCATTGTCACATAACAACGTTGTTAACACAGATGTCCAGTCACGGTAAAGTGCGTCTGCATGCTGAGGTTTTCGAGACTCGGAAATTTAAACAGACAGCATCATGGCATATTCGTTTACCTGCGCCTCAAAGTGACTGACGTCTCGACGTATGCCGTGTGGGTCCGCCCAGAAGTCGACGTGCGTCGGGTATTCTTCAGGTATCGCGCTGCTGCTGCAGTTTCTGCAGTACCGTCAATCCAAACCTGATGAAAACTTGGCTCCCAGGGCCGTGTGCGCTGGAATACAGGTTTGTTGGAAGTGCACAACAAAGGAACAGAGAATATTGGCTGGATCTCGTTGAAATCGCGCTGCGAGCACACGACCAACATGTCGGCCGTCTGGCAGTGGTAGGCTTTGAATTCCGTCACAGACTCGTTTCTCAACGGTCATCCATCGTGTTGTGTGCTACACTCCACCAAGATGTTCCTCGAATACGATACCGTCCAGCAGTGGTGTACGGCACTTTTTAGTCAAGACCGCTCTGCAAGTCGTATACGATAGGTTGCCAAGAGGTCCATCATCAGTACGAGCCCCAGACAGCGCCACTCCATGCCTCCTGCAGCTGTTGACCTTTCGAGCAGTCGGACACGAATCTTGTTCTCACTGTTCGTTCATGTCGCACCCCCGCGCCCCCAGAGGATACCGAACAGTGTAGTTGGTTTCTGCAAACATGCATGTGGTCATGGTGGCCGGGCGGGGAGCCTTTCATGCGCTGCCCATGCATTCAATCCTCAAAACCTAAAAAATCTCGAGGGCGATGAGTATTGCTTACTATATCCACCTAGCCATGTTTGAAGGAGCGCATGTTCGTTCAGGATAGGACTGAGCCATACTACAAAACATACCTACATACGGGCCTAGCCATTTGCAACCCTCCCATCGAATACGTACAGCCTAACAGCCATACCCACGCCCAGCTTGACCATCTTGCATGAGGATGGATCTCGTCCACCATGGTCGTCAAGATGTACGCGGCGTGTAGCTGCCCTCCGCAGTACGATACTGCGCTACGGTGGAGTCATACGAAAAAGAGGTCACTGTGCTTTTTGTACAGTGCAGAATGAACGTGTCGACTCATAACGGCCCGCTCAATGCAGGTACCGGTGGCCGAATGGCTTCTTCTGGCAGACAAGCGAGCGCGCCATGGCTTGCGCGCATGCTGCCCACACCGATGATGACGACATAGGCAAATTTGGGAACTCGGAGCAATCAATCGTGCGCGGCGGGACTTGCAGGGTGTGGAAATGTGCCCGCCCAACAGGAGTCCAGCCCGAGATTGGACGCTGACGGTGGGCCCCTTTTCTGCCCTCTAGAGCAGCCTGAATCGTGCCGTGGATACAATCTTGGATGACGCGGCGTTAGCGCAGGAGCCCACATAGTATTACGGTGCCATTGTGTATTTTCGGTATATGTATTATATTCCTGCTTGTTAAGCAGTGTGGTCAGACGGGTCAGATCAATCAAAGCTTGACAGGCGGGAGCGCCTTTTTTCATCTGAACGCCAGCAGCGCCAGCAGCGCCAGCAGTACATACCACGCCGCCGCCAGATCCACTGCTGGACAGCGGATAATTAGTTAGCATAAAGTCGACTTGGCACCGAGAGACGGTGCAGTCTTGTTTAGGTCGACAATTGGACGTGATCGGGACCCTAGCTGGAGGGGTGGCTGGCAATAATGCCAAAGAGAGTTCAGACTGAAGGTTCTTTGAGAGTTCAAGACCAGCTTGAGCGAAGAAACCTCGAATCCCCCCACAGCGATGCTGCCACGGCTGCTGCTGCCCCTCCAATCTGACTGATGAGCCAACTTTGAGCAGAGACTAAATTAAATCCGCCAAGAGCCCGCACTCGACGCGAGACGGACAGGGCTTGATGGCCGGTTTGTCCAACACCCGCGACCGCAGGCTGGCGGGCAAGGCATCCGTCATCCATTTGAGCGAGGGGTGGGCCAGTCGTCCTCTAGCCACCTGCAGTGGGTCAGTCCATGTTCGTCCAGGGGCAAGCCAAACCGGTACCGTTTCCATCAGATTTTCATGTGGGCTGCGCCTCAGCCGCATCTTCAGGGCTTCCAGCGCTGAGACACGATCGGGTGCTACTTTGGTGGAGCTTCTTCAATTGCTAAATCCCGAGTCTATCATGCACCTCCAAAGGATAGACAGGGGCGCTCAGTAGAAAGAAGCACGTACAAGCTCAACAAGACAGGCAATGCTGTGCCTCCGCAATAGCTAGTCCGATCTCACACGTGAGGAGCGCTCTTATCAGTGTTTCAACTACAAAGTTCACTTGACGGTGGGGAGCATCTAGCGAAGCAAGGCGACGTGCACACCATGGATTCTGGCCTGTGCATCCCTGAAATCATGAGGGCTTTGCATGACTGGCTCAGACAACAGGACGACAGGCATGCGCCTCAGTAGCCCTGGAGAATTAATTGTCCCATCGTTAGAAGGTCGTCTTGAAACCCATGACCATTGTGGGCTAACATGATCATGTCGGAGCAGCAGGTTTCAATATATGTGGCTATGTCCGTACTTATTCTCTTCTTGACTCTGAGCACGTTCCATATCACTAGTTGCTAGCCGGCGAGGCGTACCTACATCTTGGGTGAGGAGATGTGCATAGTCAGGCTTTCCTAACTTAGTGCTCTCATTCTTATACATGCCTACGTGGCCAGGTCCATGATCAAACGGACCAGCTCCTTCGATTCCGCCTCCTTGAGAAACGGACTGTGCCCGCAAGTAAGCTCGATGACTCGGGCACCCATGGCATTGGCCATGGCCTGCTGACCCAGGGCCGGGATGCACTTGTCATTGGTGCACACAACATAGATCTTGGGAGCCTTGACCTCAGTCGCCGCATACTGCGTTGGAGTTACGAGACTGGCATGGCTCTGGTACATCAAACCCGCGAAATGGCTTTCCCTCTCTTCCTTGGGCATATCATTGTAAAAGACATCCATGGCTTCGGGATTCAGCAAGCGCATCTCTCCCTAGTGACACATAAGCCGTTGCTTCCCTACCAGCCGGTGCTCTAGGATACTCACCTCCTGTCTGTGCCAGCCTGGCCAATTGTCGTTCTCAAGCGTATAGAGGCTCATGCCTCTCTGGGGCACTGCAGCAGCAGCGAAATATAACACAGACCTGACGCCGCCTTCGAGGCCACGTGCCTTTCTCTCTTCCACAGTGTGGCCATGAAGCGCTGCGGTGCCGGGAATGCCACCGTAGCTATGACAGACCATGGTGGCCTCCTCGCCAGCGTCAAGATGGGGCAGCAGGACCTCATGGATCCTTTTCACGTCGTCAGCGTACGTTTTGCCTGCTATGGATCCGTCGCTGCCTACAGTCGCATTGACGGGTGCTAGGACTGTATAGCCGCAAGCTCTCAAGGGATCTATGATGCGGTGGTAGGAAGCAGGGTGGTGCCAAGCACCATGAACGAGACATATGACAGGCATGTCGAGGGAAATGATCTAGGTAAGCAAAATTAGTTGATCAGATCCGTGATGAAGAGCCTGCGATGTCGAGATCGATGGAATCCAGCGCCTTGTGCGAACAGATCATGATTATATATCTATTCTTCCAGCCCAAAGACTACCTCATGTAACAACTCCACTACTATGTTGAACTGGCTAGTCAAAACCATGCCCTCGGAAACTGGAGTGGGTCAAAAGCGACAACTTCTCATTGGTTACGCGCGGATCACTCAGCTGCATGGTAGTGCTTACATCAAGTCGGAGGATATCCGTCCTCGAGTCTCAATACCTGTCCCAAGGGTATATCCTTGGTTGTTTCTTTGCGCCGACCTTGGTCTGGCCAAGTCAATCTGTTCTCAGATGAACAACTCCGGTCATATCCAGTTGGTAAAATCGACGCCGAGCGGAAAGAAGATGTGCGACTTTGTGGGTGCTTTACTAAAGCTTTTGATACCCTGGTGGATATTTCTTTCACCGTAAGGCCCGGCGTAGGGGAGAGGCATACGCAGGATGTGAGACAAAGGGCATATTCTTAGGTAGTGGAATGTACCCAGGGCATCCTTCCTTTAGTATGTGTTCCTTTGAAGACATTATTAGTACTCCCTTCTCTTGAATTAAGACCAAAGACACCGTTTACGAACAATACGCTTGTAAATTAGACATTGCTCTTCATGCGAGAACACCACAGTGCCATTATGCTACTCCTCTACCAAAGTATATAAGAAACCCGTCGAGAATATTGCTGAACCTGTCTGCCACACCACAAGACTCTAGTCGCACCTCCGTTCATCAACTTCGCTCTGCAGTTCGCTCTCCAGGCTTCACTAGACACCAGCCACGAAATAAAACAACACAGAAAATGGCACCAATTTTGCACATAGTCCGACATGCAGAGGCTGAGCACAACGTCGATGCGCGGTATCATCTTGAGGACCCGAAATTGACACGGAGGGGTAAAGCGCAATGCGGTATTCTCTCTTCAGCTGAGAAAGACCTGCAGAAGCGTGTCACTCACTTGGTTGCCTCTCCATCTTCTCGGGCGGTGGAGACATGTGCACTAGCGTTCCCTACTGTGGTTGAACGCGGCAAGAAGATAATATTGCTGGGTGAGCTTGTCGAGGTCGAGCCTTACGACTGCAACGTACCCGCTGACATTGAAACACTCCAGAGAGAATTCGGGGATCTGATGGAATTTAAACATCTGGACGCAGACTATCTCGATAGGAGCGCTTTGAGCAGGTATGCGGCCACGCCCAGCGCATTGGAGCAACGAGCCCGTGTAGCCCGTAGGATACTTTCAGCCCTAGCTCAGAGTCATGGAGAGGACGCAGAGATTGTGGTTGTCAGTCACGGAGGTTTCATACAATGGCTTGTTGAAGACTTTGACACTACGTGGGAGAACGCCGAGTTGGATTCGTTCCGATTTAACGCAGCATCTCCGGCTGGCATTCTCTCTCTGAGCCGGCTCAACCCAGCAGAGCCGAGAAAGCCTGTAGTATGGGATAAATTGGACAGCAAGGGAAGCGAAAAGCAGGACGAGCCCCCAATGATGATGCCCAGAATGCTTGGAGACGCTGACGGTTGTAAGGTTGAAGGTTCAACGACTTGCGGAATGAAGCGCAGGCGGGACGGTGAGCCACAAGATGGTATCTCAGAGCCGGTTTGCAAAAAGCCTCGAAACGAGTTGGACGATCCGCTCAATGACGTTTGGCAAAAGGAGGATGACCGTAGCAAGGGTGAGGATGCCCCAACTACTGGGACGAAGCATAAGCGGAACGATGAGCCAGAAGATGATATCCCAACCCCGACACGCAAAAAGTCTCGGAATGAGTTGGATCTTCCTTCTAGCTACCCTGCCCCCTTGGGTCCTCGTCAGCCGGTGTCAGTGGAAATTGATCCCGGCACAATCAAGTTCCAAAAGCACCGCTTCAGTAAGACCATGTTGTTAAGAGCTCGTCAAATACAGCGCTACATCAAAGACTTCCCCGATGATGATGCCTTTAGCCCATTGGATATTGCTAGAGCTAGGGCAGTACAGCCCCTGGACCCGGGCGACTCGGAATTGGTGGAGGAGACATATCCACCGAATTGGGCAAGGCTCACTCGATCGATACCAGCCTTCCTCAACCTGCATTGGAACCGGTGCTTTAGGTAAGTGGTGGGAGGCAGCAGCCTGGCATAAGCGGCGACGAAATCTAGAGACACACGTAAGTGCAGTCTTCGATCTTGCCTTTTGAGACGTGGCTCTTGGTACTAGGTATCGTGGCAGCCTCGTGATTTCGTGTTATCTGTTTACCTTGACAGCAAGTAGGAAAAAAAATTACCAATTCCTCACTTTTGTTGTGCTCAAGTTTGTTGAAATAGACGTGACCATTCCCAACGGAATCCGCTGCCAGAACCATTCAATAGTATTCCAGCACAGGACGATCCCATGGCTATGAGAGAAGCCAGTCCACGAATAGAGTGCAGTATGGTGTAGTGTAATTCCGGCATGGCTAAGTTATGATTTTCGTTGTAGCATATGTTGCTCATTCTCAAGTTGCAAGACGCCTTCAACGTTGTTGTGCCCTGTTGTGACAGATGCACTGCTGAGGTTCGGACTTGTTCCCTCAACGATGAGACGTTCGATTGCACAATTGATAGGATACTTGCTCCGCCGATTAGGGTGGAGCGTCACGATGCCTCAAGACCGTCCAACAAACCTACTTGGCAATGTATTTCATCAATTGGCCCTTCCAATATGAACACACAATGCCAAATGCGGCTCTGACCATTTGCAGATGTTGACGTTATTTTAACGAAAACTGCACAATAATCATGACTTGACAACGGGACGTCATCGACGACATACAAGGTGGAAATGCTGAATTGCCTAAGGAACTAACTTGACTTGACCGACCAATCTTGGTCATCCAGGCGCCGTTGCCCCGCCAACGGACCCGCAACTCAACAACGTCCGTTTGACTCTCTGTGGAGCAGACTCAGAACCTGAACATGGTGTCTGTCTGGCCTTGCCAACTTTCATGCAAAGCATCTCTAGGCAGAGGATTTGAGCAAGGATGTACGATTCGGAGAGTGACGATGAGTTTCCCAACCTGCAGGTGGTCGCCAGGCGTGCGAGGCAGCAAAAGGCTCCCGAGAAGGCCGACGCCAGTGCGGCCGACAAGGAGAATAAACCGGCCAGGGCATTGAAGCCAAAAGCAGTCGCGACGGGAGCGGCCAGCGTGCCGGCTTCGCTTTCGAGCGGCACGCCACTGAGGCGTCGGAAGTTGGGCTACTCGCAGAACTTGGACGACTCCCTTTTCCAGAAGTGGAACGAAGACACAGAAACACCGAAGCCGAGAGCATCACGTGTTCGGAGCAGGGAAGTCAGGCGAACCACTCTGGGGATCTCACAGGGGCCATCCGACGAAGCCGAAAGTCGTATACTGGAGTCCGACGACGACGAAGATGACGATGTATTTGTGCGAAGGAGACAACCAGCGCGGGCATCCATTCGGAACCCAAGAAAGGTCACTCCAGAGTTACAGCAGAAGACAGAACCTGATATTTCGATAACAGAAGAAGGTGGCGAAACGACGATAGAGGAGACCGTGGAGGTTTCTCATCTCATTGCAGACGACGACAATGGCAAGGACTCCAGTAGTGATGACACATCTGAGTTTGTCACGGCTTTGTCTTTGGACTCAGACTCAGACTCAGACGCAGATTTCGACTCACCTTCAGATTTCGACCCAGTACCGAAGCCACGGAGAGCAAGGGGAAACCCCAAGAGTCAACCGCTAGGCGCCGTGCGTCTTTCTCCGCCGCAGAACTCTACAAAAAAGGAGAAGGATACCACCAAGGCAAAACCTACGCCTGCGCCAAGCTATCGAGCTGCTACGCCGGAACAGATGTTGGACACGCCCCAGACACCCGAAGGCAAATCCAGGAAAGCCGCGCTGAAAGGGGGCAGCCTTGAGGACGCGTTCGACAAGCTGCAGATCTATGCTGAGGAGCTGGATGATTCACCCGATGCCAAACAGAAGCCCCAGCTGGAGCCCATGACTCCCAGGAAAACACTGCAGGCGTCACCATTAAAGGCCCCCAAAATCCCCCCATCGCCCTGGAAGCCTGAACAGAAGGAGTTCTGGGATACCGAAGTCCAGAACGAATGGTTCGACCGGCATTCTCCCCCAAAACGAAGCCCCAGGAAACTGGTCCTGGAGGGACCGGACAAGAAGGAGATGCTGAAGAAGAAGTACGGCACGAGCCCCGAGAAGCGCGATGCCAAGAAGGCGTTTGAGCAGGCCAAGGAGAGCCTCGCACAGGACTTCCTGCGCGAGCTCGACGAAAGCCTCACGTCGGGCGAACTCTCTAAGCTCACAGCGCTCACGGGTGGAGTGCGTATCGTGTGGAGCACCACACTCAAGTCCACGGCCGGCCGCGCGCACTGGAAGTGCAAAGAGGTGACGAAGACGACGCAGCAGGCCGACGGGACCCTGAAGTCGGTCAAGGAGCGTCGGCACGAGGCCAAGATCGAGCTGGCCTCCAAGGTCCTGTCCAACGAGGACCAGCTGCTCAACACGGTGGCCCACGAGTTCTGCCATCTGGCGGTCTACATGGTGGACGGCAAGACCAAGGTGGCGCACGGGGCCGAGTTCAAGGCTTGGGGGCGGAGGTGCATGAAGGCGTTCGGCGACCGGGGCATCGAGGTGACGACCAAGCACAGCTACGAGATCGACCACAAGTACATGTGGCGGTGCGCCGAGTGCGCCAACGAGTACGGCCGGCACTCGCGAAGCATCAACCCGGCCAAGCACAAGTGCGGCCGGTGCCGCGGTCTGCTGGAGCAGGTCAAGCCCGTGCCGAGGGCGGCCGGCAAGGGCAAGAGTGCGTACCAGGAGTTCGTGAGCAAGGAGATGAAGGTATTAAAGGCCGAGGGCAGGGCGCTGACATTCAAGGAGATGATGGCGCAGGTATCCACCAGATGGAAAGCCCAACAGGCCGAGAAACAGGGATCTCAGGACACCCTAAATAAGAAGGAACTCCAAGGCCTCGAGGATGAGTTTGAGGAGCTGGCCGTGGTGGACCTCGAAGCGGAGTTGGGCGACAGCTAATAGGGCTTTTATTCCCACCAGCAGCCATTCGTTCGTTGTACGATGTATTTCAGGGGCTTGTACATTCTCCATGCATAGACTCGAGGGCGTAATTACTAGGGCTTTGATACAGCATTGTTGCATTTGAACAAGCATATCCTCTTTTGTTTGACAAGATAGAGGTGGTCGTTTGTGGCCCCGATCCGACCAGGGTGTAGCCGAACCAATTTCCGAGTGCCTGGCTGCAGGTGAATACTAACAACACCCAGTGGAAGGGGAAGTGATTCTCTCCATTGTGCCGCAAATACAATTCGTCGGCTCCTAGCTGTGATAGTGTGAAACTTATTCTGGCAAGACCATTCCGTGACCCAAGAAATACTCATTTAATTCATGATCATCCGCCGCAAGATAGCAACGCAACTCCCTCTACCCAGATCTACGCTCTCCGCTTGCACATGGTGCGCCCTTCGTGGGAAACCAGCCCAGCCGAGTGTCGTTGGTGTCATCTATATCTCCGCGAAGAGGCCCCAATCCTTGACCTTGAAGGTCTCCCAGATCTTGGCCGCGTAGTCGACGGCGTCCCCGATGAGCTTGCCCTGCTTGCCCAGCTCCAAGTCAATGTCCTCCTCGTTGTACTCGCCCTTGATGTGTGGGACGTTGATGGTGATCAGGATGTCGGTCAGCTCGCGCTCCAGGCGCACCAGCGTCATGATGAGGGCCGTGAAGTCGGGGGCCGAGGAGCGCTCGCGCTGTTCGGGGTTGGGCTTGGGCGCCTGTGTCGCGATCAGGGTGTATGCGGGGATGTCCTCGCTGCGGAAGAGATCCGAGTTAGCAAACACTCACCCCTGTCTCTGCGCATCGACGTGGTGGGAACGGAATGGACGTACTCGAGTCGCGAGAATAGTGTGGGCGTGGTGTTCCAGACTTTGGTCCGGTCGATATCGTCTCCGACGACATCCTCCAGATGGGTCGTCAGGGCGCGGCCGTCGATCTCGGGCCCGCTGCCCTTGCCGCCCACGCGCTCGGTGATGTCAAAGACGATGCTGGTGAAGCCGTCCTTGTCGATGTAGACCTCCTGGTTGTCGGGGACCTCGCGTAGCAGGCTGTGATCACTTCATGTCAGTCGCGCGGTGCCAGCCCAGCATGCATGCGGCCGCGCGCAGAGGGAAAAAGAGCCCAGAGGCTGTTGGGTCCGCGCGGCGCGTCGCATGGGTTCATTCACTCAGCGAGTCTCTCCGTACCTGACGTCGGCAAAGGTGGTGGGCAGGTCGCAGATGAGAGCCCCGCCGTATAGAGGGGTACTTTTGAAGGCCGCCATCTGCGCTGGGCGTGATCCTGAGTCGGGGCGGTCGGTTGCGAGGACTCGGTGTGTTGTTGCTATGCAAGCCCGTCGCAAAGCAGCACACACGAACTGGTTATGGATGATATACTAGTTACAAGGCGTTGCGCGCGCGTTGGTTGGGAGCTGGTTGTACAGTTGGAACTGGCGCCTTGTCAGGTTCCCCCAAACCTGGAATGTTCAGGCGCAGAGCTGTTGTGCCCACTGACTGACTAACGAGAATGACGCAGTTTAGCGTCAGCTGCACTCCAGGGGTCCAAGTCCCAGCCCAGTCCAGATCCAAGTTCAAGTCCAACTTGGACTGCCAAGCATGCAGCAAAACAGCAGTCAACTTGGGCAACGGCAGGCGCCCAGTTGTCGGACATCGGTACCATACTACCTAGGTCCCCTGCTGAAATACTGTCTTAAAATAACATAATAATAGGGCCCCCCAAAACTGGGAGTACTTACATGCCAAGTACCCAGGTAGAGACTGTCAGGATTGAACTACCGTAGTTACTCAGGCAACGAACAGGCCATCAAGGCGCGGGGACTAATTTAGAAGAAAAATTAAAAGCAGGCTTTCCTAACCATTGGACCAAGTTGCCAGGATTGTCGCCGGCAACAAAAAGCATATGTTCTGCGAACGCAGTAAGGTTGTTCCAAAGATTGTGAGAATGGAGTAAGTTGGGCTGCACTCTGTCATATCTGGTAAAAGGCAAGAGATGAATCAGGTATATGCGGTCCCACTCCACGTCTTGCTCGGTCTTTATTTTGAATCATAACGTCTTCTCCTTCTTCCTGCGGGGCCTACCCAGGTACCCAATCAAAGACTGCCCGCATTGGATTTACCCTGAGTTTTCCCACGGAGCTCTCTTGAATGGGGTCAGGCTGACTAGCATACATGAAAGAAAACCTTGGCACCTTGATAGGTGGTAGCTGGCACCACCAATCGCAAAACTCCCTCCTTTCTCATCAATCTTATATTGTCAAGTGATTCTCGTTTTCACTTTGCATACCACATCATTCGTCACAGGAACCTCTCAAGGTGTCACTTTCATTCATCACCACCAAGGACCAACAAAACCGTTTATTCAGACGTTGTACGCAATATGTCAGGCAAAAACAGCGTGCCGTCGGACTTTGCGTCCTACTACCTCCAGCAAGCCACCAAGGAACTGGCCGAGGACCTTGATAAGGTCCGTGGCGCAGACGACTTTAAAGGCGACGCCCTGCCACTGCTCATCAAAGCACTGCAGCAGGGTACTGCACTCTTCTCGCCTGCGGATCAGCAGCGCATCGTGGAGGCTGGCAAGAAGCAGACCACGCCTAACGCGGACGACGATACGAGCAGTAGTGGCAGCAGCAGCACCGGTAGCGATGAGGAGCAATGAAGCAAGCTATTCATTCGTCTATTTTTAAAGCATTCCAGGACAGCGAGCTACGACTGATGGTGAATGGCCGCTTCACACATATTGCCCACGCCAAGTTGCACGAAGCGATAGCGATCCTTCGCTATCCTTCTTTGCCGCCGTTCGCGAAGAACGGCAAGAAATGAAAGATTGCCATTTCTGCGAAGAAGGAGTGATGTTCAAAAACTCCCCAGATGCACGTGGTATCCAGAAGTTGGTCGAGTAAAGGCCTCAACCTCAACTAGCAAACGAGGTCTTAGCCGACGCTTCAGGGCCCCTCGTATCATTCATGCACACAGAAGTGGGGAGGAAAGGAAAAGAGGGAATCCAGAAGGAACAGACCGCGCAACGGCTTTCTTACATCCACGGATAAAGGCGAGGAGAGGAGGTTTTGTCTTTGGGATGACCAAGCCTGTTGCCAACGATCATGAAACCTACTGAAAGACGAGAGCAGTTTTCTTTGTCCGTGGGATGATAATAGATCATATGCCAGCTTGATAACCACAAAACAGGGGCTATTATCGCTCATGCTACATGGCCAATATAACCGCACCTAGGCATCCCCCATACCCGGATAAGGGACTGGGACATTCCGGCTCAAGAACAGCACGCTTCTGACTGCATTGAATCGACTCGAGCACGAGAGTCTGTCGTACCTTTGCACCAGTGAAACCGCTAAAGCCAGAGTGGTATCTTCGACGTCTTATTTAACTAGCCATTGCGCATGCTAGGACCACGAGCCAACTAGCACGGGATAGCCGGTGGAGTGAACCCACAGTCAGATTACCATGCTATGGGAAGAACGATCTTACAGTTGGAAAACACACATAGTAATACGATCATGAAGACAGACAATACACGGTGCGAGTAAATTATGCCTTGGTAATAACGATTGCATAGCACAGGTGATCAGGGTATGAAGCATAGAGAACAGGTTTATATGATAGTTGTTAATCTGTATTGCCCAGTTGATTAATGTGCTCATTGCCCTTGTATCTCACAATATTCGAATAATTCTTACGATGGTTAATCCGCCCACGACTCTCGCGTGTTTTCTGTTATCCTAACATGTTATGCATAAGAGAATAAGGGAACACCATTATCATGATCCTCGCACTCTCTGGGTGCAGTAAATGCCTAACCCAACATACCACTATAGCAAGCACAACACGGCAAAAGGGAACTACCACTGTTGTAGACATCCTCACCGCAGAAAGGACTACTGCATAGGCATTCACCCAGAGGCGATGATCTTTAGTGCACGACGAAAAAAATGAAATTGGAACAAAAATGATTTACAAAAACATACAACACCGGGTATTCGCTGGTGGTCACCCACCCAACTACTAATCCAGCGATTGCCAGTTTATCTATGGGAGAGCGGACGGGATCCCGAGTTCTCTAGCATCTATGGTCGTATGTGCTAGGTAGTCTGTTTGTTGAGGCTGATATAGGCTATCATGGCTCTGCTCGACATTCTACTGACTGCAATGTCTATAGTAGAATGCCGAAGTCGGGCCTGGCTACTTGCGTAACCGTCGATTCCACGGTAAGCAGTAGCATAGGATGTATAAGGATACCGCCCTTATCTCACCGGTCTCCCGGGGTTGTCATTGTCATAGTCGTAGCTGAGGTGGTTAATGTTCAAGGACAGCATTATATGGCCTAGCCTAGTTGCCATGAATGTTTGAAACCCGTGTGTATCTCGGTCTCATTCACCCCTTGGAGACGATATGTAGCTGGCTAGGCTCTATCTGGTGGCTGACTCCACGGGTTGCCCGCACTTGTTCTGCTTCATGTGGTCGCTGATTATATTGTAACATCGACGATTGTCTATCATGGAAAAGCGCATATCTTGTGCTCATGTAGTGGCTTGGCCTTACAATGCTGAATTGTAGGATTTGTCGCAAGTTGAACGGGCGTGGCAGTCAGTTGTTGCCATTTCCGATAATAAGAGGCACGCCACAGCCCACCTGGTCACTGCCGACTCGACAACCTAACGACTGGGAATACTGATTTCTGGCACATTGCCGTTACTCGCTCGTTATACCATTGGCACCATGGCGATCCGAGACAGGGAAAATGACGGGCTATGCTCTGTGCATTATGCTCTCCCATCCCCACGTCTGGGGGGATGCTCGTCTATGGTATCTTATGTTACAGACCCAATTCAGACCAGACTCCGTTTTAGCCACAAGTCCATGCCTGCTCATCAATCACGGCGCCCTTTCCATCATCATACAAAATTAAGCAAAAACGTCCGCTCACGGAGCCCAGATGTCTTGTCCCGTGGCCTCGATCCAGTTGCCCAGCTTATTGACGTTCTCACCCCACTCGCCCAGCCTCGCGCCCAGGCTGGCGACCTGGGTCATGTCGAGCACGCGCGGCTGCACCCAAGTGAAGTTGACCAGCTTGTCCACCTCGTCGATCGTCCCCCTGACCAGGCCCAGACTCAAGGCCTTCATGACCAAGTGCTCAATCTCATTCATGCGGACCTTGGTGTCGGCGCTGATGGCGTCAAAGGTCATGGCGCGCTGGTGGGGTGGCCGGCGGAACACGGCCTCGGTCAGAGCGGCCAGGTAGATCTTTTGCCTAATCTCGGTCTCGTGCTCGGCCAGGAGCTCGTTGGAGGAGATGTGGCCGGACAGGGTGTCGTAGGCGGCCAGGTCGCCGCGGTTGAAGGCAAGAAGCAGGTTGCGCAGCCACTCGGCGTCGCCGCTGAGGGCGGCCAGGATGGGATGTTGTAGCAGCTCGCCAAAGTTGTAGATGGAGTCCGAGACCAAGGCGGCGATGCCGAGCTCGTAGGCCCTGTTCTTCCTCTCGGCGGGCGACAGGGTGCTGAGGTCTATGCAGGCGAGGTAGAGCAGAGCGTTGCGGTAGTAGGAGGCGTAGTCCTGGACCGAGTTGTAGTACATGGCGTTGGTGCGGTAGAAGGCGGCGTGGACCTTTGTCTCGACGCTGTCGAAGGTGTCGAGGATCTTCTCGGCACTGTCGAGGTCTTTGCGGGCGCCATCCTCATCGTCAACCTTTAGCTTCATCAGGCCGACGGCTATCGTGGCGTAGACGAAGGCGTCTTGTGAGGTCTCGCTGTCGACCTTTTTGGCGAGGTCCTGGAGGAAGGACAGCCGTTCCTGGTCATCTGAGCGACAGGAGAGGCACGAAATCAGCATACGAGTCCCCCAGCGACAGTACAGACATGGTACAGAGATTCTAGGGCATGGGTGTGCGTACCTCTACACGCCGAGGCGGCCTTGAGGCCCAGGTCGACAAGCTTGAGCTGGTTGATCTTGTCGGCGAACTTGAGGATAAAGACCTTGTAGAACTGCAGGCGCTGCTTCTGGCTGGCGGGGTTCTCGAAGAACTCGACGAGGGCGTCGGTCAGCTGGTGCCATAGCTTGCGCTCCCACAGGTTCTCGAACTGGATGATGAGGCCCTGGAGCTCCTCGGGTGCCTCGTCCCGTTGGTCGGCGAGGAAGTCGGAGATGGTGTCGACATTCATGATGCCGCAGGGGTGGGGGAAAGAGCGTATCGCCTTCTGTCGTCGGGGGATGCGAGGTGTAAGAAGAAAGCAGGAGCCGGGCGGAGGAGCGAAGACGTGCCGGGGTTTCGGTCGTCGGAGGCTTGGGGAGCTTGTTGGGATGGAGGGATGGTGGTGGTGGTGGTGGTGATATGGTTTGGAGTAGGTGGTTGCTAGGCCCGGGGGGACTGCTGTACCTTAGCTGACCTCACCTCTACCTAACTACTGTAGCTCCGGGCGTCCATGCCACTATCGGCCGCCTGTAGACGCGGCTGGAGTGCAGCCTGGCGGGCGGCGTTTGCGTCGGGCTCACCCGCTAAAGCTGTAGCTAAGCCTCACTGCATCCTGCCTGGCCCCAGCCTCACTGGCTAACAGACAGCCCAGCCAAGCCAGGCCAAGGTACACAGGCACTGTCGGGTGTGTGGCTGGAGCAGCCGGGCTGGAAATCAGTGGGCGGTGATTGGCGGGCCGGCGGTGGGCTGGCAGCCCGCAAGCCCCGAATTCGTTCGCTGGGGAGCTCAACCACCACCCACCCCATCACCAAGCTCGCGTCCAATCCATCGCCAGTGCATCGCCAGTGCAATTGCGAATTGGGAAGGCAGCTGTCCTCTCTTGCACCCCACGATACAGCAAGGATGGCTTCCTTTCCGGCCGCCGTGCGGTCCTCCCGGAAGCTCGCCCTCAACCTCACCCTCGTCCCCCGACGGGCCATCTCCGACATCACCATCACCCGCACCGGCAAGCCCATTCTGCGGACCACCGGCGGACGGTACGTCTCTCTGCACCTCTCCCGCCCGTCCAATTCCACGTGTGCTGACCACTTCTCCATCCAGGCACTCTCTCGGAGGTGATTGCACACCCCAAACCCACCCCGAAACCGCCGCACCCTTTGCTAACCAACCCGCCTTGCTCCAGGTCACACCGCGACCGTATTTGGCGCAACCGGCCAATTGGGTCGCTACATTGTCAACAGACTAGGTAGGAGAACTCGCTCCTCGCAAGTCGCAGAGGAATTGACTGACCCGGTGCCGCACAGCCCGCCAGGGATGCCAGGTCGTGATCCCGTACCGAGAGGAGATGGCCAAGCGCCACCTCAAGGTGACGGGTGATCTGGGCCGCGTCCACTTCCTCGAGTACGATCTGTACAACACCGAGTCCATCGAGGCCAGCGTCAGGCACTCGGACGTCGTCTACAACCTGATCGGCCGCAACTACCCCACCAAGAACTACAGCCTCGAGGACGTCCACGTCCACGGCACCGAGCGCATCTGCGAGGCCGTCGCCAAGTACGACGTCGACCGCTACATCCATGTCTCGTCCTACAACGCCAACCCCAACTCCGAGTCTGAGTTCTTTGCCACTAAAGGCCGCGGAGAGCAGGTCGCCCGTGCCATCTTCCCCGAGACCACCATTGTCCGCCCCGCTCCCGTCTTCGGCTTCGAGGACAACCTGCTGATCAAGCTCGCTGGTGTCACCAACCTGTTCACCTCCAACAACATGCAGGAGAGGTACTCGCCAGTACACGTAGGTCTCCTAACGCTCTCTGGATTGTCTCCCCGGCGCACCCAGAAAACTAACCCCGAGTACATAGTCGATCGATGTTGGTAAGGCCCTCGAGCTCATGCTATACGACGACACCACGGCGGGTCAGACATATGAGCTGTACGGTCCCAATGAGTACTCAACCGAGGAGATCGCCGAGATGGTAGACCGTGAGATCTTCAAGAAGCGCAGGCACCTCAACGTCCCAAGGCCGCTCCTCAAGCCCGTCGCCGCCCTCCTCAACAAGGTTCTCTGGTGGCCTATCCTGTCTGCTGAGGACATCGACAGGGAGTTCATCGACCAGGAGATCGATGCGACCGCCAAGACTTTCAAGGACCTTGGCATCACCCCCGGCGACATCAAGGACTTCACATACCACTACCTTCAGGGATACCGAAGCTCGTCATTTTACGACCTCCCCCCGGCGACGGAGAAGGAGAGGAGGGAAGACAGGAAGTACATCCACGTCACGGATGAGTTGTAGAGTAGTCTTCACTGAGTGGGTTGTTAGAGAGGAGAGAAAACTCGTGTGCACTGTACATATACACCTAGACCAGAGTTTCCTTGCTTCAATACCAGTGAAATAGTGGACCAGGACGAAAAACGAACAACAGTTTTTTATTTTTACATGGGAGAATCCGCGACACAAGCAATTCTGATTAGTCTGCACAAGGGAAAAGGGGCATTAGCTTTCTTCTTGGGCAAAGTCAGCGGCAATGCCAGAGTCTATGTCTAACCATTCTGTCTAGCTATTCTATCAAACTGACTGGCCTGGATCCAGCCAACTAACCAATCGAGCCTAGCTTTCTTTCCACTTCCACGCGTCGTCTACAAAGTTGGCATAGCAGTAGAACTCGTTCTTCAGCCCCATGTGCACGACATCGAACGTCGTCGTCCGCAGCCCAAAGTTCTTGTACAGCTTGAGGACCAGGCTCTCCATCCTCTCGCCCGTCACCAGGATGGCCCGCATGTCTTCTGTGTTCGGCTTGCTCAGCCAGCGCGCCGTGAGTGCCACTGATGCATTTGACAGCCTTCGTTAGCAGAAGAAATGGCAACGCATTTCGGCTAGTCAGTGGGGAGTCGGGGGATGGAACTCACTCTTGGTCTGGCAGTCTGGGTTCAGGAACGGAGGGTCGATGATGATGCAGTCCACGCTGCCTTTGAGTGTGTCTGCACCGCGCTCGTCAGTCCATCATCGATTACACGCTCGACCAAGGCCGTGAGGAGAGAATTGATAAGGGTAAATACAAGAGCCAAAGGGGAGTCTTACCAGGCAATTTGGCGGGCTGGTTGTAGTCGTAGAACACGAATTCCGGGAAGACGGAGAAGCGCTGATCGTGCTCCAGGAGGATGAGCTTCGGCTTGGGAGAGGCCTCCTCGGTCTCGTTCTGGCTCCGATTAGAAACTCTCGAAACTTCACAGAGAAGCTTTGAACAGGACGCAGTCTAGGTACTCACCAAAAGGTTCTTGAGCGCAACAAACACACTTGGCGCCGACACGACTGCAATCGTTGTGTCCTCGGCTGCGCCCTTGAGCAGCTGGCCCGCCAACAGTCTCGCCGTCTCGTCTGAATACTGCGATTAGGTCGATTAGTACCTTGTCTCCCCTTACTTACGTCCTCCGCATATATACCCCCTGGGTCCTCGACCGTGCTGGCGCGGCCCCTGTGGTATTGGGCCAAGCACTATAGTTCGAGGCGAGCGTCCGTGATTGTCGCTCTGTTCTACTCATCCCCAGGCTAACACATTTGATTACTCAGGATCGCTCAAGCAAGCGATTGACCAGCAGCGAGGTCGTACCATGCCCGCTACTGGACGGAATGTAGAGTATAAGCCCGAATTGGGTCGGAAAGGGGAATAAAGTAAGAAAATAAAAGGAAAACAGTTCCTACTTACCCAGAACTGACTCTCCTGCCAGTCCTCCCGGAATGCCGCCATACTCAGCGGCGCCTGCTTGCTGTCCGGGTCCTCCCCGGCGTCGGCCTTGAGCTGCTCAAACTTCTCCGTGTGCACATCGCGCTCCGAGTAGAACTCCTTGAGCGCATCGAGGGCGTGCGAGGAGAGGGTGCTGCCGAGGGTTTAGCGTGCCGTCAAGTGAAGCGCAGGGTAGGGACGCGAGTTTAGCTTACATTGGTTCGTCAATGAAGTCGCCCATTTTTATTATTTTCCCCTATGAAAGAAACGGAAATGCCAGTTTGACCTGCGTTTGCTGCCTGCACGTCTATAGGACCAGCCCTCGGAAAGTGAGTGAAATGAAACAACGTAGGTTGTTGGTTCCTTATCCATGTGAAGTCGTGGAGCGTCAGATCCTTGGGCTGGGGCTAACTGCCAAGGAACGGGTTACAAATTTTTAGTGAGCCGTCAGACTTGTTTTGCCTTATTTTTCCTCCCCTTGTCTCTGGTGGAGACAGTATACTAGTCAGTTACTAATTGCCAAGCCCACCTGCCCGAAACCTAGCATTGCAAAGGACATCCCCAGTTGAGGATCACCGGAGTACACTCGCGAGTCATGTGAGATGCGGATTGCTCTACTGACTGGATGCTGGGACGACCGGGTTGAAATCCTCCTTGCATTGTGTAACTGTCCAAGGTGACGCACGCGTGCCATGAACAATCCGGTGTGTGGTAGCTGAGTTTGGTATTGTACCGCAAAGTGTAAGCGAAAAGGAAGAGTTGGTGGTATTTCTCTGTAGTAACAATCCAGATACGTATATGACCGTCTTGAAACTCACTCACTCTGTAACTTGACAATCCTAGGCAATCCATTGACTTACACTAGGCAAGTCCCTACTAATCACCAACAAAAACTGGTCACAAGCAATGAAAGTAAGACGACTAAGCAGTCTACCGAAGTGTGCCAACATGGCATTTGCCATTCCATACACATGTGGCTATGATCTGTTCCCATGAGTATTGTCCGTCTTTGCTGATGGCAGAACCTTCGTCTTGTAGTGCAGTTCCAGCCATCCGTCCAGCCACAATCTTGGTATAGGACATTGGTGGGTATATATAAAGTGGTTTGGGCCCTTCCTCGTGGGCGAGGTTGCCGTTCCAAGGGCAAGGCAGCAAGTAGAAGGAGTACAAATGACTAACGCCTGAGCATTTATACATGATTGCTCTGATGCTTTTTTTCTTCTAAACCAAAAACCAGGCTATGCATTTTCGTCAACCATCCCTGAGAGTTTCCCTGTTGGCAGCCCTTGTGGCCTGTCATCTACATCATCCGGCCGGCGCTTAGGCTAGTGAGCGGATGATGTAGAACAGCAGATACGGTTTCGAATTCAGTACTTCTGATTTCGTCGCCAACTCTACACGGTGGTCGTTGAAAGCGAACCACTAGGATTGTCAGCAACAGGGTCCGCGAACCTGGGAGCGACTAGACTTACTTGTTCGCCAACTCGACAATACGTCGTATAATGGCCTGTGTCTATCTCACCGACGTGGACCACAACACTTAGTAAATCATACGTACACGACCGCGCCAGCTCCTGGCTTTCTCTGGCGTCTGCAGATCTGCCGCGCGATGTGTATGGAGTCATGTTGAGAGTCAAAGGGAACTGCACAGGAGTGTCGATCTTGGACGCTGATTTGTCCCTGCTTCCTTGTTTGAACTCGAACCTCTGCCATATTCAGTCAGTTGCCGGCCGTGTCCAGGCGGTGACGAGGATGGATGGATGGCTGTGGAACTCACCTTCAGTTGTATCGATAGTGTGTTCGGCAGAAGCTTGATGCTATTATCGCGGCGTGCCTGCTGCATCGAATCACAGTTCCGACATCGATACTCGCACTTATCCGACTTGATATATTCCTCGTCGAGACATTCCAGCAGTGTCAGGGGGGTGTTTCTAGCCTTCTTGCCCCGTTTCTGGGCCAAACTGTCAACTCCCAGACTCAGGTCCAGAAACGACTCCACCGCGATAGTAACGCCGCCACAAGACTGGCATGTCGTCTGTCTCTGAAGCTTGCCGTAGAACGTTTGGTGTATAATGCAGTTGCAGCTGTGCTCGCTACCCGTCTCGGGTCTTTTGCCATCGCCGTTCCGCTCGTGCAGCTCTTCAGCGAGGAACTGGAAGAACTCATGAGCGTCTTGCTCTTTGGTGGTCACAAGGTTTTCAAATGCTTTCTTTTCGCTGATCCAGAAACCGGACAATATGTTGGCTGCTGTATAGCCATTAGTCGTTTCCAGAGCGTAGAAGTCTTGAAACATATTGTCCATGGCGCAGCTGAGACAATGTGACACTTCACAGTCGCCCTCTTGGTGGCCATCGCTGAGGTAGAAGTTTCTGAGGAGCGGGTTGTGCAGAAAACTCTGCAAGACTACGTTCTGGTAACAGGTGGCACCGGCGTTGTAGATGCCCCGGAGGCCATCTGCTCTGCACGACGCCGTCGTGGTGTTTGAGGATATGTATCGTGGGTCATCCTTGACCGGATCAGCGAACAGTTCCTCGTGCTTCCGTTTGCGACCTGTAGGTTTGTCAGTTCAAGGCTCAACTCGTTCTATGGCACACCACGCGGCGGCTCAAGCCAGAAAAGTACCTGAAAAAGAGCCGGTGCCTATCTTTCTCACTCTCAGCTCCTCGAGTGTGGGATCCCAAACGAAGTCCTCGCAAAATTGGCAATACAGCGAACCACTGCGGGAGTCGACGTAGAACCGATGGCTCTTCTTCTGGCCGTGCTTGGGGCGTTCCTCCTCGGGGACAATGGTGGAGCACTGCAGACACAGCCAGTTGGACGTCAAGGAGGTGGCGATAGCACCGTCGGGGCTCTTGGTGGTCTGCGGCACAATAGCAGTATTGTCGAAGATGACCCTCAGCAACATCTTGTAGTACTGGATGGAGCTCTGCACGACCTCGGGACCGTTTGAGAGAAGAAGCTGTACGTGTTCTGTAGGCGACGTATTAGTCCATCAAGTCCCGGCGGGTGGAGCCTCCTGGAGGGAGCATGTCTACTAACCGCAGCCGAACAGAGGCGTGCCCGGAGCAGGAGACTTGATCTTGGCATTCCGGGGGGAAGCCGGTGTCGTAGGCCGGGCACTCATGTTGCGATGCGACCGACGTGCGCCTCTGTTCCTTCAAGTTGTGGTGGTGGTGGTCGTGTTAGTAGTAGTGATGGGCCGGGCCGAGGGAGGTTCGGTCGCGAAGCAGAGAGGCCGAGACGGCGGGAGACGGGAGGCCGAATGACTGGAGGCAGGTGCCGGCGGGTGGGCAATCGTGCAGGAAGGTGGCAACTTGCAGTGTTTCTTGGCGACGAATTGGACCCCGTGGACAATGCAGAGGTCGGATCGGGTGCTGGGCGAGTCTAGATGGCGTGTTGGACGCTGCGCGATGGGAATGCAGGCGGTGCGTTCGGTCCGGGGAGGCAGAGCGGCCGTATCGCTGGAGGCGCGGCTGGCGGGTAGGTAGTGAGGATATCGTGAGGACTAACTTTGGGACGCAATCGGAGCTCTGTAGCGCAGCTGTTGGTCAGCAATTCCGCGCGACAAAGCGTCGGTTCGGGGCAGCGCTGGGCAACTCCTGGTCCGACTTACAAGTCTGCAAGATCAGCCTCGTCTGGGAGCACAATCATGCCAAACACCGCTGGGGTCTCGGATCGTAATCATCAAGCTGTTCGGTCGCGAAGAGGCTCAAGAGCTGCAGCAAGGTGCTGGAAAATGCTTATCAGCACCTGATCCAGCGCCTTATCCGGGGCCGCTAGCGACTGGTTTCAGGGGTTCATCCCAGCCAGCAGCGGCTCCAGCCCCCGATTCCCGCCCGCCCACCACCTAAGTGTACGGTACTGTAATCTGTAGGCCTACCTATATGTAGGTACCCAAGTACCTAGGTAGGTACTGTCACGGGTATCTGTTCGACCCCCTTCCCCTTATCACCTGGGCCTCCAGCTACTACCGGTACAGTAAGGCAGGCAGCTACTCAGGATGAATAAGTGACGCCATCTGGCGAGCAACTGGGGCCGCTTCTCATTGGCAACGAGCACCGATATCTCCATGTCGTGATCCCCCAAGAACCTCGGCATCTTGCCTCCTCCGCCCTCGCCGTTTCGATGCACCTGCATATTCTCAGGAAATATACATACATGCATAATCGTGAGGCCCTTTTCCCGTTTATCTACACGCTCAGGGCCTCTGCATCGATAGTCCGGCGATAACTCTGACGACAGAACACTTGCTGATTGACTATATGCCGCGATAACCAGACATTGCTCCATCACATGACGTTTCTGTAAATGCAGCTACCCCATCACCGGGGAAACCGCCCATCCTAGATAAACTCATTGCCCCAGCCGAGGCACTTGACGTCCAAGGAGGTCTTTCCGCCCCCTTGCGATACATAGCTCGTATGGTATGACGGTTTTGCGAACACTGGCCACAAGCGTCAACAAGATGGCAGCCCAGCTGGTGTCTCTGCCCGAAGTCGAGAGACTGAGTCCGGCCTGCATCCGCATTCTCGGAGGGAACCCCAGCAAGTTCACATTGCAAGGCACAAACACCTACCTCGTTGGCACAGGACCCAAGAGGTTGCTCATTGATACCGGAGAAGGGAAGCCTTCCTGGATCGCAGCACTCAAGCGCACGTTGGCCGAGGAGAAGGCGTCGGTTCACAGCACGCTTCTGACGCATTGGCATCATGACCATATAGATGGCGTCCGCGACCTACTGACCCACAGCCCCGACACCAAGGTCTACAAGTGCGACCCTCATCCGGGCTGGGCAGACATTGAGGATGGGCAGACATTTGAGGTGGAAGGCGCGACATTGACAGCCGTGCACACGCCGGGGCACGCGGTAGACCACATGGTGTTTGTCTTACGCGAGGAGAACGCCCTGTTCACGGGCGACAATGTCTTGGGACAGGGTACAGCAGTGTTTGAAGACCTCGCAACTTACCTTGAAAGCCTCGAGAAGATGGGCAAGCTTGCGTCCGGGCGAGGCTACCCCGGCCATGGACCCGTTCTTCCGGACGCGCCGGCAAAGATCTCGGAATATATAGCTCACAGACGTGAGCGGGAGCAACAAGTTTTACAGACGTTGGGCTCGACCAATGCATCAGCGACATCAACGTCGAGCAGCTCGGGACGGACCGACTCGTGGACCCCGATGGAACTGGTCAAGGTGATATATCGAGATTACCCGGAGAGCCTCCACCAGCCAGCCGTAGGCGGTATTATACAGATTCTGCAGAAGCTGAAGGCCGAAGATAAGATTTCATTGGAACGGGGCGACACCTGGCGTCTGAAGGATCGTTCAAGCCTCTGATCTAGTCCTCGAACGTCAAACTGGCAGGTAGTGTCAGCTCTCCCGCCTGGTTAGACGATCATTTGTCTCCGCCAGAGATTCTTCCAAGGCTGGCAGAGCGTATATAGCCAGTTGTAGTCGGATCGAAGCGTCGTGGCATTCTGCTCTTGCTGGTCAGAAACGCAATGTGGTCTTATTATCTATGCAGGCCCACGAGAGTTTTGGTTACGCTACAACAGCAGTATCATCTAATTACGTAGAGTATCTGAGGGAGCAGCAGCCTTCGGAGTACTCTATGATGAACCAGTCTTCATCCAGACGTGTCTTGGTAAGTAAGCAGACCAATCGCCAGGCCGTCTCCAGGAACTTGGGATGAGCCTTGAGCAGCGTGTAGCAAAACGACCGCCCCGCTTGCCTCCGTACTTAGTTAGCAATCGAGAAGTATGGCAATCTCTATTTTGTTGCTTGATCTGTAGTTCATCAAGCTGGTCCAACTCTGTTGCGCCCCGGCTTACCTGGCTCCTCTAGGTGGCCACTTGGCCTGTCACCGACACTTACTGCTCCCGAGGGCGCTATGGCTGATACCTCCGTCTGACCCGATCTCTACCGAGTGATGCTGTCAACTGGGAGCTCAAATGGAGTATCCTAGTCACGTAAGTGCAGTAGCGCGCAATGTTAGGTTGTCTCTATTGAGTGGAGTCTCGAAGAAACCCCTTATGACGTGAATGAATCTCTGAGCAATGGGAACACTACCACTAGGAATTGTGTAGATCGGGACTTCCACCACTGCTTACACACCACCTCCACCGTCAAAAATGTTGGCTACCTAGCTTGGGGTCTGGCCTCGTAAACAAAAGAGCCCGGGCCGAGAGCATCAGCTTACGCGGGTACCTGGAACTTCCTCATCCATTCTCACCCAGCCTTCAGCCAGAACAGAGAATGCCGTCTTCAAAGCTGAGACGAGTCGTGGAGGGAGGCCAAAGTTTTGTTCGGAATGGACGGCGATTTTGCTTGCCAAGAGATGCTTACCTACTGTATATGATCTGACTGTCAAGTGATTCCTAAAAATTAGAGGGCGGGTGGGGCCATGGCGGACTCCGACAGACGCCGTATTATTCAACCTCTTCCTCCGTTAAACCCCGTAGCCCGAGCGGACAACTCGGAAGCAGAAATTGATGGACTAAGCCGACTATAGTTTGGCCAGTCATCTGACCGACAGTTGCTACCCGAAACTGGCGCTGCAAGTTGTGTATCATCTGATACCGTTGCATGTGTGTCGCCCAGCCTATCGACATCAAGTGCGTGTTATTGCCGGATGCTCCGCGCCCGGGGTTTGTTGGTCGTCGCTGCAAGTCAGCTCCCAGCTGCCATCTCACGGCCAGGCATCTGCAATAAAAGACACGCCTTAAGAGGCGGCAGCGGTGCATATGATAGCTACATAGGTCCATTTTGGCAGGATCTTCAATCACCACTCAGCGTGCAGGTCTGTGAAGCATGGTGGGGGTTTCGTCGAGGAGTCATCAGAGCGACCGAAGCGAGGGAGGGTGGCTGGCGCGTTGGATCCTCACAGACCTCTTTCCCCTCCCATGGCTAAACTACAAAGAAACATGAGGCCATCTCGAATGACCACACGGTCGACTGATGCTGCTCCCCACGGAGCCACCGGCGTGTTTCACCGTCTCCCTTCGACCCATACCTCTGGGAGGCACGGAGTACAAACCCATGGCCAGGACGCATTCTGGATCCCCAGAAAAAGCCCCTTCTGATCCTAGGCGATGTCTTGGAAATAGTAATGCTGTGAAGTCCAAGATGCAAGCCAAGTGACTGTACATGGGAGACTGTAGATGGCGCAGTCAGCCGGCACTTGGCACAGGGCTACGCTACTGCCCGCGTCCTGCATAAGCATCCCTGTTCCATGCCTCGACTCCGTGTCGGGCTGTTCTTTGTACAACGCAACCAGGCTACCAGGTTGGAAATTTGGAGGATTAATAATTCGACACCATCTTGTCCCTCACCGCAGCGGCGGCTCGGCTGGAAAGCAGAAGAAATGTGCTGTGATTGGCGGCCAAGGAGCAGATCGAGCTTACGCCCTTCCTACGTTAGTGGTGCCGCAGGTAATCTTGGTGTTTTGTGACTGCCAACAAACGCCAGGAAAATTTCCAAGATGGTGTGAATTCCATCACGTCCTTGGCACCGGAAAACGGCAAGAAGTCCCAAAGACCGGGTTTCGGAGGTCGCGGGCCCCATAAGAGGAGATGACTAGAGGTACCTCCGGTAGCATAGTGAAGCTTACATGGAAATCCACCCCATATACTCTACTCTACTCTACTTTTGGGAGAAGGACAGGAAGCATGGTTCCGTTCCCGTCAAACCCAGAAAAATCGACCAATGCTCGCGTTTCGGGGTTACAATGTCTCATACATCCTAGCCTCCGAAGGGGAATGGTCACAACCTACGATGCACAAAGTGTGTCCGGGTGTGGAGCTCGGATGCAACGAGTTTTTCTCTAGTAGCATCGTAGTACACTTGGAGGCCGGGGCGGGGCTCTTGATTGCACGAACAGGTCGACGCCAAGCCTTGTGGTGGTCCGCCATTGGATGTCATGCTCAAGGCCGAGCTGCACGAGCAAGGCTCCAAGGCGAGAGAGGTGCCAGGTGGGCCGAATGACGCTGTCTCCAAAGCGACATGGGCCGCGGCGCCTCTTACATACACCAGCAAGTTAACTCGTACCCGGTACAGAGAGCTATCCAGTCGGGGTCCCACAGCGCATTCCCTTGCCTTACCGCCAGTGTGTTTCGCCGTGTCTGCACAAAAACAAAGTAACAAAAAGTTTCGGAAGCCTCGGATCTGGCTCTACTCGATGCCACTGGGCACCATTCCTCAAGGATCGAGGCGCCAACAGCGAATCCCGACTACGTAGCGGAACCCAGTGGAAGCCGCTCGGAGCGTGGGTGGTCTGACTAACAGCGCCGATACCATCGATACCATCGATCGCTGTTGCTCGCGGTACCCGGAACTGCCCAGGATGTAATAATAAATATCTACGCAGTCCAGCATGTTTCCTTCCCACCAAGACGCCGTCTGTAATATTTCCCCTCCGCTTGGCCTCTCGGCGTCTTTGTAACAAATAATAACGGCCATATATATATATTAAGTTACCCGTCTTGCCTTCGTAGTGACAGCTCCGTCCCCAAACGTTTCCTCGCTCCCGCCTCGCCTGGCTCCGCTACACCCCCGGGCACGCATTGACCAGAGCTCCCAGCGCGCGCGCGCAGATTTCGACGTAGCTTGTCCGGACTGTGTTTTTGCGCCAACATCAGTCGCAGTCCTGTGCAGCTGAAATAAAGTATATAAGCCGGGCCCGTATTCCGACTTGGTTCACCGCAACGGCCCTGCCAGCCGCTTGTGAGAATATCATACCACCATGAGGTCGGCTACTAGGTCGGCGTTGACGCTCCTGGCCGCCGTCGTGGTGCTTGGCAGCCTCCCGGCTGCCCTTGCGCATGGGGATGAACATGAGTCCATGAATATGGACGGAGACATGGCCATGGGTACCGAGGAGCCCAAGCCAGATGCTGGTTCTTATCCTCCAACTTACTTCACACACCCTGAGCATCGGGGCACCATTTACGCACATATCGCTTTGATGGTACTCGGCTGGGTGTTCATGCTGCCCACAGGTACGGAAAACCCTGGCGTTCCAGTGACAACTCGCTTGAGGGAGAGACTTACATTCGACGTATAGGTGTGATGCTATCGTTGGCAAAGTCACGTTACACGCTGGTGGTCCAGTTTGTGTTCCTGGCTACCAATGCGCTGGCCGTTCTCCTGGGTATCACCTACAACGCCAACACCCCAGACTTGTACCCAAATAACGCTCATCACAAGATTGGCTGGATCGCCACGTGGGTTGTGTCCGCCCAGGTCTTCATCAGTCTCGTTGGCCGCGTGGCAGGAGTTATTACGCGAAAGCAGTCGCAGCAGCAGCACAGCAAGGTGGAAGGCCAGGCTTTTATTCCCATGTCGATGGAAAACATGGCCGAGCATCAGCGAATGACGGATGCTACGTATATGCCCAAGTACCGGCATTCCAACGACAGTGGTCAAGGCACCGAACCGAACACTGAATCCTTGAGAAGCAACTCGCTCTCGGCATCTGGTCAACAATCACCAGATCCGCTGGAGGACCGACGGATGGACTATGATGAGGACGATGAGGATCTCGAGTTTAAGGCTGCTGAGCTGAGCCCACCCAAATCGCAGGCGAGCTCATTCATCGCCAAGATAGCTGGCTTGGTCTCTAGTCGAGTCTGGAAAGTCCTCATATTTGGCTACAATGCCGTCGACAGAACGATTCTCATTCTAGGATATATCACTCTAGCCACAGGTGTTATTACTTGGGCTCGTTTCTTCGTAAGTACAAGACTATTGCATTTTCACATCCGCTGAAATGATTCGGCAACTGACCACCTGGAACAGGAGGGACACGCAGTCTTCAGTGGTCTCGCTCACTGGATCAAAGGCAGCGTCTTCTTCTGGTACGGCATCTTGACGCTCGGACGGTGGTCTGGAAGCTTTGGTGATCTTGGCTGGGTATGTATTGAGCGACCCGCGTGTGATCAACATTTATATGCTTACAACAGGACAAGGCATGGAACGTGAGGCCTAAGCAGTCTTCAAAGCGGTGGAGGCCTTCGGCTGAATTTGTTGAAGGCGCTCTGATCTTCATCTACGGCTCAACCAATATCTTCCTGGAGCATCTCGGCAACGCCGATATTGGCAACACTGAATTTAGCGCTCAGGACCTGGAACATCTCTCTATTACCGTCCTGTTCATCGGAGGCGGCCTGTTGGCCATGCTTATCGAGTCTACAAACATTCGAGACCTTTTGAACACAACTGTTTCCGAGGCTGCGCTCTCGCATGCCGACCATACATACAACGACGAAGAACGGGATGCTCTTCAGCCACCCAAGCAGTATGAGTTCTCGATCAACCCCATTCCCGCGTTGGTCATTCTGCTCCTGGGAATCATGATGAGCTCTCATACCCAGCAATCCATGATTTCAAGCATGGTCCACAAGCAATGGGGCAATCTGCTCACCGGTGCTTCTTTCGCTCGTGGCTTCACCTATGTGCTGCTCTATCTTCGCCCGCCTCGTTCCGTCATGCCGTCCCGCCCTCCCACGGAGCTGCTCACTTCGTTCGGACTCATAGCAGGTGGCATTATATTTTGCGCAAGCGTAAGTGCACACATGATCTCAACAGCAGTGAAATGGCATATGTCTAACAATGATGCAGAGCTCGGACACCATCGATGGCATGGTTCACTACGACCTGGACGCAATGTTTTTCTACACGGTAACAATGGGTTTCGTCGGCCTCTTGATGGCCTGGGTTGTGCTCGTTCTGGCCCTGAAGGGCTGGGCAGTGCGCAAGGAAACTGGCAGTCAACGAGGCGCCTGGCATGCATCGGCACGAGTTTAAACGATTGGATCGCATCGCATTTTTTTGGGAGGAACTGGATACCCAAGGAGGGATTGGTCAACCGATCTCTGGTTTTTCTGGCGCATTGATGGGGTGGCTGGAAATACCCCATTACTAAACTTTTAGATTCTGGACTTTCTTTCTGTCCTGTGATACCCAAGAGACTTTTTGACGAACACGGTGGACGGGAGGACTGGTTGCAAGGGGACGGCTCACGATTATTAGACTAATGAACTCATGGAGAATGAATATTAATATGAGATACCTTTCTAAGTTTCTCTTTTTGGCACGATTCGCCAGGCTACTCGGCAATTGAAGTCCACAGTGTGACTTGGGAAGATCGCGATTCACATATTTGCTACTAGAAAGGGGAATATAATTATTGATATCCTGATCCTCGCAGTGTAATAAGTAGCCCTTGTAAGTTACATGGGTTCGAGGCAAAGTGCCTACCCGTATGATAAGACTGCCAGCAGTTCCATCTCAATTGTAAATATAACTACACCCCATTCGACAGCATAAACACGTGTGCATGTAGGTCGGTCCCGCTGTCCTTACACGTGCCTGGTCGAAGACTCAATGTTCCAGTGTTAAAATCCCATCAGGTGCCCATCAGCCTTATACAGCCACGATAACCAGGCCTATATTTGGCTGCTATTTCCCCAAGCGAAGCAACGGCTATTCGGTTTGAGGGTATAATTTGTGCTCTATGCTACTGTGTAGATGCGCCGTCGAGTTTTCTCAGGCAATCTAGTACTCTGTACTCAGCTGTCTCAGTCAGCTGAACCCCTGCCACTCTTTCGTTAGTGGAATCTCTCCCTGATTCGTGTTCCCAGACTTTCGAACCACTAGCTAGGCAAACCTTCACATGAAAGACCCAATGGTAGCTTCTGATTCGTCTGGTGGGTACGCCAAGAAGAGGGGCTGCAGGAAGAGTACATGATGGTCATTAAGTGGCCCCAACCCCAACAAATCACAACCAACACGGCTTGTGACGCACAGTTGGCATGTTGCCAGAGTGGTTAATGGGTGAGACTTGAATTCGCAGTGGCAAATTCAGCCATCTCATGGCTTCGGTCGCGTAGGGTAAGCTTCATAACAATCACCGTTATACTCGCACGTCACTAACAAGCATCAGTTCAAATCCTGCACATGTCGATATTTTTTTCTTCTTTTTTCTTTTTCAGCCTGTCATCTCCATGAGATGGGCAGGATTTATCTTCACTCTCTTTAATTTTTATTTATTTTTATTTTTAATATTTTTATACACATTTGAGTAATCTCCAGAAGTGTTTCCTTAGATATGGTCCAAACACTGCTTATAGTCTGGCGACCGTTCACTTTCCTTCTGCACAGGGTATTAGCGACATCTAACGCGTGGGAAACAGGAGCCTACTGTATGTCCGGATGGCATTCAGGATAGTAGATAGATATGTGATACGTTTTGGTAGAGGGGTAATGCACATGTTAGCCGGCAGATAGCTAAGGAGATAAGCCAGTTCTGTGGTGATACCGCCTTGGTGGGTGCCTCGGATACTTGCATTCTCCGTCTTTATTACATCACACATCACATCCTATAAGGATCGCATCAATATGCTTGGTCCGTAGGACGCAGACTACAGAAATGCTTGACAGGACGATGGCTCGTGGTTGGCGATACCAGACCAGAGTGGTGAAGACATAAGATGACCCGACTTTGTTTCTACTAGGAGATCGGACATCCACAGTAGGGGGTTACAGTTCCCGGCCAATTTGCCAGCTCAGAGAAGCAGTCCAAGTAAAAAAGTCAGAGCAGTAGTGTTCAAATATGGGTAGCAATCACTGCTGCTTTTTCCCTTGACATTGAACCCGTCAAATGCACAGATGCCGTGCGCTATGATTACAATATACGCTACAGCCAGTCGCTGCTGGTGGCAATCACGGAGGCTCTCTATCAGCGTCACGAGCTCTTCTCCTTGTTCCTGTCCTCCTGCACACGGCCTAAAACAACCACGACTCCCACAAGCCATGCAGGCCACCAGACGCACCATACAACCAAAGGCGTATACATGCCCCATACGGTCCATCCGAACGCCGCTTCTCTCAGCACAACGTCGAGTCCCACGCCACTAGCTGCTGCAGCAATGCTGACAACAGTGCCCGGACTCAGGAGGGTTAGAAGCAGCGCGTAGGCGTACTTCAGCAGTACATTCCGCACTGGGTAGGCAAAGGACAGCGGAACGGCAAGCAGGCCGACCAGGAAGGCGAGGGAAAAGTTCAGGGTGGCCAGAGCGGAGAGAAACATGCCCAAGAGGAGTAGCGAGAAGGAAGACAGGAGCTTGTACTGCTGAGCCGTAGGCTTGAAGTTGCTGATCAACAAGGGGGAGATCACATGGGGGATAAGAAGTGAGAACGCGGTGAATGCGTAGAAGAGTACGGTCAAGATCTGCATGCAGTTAGCCAACCACGAGTTCATTTGAAGGGGAGGAGGGGGGTGGGCTTGGAGGACTCACGCCGGCGGGTGCGTGATTGAAGACGAATAGTGGTATGAAGCCGAGGAACTGAGACCCAGCTACGAGTCCTAGAGGCAGATACAAGTCTCTCTCGACCGCATCGGTGCTCGGCGCCTCCTGCTCCTGTCTGTCAGCTCCGTCCTTGCCGTCCTTGCCGTCCTTGCCGTCCTTGCCGTCTGTCTCCCCAGCGGTAGCGACCTTGCTTCTCTGACCACTTTGGATCCACAAGTGAATAGCCATGATGGTGAAGTTGGCTGCAACCAGCATGGCAGAAGGCAAGTAGGTTCCGATGCTGACAAATCTCTCCTTGTGCATAAGCAAATAGAAGAAGAAGCTCTGGTGGAGGTGCTCCAGTAGGTTGTTCAAGCTTCTAAATGTTCCCTCAATGGTACGGCCGAGGGCCATCTCATCCTGCCACCCATTACCAATGGGCTGAACAGTGATGGCATCGACGTGGTATGGAATGAAGGAGCTGTGAGGCCCGGCAGCATGGCCCAGTCCCTGGTTCACCATGCCGCGCAGCATCGTCTTCAGCCTGTCGTTGTACCTGTCCGTGTGCTTCCACATCTCCTGGATGGCCGAGCCCATGCCCATCTGCCCGCTGGCAATGTTCACGAAGGTGTTTATCAGATCCAGGTTGGGCAGCTGACCATTGATACCGTCGTAGACTACGTGTACCCCTTCGAAACGCCCTTCTTGGGGGTAGTCGATGGCCACGGCCCCTTGCAGTGCTCCAGACTTGACGGGCAACGAAGCAACCTTGGCCGAGTCGTGGGCGTCGTGGTAGGCGTCAGCCCAGGCCTGGGTGCCAGCTCGGCTCTCGGGCGGAACGACGACAATGATGTCCTTGGACCACAGAGACCAACGCTTGAAGTACCTCGTCAAGGCCAGGGCCAGGGCCAACCCGTTGCGGTTGAACTCGTCCTTGACATTTCTCCAGGCGGCCACGAGCACGATGGCCTCGGTAGCATCGCCCCTGGGTGCGTGCAGAATGGCGTAGATATTCTCGCCGGCGTAGGTGTTGCCGGAGGAGTGGTAGGTGTAGTTCTGGCGACCGACCTTGAGTCCTAAGCCCTTGAAGATGGACTCGAGCTTGTCGTTGGCCCTAGACTCGTGCAATCAGCGCTGTGGACGGTGGTACAGATACGGCACCGGGATGTTCTTGTCTGTCCAGTGCAGAGGGGTGCAACATACTCGGCATTCGTACTATTCTCGAGGGCGGTGATCTCGTGCTTGTAGGCGCGGAAGACATTCTGGTCGCTGCCGCCAAAGTAGGTATGTACCTGGCCGGGGAGCAGGGCGTTCTCGGAGATGTAGGTGCGGCGCGAGTAGTCGTCGAGCGGGAGCATGAACAGCCATGCGACACCGACTATGATCAGCAGGAGTGACAGGTAGGGCGGGATCTTGAGCAGGCGAGGATCGCGACGGGCCAAGAGCGCCCCGGCTGTAGCAGCAGTGCATGTGGTTAGCTACGAGGTCGAACGAATTCCGCTGGTCCAGCTAGGATGGAAGGAGACTCACACAAAAGGCGAGGCATTGGTCCAGCTTGGGTGCCCTGGCGAGCGATGAGTCTCCAAAAAAAGGGGGATTGGAGGGAGAATTGAGGTCGAGTGGCACTTATACGCTCGACTGGGCTCGCTCGGTACGTGAGGCGAGGTGGTCCGTACCATTCTCCTCCTGCTGGGCTGTAACAAACGGGGACCCCTGCCTAACTGGAGGCCGGCGAGCTCTAATTCACGACTAGTTGCATAATTGCATATCGCCAACGCCGCCTGGCTGCCCGCCTCCATCAACACGACACGGCGCCTAGTTATAGGTAGTGGACGGCAGTCATGGTAAGCACGCCCCCTACTGGAGCTCATTTCCAAATCACAATTTCACGTGGCCTGCTTTCCCTCTTTCTCTTGTCTGTCCAATGCTGATGATTCTCTGTCGGCTGAAAGGGCGCGTTGTCTCATCAGGAACCGTCAGTTCGTTGTGTGGAACCGCCCAACCAGTCAAATTATCTGCACTCGAGATCGTCAAGGCAGCCGGGATTAAGCTGTCAGGTTCGGTATTCCGTAGCTAGAAGAACGCCATATGCCCCCCGCCCCATGTCAAAGAACGCCAGAGCCATGCAGGATCACACCAGTGCCAACCCCTTACGCACGCTTCATGATATGTACAGAGCACTCTCCCGACTCCCACCCCATCTACCCTTCTGGGCATCAGCTACGGCCCTAATCTCTGACTGCTGCCAACCAGGCCTGGTAACGTAGAACTTCCTCCACCCGTCGTAGGCAGCACCCCGAACCTTCCGTATGTCTTCTGGTCCACGCTCACGTAGTGCGGAAGGCGCCCCAAGAGGTTGAGGCGCCCTTCTACCCAACGCAGAGCCTTCTCCGGCGGAGCCAGGAACTTGAGGTAGCCCAGCCCGACTAGTGTCATTCACGTCAGCGGGTTCGCAAACACGGAGGGATCTCGTCCTCGTCTTACATAGGTAGCCCACACCGACTCCGCAGAGATGGCCGAGCAAGCTGCTGCTGGGAACCAGAGCCGCCGTCACCAGGGTCAGGACGAGGGGTGTGGTCCAAGTCGGGACATGGTAAGTGCCAATGACGAGGTACGGGTTCGTCTTGTACGTCCGGATGGCCTCGACGCCAAGGAGGAGGAAAACCCATATGCTGCCTCTGCGTTAGCCCTCTGATTCCGCTCCCCATTTCCCAGGAATACAGGCGTACCTTGCACCCATCACCGTGTTGTTGCTCCGGAGTACGCCCCTCTCCAAAATGATATATAGAACAGCCGGCAACGTGGTCAAGGCTGTAATACGTCAGGCTCTACCACAATCCACCGGAGGACGGGGAGAAACTCACGACCGAAGAACATGGCCAGACTCGTCAGCGTACCATACTCGCTCTCGAACCTCTCCATCAGCGGCGTCAGGGCCAGTATATTGAACAAAGTGTGGAAGAAGTTGAGATGTATGAGCGGGAACGTGTTGATCCTGTATGCGGTCGTGAACGAGATCTGGTCTGGGATCAATGCGCCCCACTGCCGCAGGTTCCAGACGGACTGTATCCCCACGATCCAGAGAAGGACGATGATGAGAACCATGGCGCGGGTGAAGAGCGGTAGCCGGAAGGCGTACGACCGCGCGCGCAGCGTGCTGAAGCCCTGGATGTTCGGCATCTTCGCTTCTCCCTCCTCTTCGTGCCTCCCTCTTTCCGTGTTCTATTTCCCGGCAGCGCGGATCTCCGGTATAGTTGCGCCTGAAATTAGGGATGCCCGTCGCTACTACCGTCGTTCAATGAGATCGGCTCGGTCAGGGCGGAGCAGGTCCTGGGCAATCGTTGGCGAAGCTTGTCGCGCTGGATCGATCGGCAAGGAATCGCCAGAGGTGGGAAAACCGGCAGGGGGCCTCGGGTGCAGACGAGGGTCCTAAAGGCGAGATGAAGGTGCTGATACGACTTGCTGTATCGCCATGGGCCGCGCTGCATCGATCGCGCAGCAGGGAACAGCTCGTAGAACTTGGGTTTGCAAGTTTCAATGGTCGTGTGCTTCAGTAATCCGAACATGAACGACACCAACCCCCTGTCCAACTGGATCAAGATGACACGCCGGCGTTTTTACTGGGGCCATTGAAGCCGGCTAAAATTACTAGGGACTGGGAAGGTTTGCGACAAATGCATAAATGCGCCTAAGTAGCAGCATGCCAATATCGTCCATTGGAGTCCATTCTCAACGACGAGACACAACCACCCAAGTATAAGCCTTAGAAACCGCTTGTTTCTTTCCGCTTCCCTAGTCTTTCCTGACTCAAACATATGAACCTGTCGCAGCTGCCTTAGGTATGTTATGGAAAGCCATAGGACTGAAGACAACGCAAATATTACCATTGGTCGGGAAAAAGGAAGAAAGAAAGAAAACTTGTTGCCCATACATGTGAAGAACAGCTCGGCGGCTTCTCTGAGACGAAATGCCAAAGATTTTGGCTTCTATTGGGCGTATTATGCGGAGAGGAAGCCTATTGTCGAGTAGTGAAGTAAGTATCCGAGGAAGGGGAAGAGGTGTACCTAGGTAGCTGCTAAACTGTTTTTGGCGGCGGATCCTCTAGTATCAACTCCAGGGATCTGGGAATTATTTTCTTTGAATGTCTCGAGTGACTTTTTGTTTCACATTTGTCATCGGTCAATTCAGTTATCTGGGAATATTTCGCCATGGCTTCTACGAGTAGTATCAGACATACTGGCCAAGGTCGTAGTAGAACGCGGGCCTGAGCCCAGCGTGCCAGAAAATACCTAGATATTCTCGATAAATGCTCTTGAGGTCATTTCTTAGCCATAGTGACACCATACAATGGCTGTCGTGTAGCGAGGTCATGATACACTGTGAAGCTCGAACTCATTTGCTTCTCTCACTACTTCTTTTACTCCAAGATTGTTCTGGCAAGATTGTCCTGGGATTTCCAAAGCCAAAAGATGGTCGCGAGTTTACTTCCTGTGCCCGCGTCTCATTATGGTCATCGGATTCAGTAATCATAAGCCAGTCCATAATCGCGGCTGCTTCTGTAAGGTAGTATCATCTGTGTTTGAATGCCGCCAATATCTAGCTCACAAACGGTGACCCAGGACTCCGGAATGAAACCTTGAGCTGCTTAATAAGTCGAAAAAAAAGGACAGTGAAGTTGATTTAGGTCTTGAGTGGTATCATCGCATCTTATCTCTAAGCGTTCCTTCAACTTGTGCCTATTGTACCTGCACAGCCTTCCTTCTCAATGCACCTCGGTCTCAATCTTTGATCAGCTGAAAGTCGTGCTAGTCAGGATATCGGGCAAAGGCTCTCGTTTACAGTCACATCATGAGAAAAGTCATAGAGTCTTTTGTAACATTTCCATTTTGTACATTTAACAAAAAAGACGGGCTAATTCCATGTGCGGTACAAATGTCATCCGTAAAGCATAACGTCCATACCGAAAACCGTATAAACCCCGGGGATTCTAGGAAACCTCCCCAACAATGCAAGCATGCAGGAACTCTCCTATTGTCACACCACCGCCGCCGCCATCACCGTCTACTGGTCTTAAGGTATCATCATTCTCCGTTGCCAGTATTCATCACCATCCAACCATTTAGTTCTTGGCCTTCTTGGCCATGGTGTTCAGGGCGCTTCCGTTCTTGAACCACTCGATCTGGGGCTCGTTGAAGGTCTGGTTGAGCTTGACCTCGAAGGTCTCGCCGTTCTTGGGGTGCACGCGCATGGTGACGGGCTTGCCAACAGCGAGCTCGGTGCAGAGGATGTCGACCTTGTCATCGGGCTTGATCTTGTCGTAGTCGGCAGGGTCGGCGAAGGTCAGAGGAAGCATACCCTGCTTCTTCAGGTTGGTCTCGTGGATACGGGCGAAGGATCGGGTGATGATGGCAAGACCACCGAGGTGGCGGGGCTCGAGAGCGGCGTGCTCTCGGGAAGAACCCTCTCCGTAGTTCCAGTCACCAATGACAACCCACTTGATGCCCTTGGACTTGTAGTCGCGGGCAGTGGCAGGAACGGCGTCCCAATCGCCAGTCACGGCGTTCTTGACCTTGTTGGCCTCGCCGTTGGCCTCGTTGATGGCACCAATCAACATGTTGTTGGAGATGTTGTCCAAGTGGCCACGGTACTTGAGCCACGGGCCGGCCATGGAGATGTGGTCGGTGGTGGTCTTGCCCTGGGCCTTGATGAGGATGGGCAGGTCGGTTGCGTCCTTGCCGTCCCAGGGCTGGAAGGGAGAAAGCTTCTGGAGACGGTCAGAGGTGGGGGCAACCACGACCTCAACCGAGGCACGGTCCTTGGGAGGAGCCTGGTAGGTGTTGGTGCCGGGGTCGTATCCGCGGTTGGGAAGGCCGTCGCCGGTCGGGGGCTGGAGCATGAACTCATTGCCGTCCTTGTCCTTGAGCTTGTCGGTCAGGGGGTTGAAGTGGAGAGAGCCGGCAATGGTCATGGCGACAACCATGTCAGGAGAGGCAACGAAGGAGTGGGTGGCAGGGTTGCCGTCGTTTCGGCCGGTGAAGTTACGGTTGTAAGATGAGATGATGGAGTTGGATTCACCCTTCTTGACATCCTGACGATCCCACTGACCAATGCAGGGACCACAGGCGTTGGCCAAGACCATACCGCCGAACTCCTCGAAGGTCTGGAGCTGACCGTCACGGGCAATGGTAGCGCGGATCTGCTCGGAGCCAGGAGTGACGGTGAAGGCAGCCTTGGCCTTGATACCGTGCTCGAGAGCGTCACGGGCAATCGAGGCAGAACGGGTCATGTCCTCGTACGACGAGTTGGTGCAAGAGCCGATCAAACCGACCTTGAGCTCCTCGGGCCAGCCGTTGGCCTTGACAGCCTCGCTGAACTTGGAGATGGGCGTGGCCAAGTCAGGGGTAAAGGGGCCGTTGATGTGAGGCTCGAGCTCGGACAGGTTGATCTCGATGACCTCGTCGTACTCGGCGCCTTCGTCGGGCCGGAGTTCGTGAGCGTACGCGCGGGCGAAGTCGCCGATCTCAGAACGTCCAGTAGCTGCAAGGTACTTGTGCATGTTCTCGCTGAAGGGGAAAACGGAAGTGGTGGCACCAATCTCAGCGCTGCAACACCAAGAGTCAGCCAAGTCAACTTTCAGCGGCTTCAGACAGAGACTTACCCCATGTTAGCGACTGTACCCGCTCCTGTAGCTGAGACAGTGTCTGCTCCCGGTCCTGTAATGCAAAGTCGTGTTAGAAAGTTCAGTTGAAATCCCAAGGAAAAGGGGGCTAACCGAAGTACTCCACGATAGAGCCGGTTCCACCCTTGACGGTGGTAATGCCAGCCAACTTGCCTGCGCAACAATCAGTATTCCATGCTCAGGGGAGAAGGGGTGGATGATAACTCACAGATAATATCCTTGGGCGCGGTCCATCCTGACATCTGTCCTGTAAGCTTGACACCAATGTACTTGGGCGCCTTCAACTCCCAGGGGAGACCGGCCATGACATCGACAGCGTCAGCACCACCAACTCCAATGGCAAGCGCGTTTAATCCTCCGCCGTTCACGGTGTGTGAGTCAGTTCCGATTACTAGAGCGCCAGGGAAGATGTAGTTCTCCAGCAGGATCTGGTGGATGATGCCGGAACCGGGCTTCCAGAAACCGATATTGTACTTGGCGCAGGCGGTGGACAGGAAGTCGTAGACCTCCTTGTTGATGTCAATAGCACGAGCCAAATCCTTGGCACCGCCGATCTGGGCCTCAATCAAGTGGTCACAGTGGACAGTGGTAGGGTTGGCGACCGAAGGGAGGCCGGCCGACATGAACTGGAGGATGGCCATCTGGGCGGTGGCATCCTGGCAGGCGACACGATCGGGACGCAGCTTGAGGTAGGATGCGCCGCGCTCGATGTCCTGGCCGTGGGGGTCGTCCAAGTGGGAGTACAGGATCTTCTCACCGAGGGTGAGGGGGCGGTTGAGACGGCTGCGAACAATGGCCAGGTTCTCGGACATCTTCTTGTAGTTGATGAAGTTGCCCTCTTCCAAGTTGTTCTGCTTCACCTATAGATTTTTGCGGGAAATATTAGCCACCCGGTCATGTCCCTCGGCCCCGAGTGAGAGATAAGACAAGGAGGAGAAGAAGAAGCTTACCTTCCTGTCGAGGGCAGAGTCGTTGACGGTGGCCATGGTCCTGCGGAGGCCCAGGCTGGCCGCGACCCGCGAGCGGGTGACATTCCCGAGGACCTGTCTCGTTGCCAACATGTTGACGAGCTTTTTGGTCCTGAGGAGCTGTGGAGGGGTCAACGTAGACGCGCCAATCTCTGGGATTGAGGCTGCTGTCGGGCAGTTGACTGTTTGTAGGAGTGGAGAGGGTATGAGGAGAGAAGAGCCCGTCTCTCAGGAAAGGGAAGAGAAGTTGACACCACGGGAGGATGTTTATTTCAGAAGGGAGGAAGAGAAAAAGGTGGAGTGTGTTGCCGCGATGGACGAAAAGAGTGGCCGGAAAGCCGACCCACGCTAGGCGAAAGCTGCGACGAGACCCCGGCTGGCCACCTGGGGCTAGGTGGGCTTCGGCTACGTGCTGACTGGTCAATCGGCCCAGCGGACGAATCACGACCGTTGCATTGCAATCGTTACCTGGAGATGCCGACGGACGTCATAGACGGGTGCGCGGGATGCAGTTCGCTCTGGCAGCAGCAACAGAGGTCGCAGAAGAAAAAGAAAAACTGATATAGAATCTCCAAATGTTTGCTCAAGCCTGGCTTCTCATGAAAAATATGCCTCTGGCGACCGGCCTCTTGCAAAGGACTGCCAAACATCAGCAACCCCCTTTTATACCTCCCTCTGCTACGTTTCCGCAACTGAAGATGCCAAGATCCGAGCTCCGACCCGGTCGGCGCGGATTTGCGCTGGAATGAACGCACAGTGCAGAAACAAACACCCAAGACATCTGCAACGTTTCCTGGCGTAACGGCTGGGCGCACATAGTTATCTACGGTAGCTGAGCACTTCAGTGTTCAGTTGACAAGACTATACATATAATGAGTTCAAGTAGACTTTGGATGATGAGCCGCTTCATACAGACATTCTCGATCTCACTACAGGTTCATCGTCCTACTGCTGGCGAATGCTGTCAGAATTGCCCAACGGCCCATTGAGCCCGCATTTGCTTATCGCTGTCTCCGTGTATGTCAAATGATTTATCACTGTAGTGTCTCTTGGCCTCGACTTTCTCTGCAGCCAACCGGCAAGTTCGAGGCGGCAGAAAAAAAAGAGGTGCTCTGTGGGCCGTGCTTCAATTGTCAGAAATACCCTCGGTATACTTGCACGTGCGAGCCATTGCCCACGTTGCACGAAGAGTTATACTTCCCTGTTTGCGCTCAACTCTATGAGACATTGCTCTTCTTGATAGCAAGAACTGACTCGCCTTGATCGCATGTGTCTCTCAGCAGCTTTTAGGCCAACAATTGATCGAACAGATGGATTCGCACAGCTGTTTCCCGTACGCCTGCATATCCCGCGGCATTGGGCTTCTCCACGCTTGCGTACCCTGGAGATACATCACTCAAAGTACCTGGGTACGTACTGTGCAAAACGGGGCGTGAAAAAGCTTGCTGACCTGGAGATCAATATGTGGGTTCTCAGCGCCCAATCAGCAAGGCGGAGCTGGAAAAGTGGACAGGCCGAGTCAGCGAGACAGCGACAAGGGAAAGTCATCAGCCTCGGCCGGGCGTGTAGTGCACTCAAGCGGTTCCGCATCATAACCATTGGTTGCAAGTCTACACCCTTCACTGGACACAGATACTCATGTTTCTGCATTATACTTATCCAAGACCGTGCCAACGAAACCGAAAGAGGAAAGCCTCATTACATAAACCACTACTCGTGGCTCAGCGACATCTTTTGTCATAAGTTTCGTGCCCGCTGAAACCGTTTGCTGAAGAAACGTATGTATTCACCAAGCTATAATTCGTCAATCGGGACGGCAAGATTCCGAGTATTGCCGTTTTGAGCATCTCGCGGTTATGCTTGTAGCGTTTCTAAAGAGGATTTTTGTGGCGTCCTACTAGTTTTACGAGCATCCATCTAAATCCACCGCCATTTCCACGGAACTGCGAGCTTGCGGAGCCGGGAGGTTGAGGGTTGCTATTAGAAAAGACTCTGTGAGATAGGACATCAAATACGGGCCTGAGGTTAATTGGGTAGGAGATATAGCTGCCCTTTGGCACTGTAGCATCTATTAGGCTGGTCATACGTCGCATGCCTTGATATGCCATAAGTGATGCATGGACTCCGGGTCGGTGTAATATCTCACACGTAGAGCGATATAGTTCTTCTCCGAGGAGACAGAGGGGACTGCACCTGGTAGCTAGCGTAGGTCGAGATATAGAGCCCTTCGGTAATTTGTGGACTGCAGATTGCTATGGAATCGTGTGAAGTGTAACTACGCTGCATTAGTGGGATTGGTGACCTTATTGTCCTCGAAAAGGACGGGTGCCTGTTGCACTAAAATGACTATAAAAGGTTGG